TCGAAGTAAACTTGTGTTTAAACTTTATTTCTCCAGATTAGAAATAATTTTTTTGTGTTTTTTACAGTGTTGGCACCCATGTAAATCGACTGTTTGTAAAATAATTTGACATAATATTATTAATATATAATATTTTAACATTACATAGATATATTTTTTTAACCTGTAAGGGTTGTCATAAAAAATAACATTCGACTTTTTTTTCAACTACAGTTTTTCATTTTTCGTTTTTTCAATTTTTTGTTTCCTCAATTTTTAAGTGCTGGGTTTTATTTTTCATTTTCATGATTTTTAAATTTTTATTTTCCCGATTTCATATCACAGTTCTTCGTTTTTTCATTGCCTTTATTTTTTCAATGTTTCTCTCGATTTTATCATTTTTCGTAATTCATTTTCCAGTCTTTGATTTTACAGTATTTCGTTTTTCCAATTTTGCACTTTTTCGATCTTTAAGTTTCTCATTTTTTTTTCTGTTTTTTTTTTCGATTTTATATTTTTTCGTTTATTCAATTTTTCTACCTTTCAATAAAATTTTCGATTTTCTAATTTTTAAATTTTTGTAATTTTTGGATTTCTCAATGACTCAATTTTCTGATTTCTTTATTTTTTAATATTTCCATTCTACAATATTTCGTTTCTCGGATTTTACACTTTTTCGATTTTTAAGTTTCTCAATTATTAATCTTCAAATTTTTCAATTTCTCGTTTCTTGAATTTTTCAAGTTCTTGAGTTTTATTAATCATTTTCACGATATTTTTTTAATTTTTATTTTCTCGATTTTATACCACGATTCTTCCTTTTTTCATTTCCTTTATTTTCTCAGTGTTTGATTCGATTTTATAAAATTTTTCGTATATACATCTTTTGGATTTCCCAATTACTCAATTTTCCGATTTCTTTAATTTTCAATATTTTGATTTTACAATATTTCGTTTTGCGATTTTACATTTTTTCGATTTTTAAGTTTCTAAATTTGTAATCTTTCGATTTTTCAATTTTTTGTTTCTTGAATTTTTCAATTTCTTGGGTTTTATTTTTCATTTTCCCGATGCTTTAATTTTCATTTTTTGGATTTTATGCCACAATTCTTCGTTTTTCCATTTCCTTTATTTTTTCAGTGTTTCTTTCGATTTTATAATGTTTCGTTTATTCGGTTTTTCTACCTTTCAATTAAATTTTTTTCAATTTTTGGATTTCTCAATTACTCAATTTTCCGATTTTCGATTTTTTAATTTTCAAATTTTTGCAATTTTTTTCTGGATTTCTCAATTATTCAATTTTCCGATTTCTTTAATTTTCCATCTTTCCATTTTATAATATTTCGTTTTTCCAATTTTACATTTTTTCGATTTTTCGTTTCCTCAATTTTTCAGTTTCTTGAGTTTTATTTTTCATTTTCCCGATGTTTTCATTTTCATTTTCTGGATTTTATACAAAATTCTTCATATTTTCATTTCCTTTATTTTTTCAGTGTTTCTTTCGATTTTATAATGTTTCGTTTATGCAGTTTTTCTACCTTTCAATTAAATGTTCGATTTTCCAATTTTTAAATTATTGCAATTTTTGGATTTCTTTAATTTTCAATATTTTGATTTTACAATATTTGGTTTTTTCGATTTTGCACTTTTTCTATTTCCAAGTTTCTCAATTTTTGAAGTTTAGAGTTTTCAGTTTTTCGTTTCCTCAGTATTTCAACTTCTGTAGTTTTGTTTTTCATTTTCCCAGATTTTTAATTTTCGTTTTCTCTATTTTACATCACAGTTCTTCGTTTCTGATTTCTTTAGTTTTTCAGTATTTTTTTTTTCGATATAATAATTTTTCGTTTATTCAATTCTTCTACCTTCCAATAAAATTTTCGATTTTCTAATTTTTAAATTTTTGCAATTTTTGGACTTCTCAATTATTCAATTTTCCGATTTCTTTAATTTTCAATATTTCCGTTAATCCGATTTTGCACTTTTTCGATTTATAAGTTTCTCAATTTTTAAACCTAAAATTTTTAAATTTCTTGTTTCCCTAATTTTTCAATTTGTTGCGTTTTATGATTTATTTTCCTACGTTTTTTTAATTTTCATTTTCTCGATTTTATGCCACAATTCTTCGTTTTTTCATTTCCTTTATTTTTTCAGTGTTTCTTTCGATTTTATATTTTTTCGTTTATTCAATTTTTCTACCTTTCAATTAAATTTTCGATTTTTAAATTTGTAAATTTTTGCAATTTTTGGACTTCTCAATTACTCAATTTTCCGATTTCTTTAATTTTCAATATTTTGATTTTACTATATTTCGTTTTTTCGATTTTGCACCTTTTCTATTTCCAAATTTCTCAATTTTTGATGTTCCGATTTTTCAGTTTTTTGTTTCCTCAATATTTCAACTTCTTTAGTTTTGTTTTTCATTTTCCCGGATTTTTAATTTTCATTTTCTCTATTTTACATCACAGTTCTTCGTTTCTCATTTCTTTAGTTTTTCAGTATTTTTTCGATTAAATAATTTTTCGTTTATTCAATTCTTCTAGTTTTCAATAAAACTTTCGATTTTCTAATTTTTAAATTTTTAAAATTTTTGGAATTCTCAATTATGTATTCAATTTTCCGATTTCTTTAATTTTCAATATTTCCATTTTACAATATTTCGTTTTCCTGATTTTTCAAGTTCTTGAGTTTTAATATTCATTTTCGAGACGTTTTTTTATTCTCATTTTCTCGATTTTATGCAACAATTCTTCTTTTTTTCATTTCCTTTATTTTTTCTGTGTTTCTTTCGATTTTACTCCTATAATTTTTCGTTTATTCAGTTTTTCTACCTTTCAATTAAATTTGATTTTCCAATTTTTAAACTTTTGCAATTTTTGGATTTCTCAATGACTCAATTTTCTGATTTCTTTAATTTTCTATATTTCCATTTTACAATATTTCGTTTCTCCGATTTTGGAAGTTTTCGATTTTTAGGTTTCTCAATTTTTAATCTTTAAATTTTTTAATTTCATGTTTCCTCAATTTTTCAAATTCTTTCTTTTTATTTTTCATTTTCCCGATGTTTTTTAATTTTCATTTTCTCGATTTTATGCCACAATTCTTCGTTTTTTCATTTCCTTTATTTTTTCAGTGTTTCTCTCGATTTTATAATTTTTATAGTATTTCTTCAGAAAGAAATTGAAAAGTTGAAAAATCGAAAGTTAAAAATTGAAAAATTTAAATTAAAAAAAAAATCGAAAAATCGAAACATGGAAATCTCGATAAATCGAAAAATGGAAAAACTGAAAAATCGAAAAATTTAAAAATCAAAAAATTAAATCGAAAAATTGAAAACTCGAGAAATCCAAACATGAAAACATCGAAAAATTGAAAAATATAAAATTTAAAAAATGCAAAATTTTGGAAAATCATACAAGTAAAAAACAAAAAAATTGATAAATCGCCAAATTGGAATACATATATGTATTTAAAAATCCCAGAATTGATAAATCTAAAATTTGAGGAATTGAAAAATGCCAAAACGGAAATATCGAAAACTTGAAAAATTGAATAATTGAGAAATGGAAAAATTAAAAAATCCAGAAATCGGAAAGTGTTCTACCTTTCTTTATTTTTTTGAATTTTCAATATTTCGTTTTTTCGATTTTTATTCTTTCGTTTATAAATTTTTCAAGTTTTTGAGTGTTGTTTTTCATTTTCTCTATTTTTAATTTCATTTTCTCGATTTTATATCATAACTCTTCGTTTTTTCGTTTTCTTTATTTTTTCAATACTCCTTTCGATTTTTTAATTTTTCATTTTCCCAAATTGCAAACTGAAGAACTTAGAAAATAAAAATTAAAATATCGAGATATTATACATCGAAAAAAAAATGAAACGAAAAATTAGAAAGAAGAAAAAACGAATCAAATTGAAAAATTGAAAAATCGAATTCAAATCCTATAATTGACAAATTCTAAAATCGACAATTGAAAAAGTGATTTTTTTTTTAATTATATTTATTATTACATACAGGGTGTTAAAAAAATTGTAAACTATATTTAAAATGAAAACTAGAAAAATTGCAAATCAAAAATTGAAGAAACGAAAAGCTGAAAAATCGAGAAATTGAAAAATCTAAAATTGAACAACCGTTGCATATCGCAAAATTAAAGAAACAAATAAAAATGAAAAATTGAAAGATTCCAAATCGAAAAATTGAAGACACGGAAATTGAAAAAACTAAAATTGGAATACAAAAAATTATGAAATCGGAACACTGAAAAATGGAAAAATTGTAAATATGAAGAAATTTGAGAAAACGAAAATTTAAAGAATGAATATCGAATAATTGCAAAACCTAAAAACTGAAGAAACAGTGAAAAATGAAAAATTGGAAAATCGGGAAATTCAAATCGAAAAATTTCAAAATCTAAAAACTGAAAAATTCAAAAGTTGAGAAATTGAAAAACTGTAAAATTTAAACCAAAAAGTGAGTGTTGTTTGCGACGGGATTTTGCTTTATAGAGGTTATCAGAAAACAAAAATTGCACAATTTTTTACAATTTTTCAAAGAAAAGGTAGTTGTTTTAGTGATGTTTTGGTGGTCGCAGTGTTAAAAAAAACGACCACCCTGTATATCTAAAATTTTTGATTTCAAAACTACTTCTTTGTTGTTTCCAAGGAAGTGGTAATCCATTCATGACGTGCCGCTACTTTCGAATACTAATCAACCTTCGATTTGTTTATTTGTTTATACGAAATATCGGCATTCTCAGAACCGTAATAAATGCTTATTCATTCATCCCCGCACACGCAATATTCCTCCACCGCCGAACTTTTCCGTAAAATTCGCACTTATCCCGCAAAACCCCAGAGCAGAATAATAAATAAACAAAGCACCCAAATCGGTAGCCATTTTAAATAATGGATATTTCAATCACACCGAAACCCCCTTTACGCCTTCTTCCGACCCCACCGCTAATAATTCTCGCCATAAACCCACCGCTCCCGCCCCACATCTACATCTAAAAACCCCTTACGTTGCGAATTGGACCTCCTGATAATATTTTCCAAAAACGTGTTCTGAGGGGCCACCAGGCCCCGTCTCCCTCCCGGCATGTCTCCTCTTCCTACCAAACGTCCTCAGCTATGTTCGTCATCTCGTAATTTCGATCATGCTGTCAGTCTTACACCCTTCTAAACAAACTAAAAGAAGCCATAACAGCGCACTTTAGCCCGAGTCTAGATGCCGCAGCTTGCACACCATATTGCAGAAGGAGTTGCTAGCACTAGTATGTAGCACATTATTTTCTCACGGATGCATTTTTCGAACACTGTGCCGCCCGCACCGACATTGTCGTCACACATGCTTCCATTACAGGAGACTCCAAGAATCGGGGAAGGTCTTCCGGGAGAGTCAATCAGGGCATTGCGGCGACGGTTTATTTATTTAGTTTACGTCCGTGTTGACGATTTTACGTTTCATTGTACTGGCGATTGTATAAACACTGCGCTAGACGAATGTCATCGTTGGCGTAACGAAAAATCGAAAACGACGGCAGCGCCGGCCGGCGGGACGCAACGGCGGCGGCGGGAACTAGGGGATCGAATTCGTAAGGGGGCTGCTGGCGGTAGAGAAACTTTCAAGGAAAACGACCGCAGAAGTGGCAAAGGGGCTGTTTTTCGAGCTGATTTTATTGGTACTGGGATGGAATCGAGAATCATATCTTGAAAAAAAAACTTTTTTGTCACAAGTTAGACATGCTTTAAGTTTCTTGTTGTCGAAATAAGTCTACACATATTAAGAAACAAAGGCAAAATATAGCCCCGCCCACCCACCCTGTCTCAATTCTGATGATTTTTCTATTCGTCGTGAGACAAGAGGGCGGAGCTTAACTGCAAAATCCTTATTTATCTACGAAAAATTAAAAATATGTTTTAGAGTATCGTATTGTTCAAAGAAACTGAAGACTGATTTTGGCAAATGATATACTCTTTAAAAAAAATAGAGGGCGGGGCTAGTGCTTGCTAAGATAAGACTGATTTTAGCAGATGACATATCTTCCAAGAAAGGAGAGGGCGGGTGGGCGGGATTAGCACTTGCTAAGATAAGACTGATTTTGGGAAATGATATACCCTCCAAGAAAATAGAGGGTGGGTGGGTGGGATTAGTAGTTGGTAAGATACAAGATTGTTTGACGTTAAGAAACCACTGGGGGAACCCAAAATTATTTTAAATTCTGTTAAAATCATCAGGAGTCCCCAAAAGTTATTCAAACTCTCTCACAAATCACAATTTTTCGATATTTCGATTTTTTGATTTCCCGCTTTTTCGATTTTTCAGTTCTTCAGTTTTTCGATTTCCCAATTTTCCGTCATTTGAGTTTTAGAATTTTTCAGTTTATTCATTTTTTAGTACATATTTTGACTCCTCAATTTTCCAATTTTTCAATTTTTCGATTTCCCCATCTTTCGATTTTTCGATTTCTCAGTTTTGATTTTTCGGTTTTTTAATTTTTCGATTTTTAAAATTTTCAATCTCCAATTTTTTTCGATTTTCTAATTTTTCGATATTTCAACTTTTCGATTTCTCAATTCTTCGATTTCTGCATCTTCTGGATTTTTTATTTTTTTGATATTTCAATATCCCGATTTTTCAGTTTTTCTATCTTTCAATTTTTCAATTTTTTAAATTTTAGATTCTTCGATTTCTTGATTTCTCCTCGATTTCTCGATTTCCCGATCTTTCAATTTTTGGATTTCACAGCTTTTGATTTTTCGACTTCTGACTTTTGATTTTTCGGTTTTTTAATTTTTCGATTTTTAATAGTTTCGATTTTTCGGTTTTTCAATTTTTCAATTTTTCTCTTTCTCTATTTATCAATATTTTTTAAATTTTAAATTTTCTGATATTTTTCGACTTCTCGACCTTCCAATTTTTCGATTTCTCGAGTTTCTTCAATTTTTGGATGTTTCGATTTTTTGATTTCTCGTTTTTTCGATTTTTCACTTTTCCAGTTTTCCAATATCCTAATTTTTCGTCATTTTAGTTTTGGAACTTTTCAATTTGTCGATTTTTTAGTTTTAATTTTTTTAATTTTTTGTAATTTTTAGTTTTCAATTTTTCATTTTCAACTTTTCGATTTCCCGATTTTTCGAAGCCTTGAATTTTCCGTTTCTCAATTTTTCGATGCTTCAGTTTTTCAATTTTTCGATGTTTTCATTTTGCAGTTTTCCAGTTTTTCGGCTTTCCGTGTTTTAAAGTTTTAGATTTTTCGAGTTTTCCTGATTTCAGTATGGAATTTTTTAATTTCTCGATGGTTCAGATTTCCAATTTTTAGATTTCTCAATTTTTTGATGTTTTAGTTTAGAATTTTTCAGTTTTTAGGTTCTCCAATTTTTTTCGATATTTTCACTTTTCGATTTCTCAATTCTTCGATTTCTGCATCTTCTGGTTTTTCTATTTTTTTGATATTTCAATTTCCCGATTTTTCAGTTTTTCCATCTTTTAATTTTTCAATTTTTTAAATTTTAGATTCTTCGATTTCTTGATTTCTCCTCGACTTCTCCAATTCCCGATCTTTCGATTTTTCGATTTCACAGCTTTTGATTTTTCGACTTCTCAGTTTTGATTTTTCGGTTTTTTAATTTTTCGATTTTGGAAAGTTTCGATTTTTCGGTTTTTCAATTTTTCTCTTTCTCTATTTATCAATATTTTTAAAATTTAAAATTTTCCGCTGTTTTTCGACTTCTCGACCTTCCAATTTTTCGAGTTTTTTCAATTTTTGGATGTTTCAATTTTTTGATTTCTCGCTTTTTTCGATTTTTCACTTTTCCAGTTTTCCAATTTCCCAATTTTTCGTCATTTCAGTTTTGGAATTCTTCAATTTGTCCAATTTTTTTAGTTTTAAATGTTTTAATTTTTTATAATTTTTACTTTTCACTTTTTCATTTTCAACTAAATTTTCGAGTTTCGATTTCTCGATTTTTTTAATTTGTCGAATTTTTATGTTTTTGATTTTTGGAAATCTCCATTTATCAATTTTACGATATTTTAATGTTTAAATATTTTAAATTTTCCATTTTTCGATTTTTCTTGAATATTTTTTAATTTTTCAATATTTTAAATTTTACATTTTTCGATTTTGTTCAGTTCTTCAATAATCTTAAATTTTTAAAATTTTGACGTTTCTGAATCTCCAGTTTTCTGATTTTTCAATTAATCAGTTTTTTATTTTTCCATTTCTCGACTTCCCAGTTTCGATTTTCAGTTCTTCAGTTCTTCAATTTTTCGATTTTTCAGTCATTTGATTTTTCAATTTTTGCAATTTTTAAGTTTGTGATTTTTCTTCAACTTTGCTTTTTTGATTTTTTGATTTCTCAATTTTTCATTTTCCCGATTTTTGGATATTTCGTTCAATTTTTTGATTTTTCAGTTTTTCGATTCTTCAATTTTTTCTTTCGATTTTTTAGTATTTCGACTTTTTGATTTTTAAAGTTCTGGATTTTCAATTTTTCGTTTTTAAAGCTTTAAATTTTTCGTTTTTAAAACTTTAAATTTTTCAATTTTTCGACTGTTTTATACTTCGATTTCTCAATTTGTCAAATTTTGGATATTTTAACTTTTCAATTTTTAAAATTTTAGATTTTTCGATTCCTTGAGTTTTCAATTCTTCTATTTATATTTCAATTTTTCAATTTTCGGAATTTTTAAATTTTCGATTTTCTAATTTATTTTTTAATTTTTCGATTTTTGAAGAATATATTTCTTATGTTTTATATACAGTCAAAAAAATGGAAAATATAAAATTTAGAAAACGAAAAACTGAAAATCCAAAACTAAAAAATCGAATAATCCAGAAGTCGAAAAATCGAAAAGTCAAAGTATGGAAATATTGAAAAATTCCAAAAATTGAGAAATTAAAAAATTGGAAAATTAAGAAATCAAAAAACCAAAAGGCAAATTTGAAAAATTGAACAATTGAAGAACTGAAAAATCGAAACATTGTGAAGTTAAGAAATTAGAAAAACAAAAATAGATTAATTGAGAAATCGGAAAAATGAAAATTTAGCAACGTCAAAAATTGAAAAATTGAAAAATTTTAAATTCAAAACATTGAACAATTAAAACATCCCAAAATTTGAAAAATCGAGAAATCCAAACATCAAAAAATCAAAAAATAAAACTTCGAAAATCTAAAAATTGGAAAATCAAAACATCGAAAAATATGTATTGAAAAATCCCAATACTGAAAGAAATATCCAAAAAATTGAGAAATTAAGAAATCGGATAATTGAAACAACGAAAAACTAAAGAAGCAAAGTCGAAAACCTGCAAAATCGAAAAATTGAAGAATTGAAAATAAAATCAAAACTTTGGGAAGTCGGAAAATGGGAAACACATATTTTGGTGGTTTTTTATTTTTTATACTTCCTCAATTTTTCGATTCGACGGTTTTTTGAGTTTTTATTTTCGGCCGATTTTTCGATGTTCCGATTTTTCAATTTTCCAATTTTTAAAATTTTCGAGTTTCGATTTCTCGATTTTTTTTAGTATGTTTACGATTATTTTTTGATTTTTTGATGATTGGAAATCCCCATTTTTCGATTTTACAATATTTTAATTTTTAATTGTTTTAAATTTTACATGTTTCGATTTTTCAGTTCCTCAATATTTTTAAATTTTTCAAATTTTGACGTTTCTGAATGTTCAATTTTTCAATTTCTCAATTAATCAATTTTTTTATTTTTCCATTTCTCGACTTCCCAAAGTGTCGATTTTTCAGTTCTTCAATTTTTAGATTTTTTAAGTTTGTGATTTTTCAACTTTGCTTTTTTGATTTTTCGATTTCCCAAATTTTCAGTTCTTCAATTGCCCGATTTTTGGATATTTCGTTCAATTTTGTGATTTTTCAGTTTTTCGATTCTTCAATTTTTCTTCATTTTTCAAGTTTTCGATACTTCAGTTTTGGGATTTTTTAGTGTTTCGACTTTTCGATTTTTTTAAGTTCTGAATTTTTCGATTTCTCGATTTTTTACTTTTTGGATTTTCAATTTTTCGTTTTTAAAACTTTGGATTTTTTTGTTTTTCCACTATTTTCAACTTCGATTTCTCAATTTTCAATAATACTCAAGAAATCGAAAAACCTAAAATTGAAAAGTTAAAATATTTTCAATTTTTAAATTTTTAGATTTTTCGGTTTCTTGAGTTTTCAGTTCTTCTATATTTCAATTTTTTAATTTTCGGAATTTTTAAATTTTCGATTTTCCAATTTATTTTTTAGTTTTTCGATTTTTTAAGAAATATAAAACTGTCGGAAAATTGGAAAATCTAAAGTTTCAAAAACCAAAATCTAAAAATCCAAAACTAAAAAATCGAAAAATCCAGAAGTCATAAATTCGGAAAGTCGAACTATCGAAATATTGACAAAATCCAAAACTGAAAGAAAGATTCAAAAATTGAGAAACTAAAAAATTGAAAAATTGAGAAATCGAAAAGCCAAAAAAGCAAAGTCGAAAAATCAAAACTTTGTGAAGTCAAGAAAAGAGGAAAATCAAAAATAAATTAATTGAGAAATCGGAAAAATGAAAATTTAGCAACGTCAAAAATTGAAAAATTGAAATACTGAAGAACTGAAAAATCAAAAATCGAGATATCGAAAAAGCTAAAATTTAAATTGAACAATTAAAATATCGCAAAATTGAAATGAATTTAAAAAATTGAAAAATTAAAAAATCGGATAACTAAAAAATCGAAACATCGAAAAATTGGAAAATTCAAAAATTCAAGTCGAAAAACCGAAATATTGAGAAATCTCAAAACTAAAAGAAATATACAAACAATTTAGAAATTAAGAAATAGGAAAATTGAGACATCGGAAAACTAAAGAAGCAAAATCGAAAAATTGATAAAAAAAATTGAAATTTTGGGAAGTCGGAAAAAGGGAAATACATATTTTTAGTCACAGTTTTGGTGGTTTTTTATGTTCCATACTTTCTCAATTTTTCGATTTGTCGATGTTTTTTGGAATTTTGTTTTTTTTATTTTTTGATGTTTGGAATTCTCCATTTTTCGATTTTACGATTTTTAATTTCAATTAATCATTTTTTTTAGTTTTCCATTTTTCGACTTCCCAAAATTTCTATTTTTCAGTTTATCAGTTCTTCAATTTTTCGAATTTTCAGGTTTTTGATTTTTCAATTTTTCAATTTGTTAAGTTTGTGCTTTTTGACTTTTCGAATTCTCATGATTTTTCAGTTTTTCGATTCTTCAATTTTTCTTCTACATATTTTTCAATTTTTCGATACTTGAGTTTTGGGAAATTTTTAGTATTTCGACTTTTCAATTTATTAAGTTCTGGATTTTTCGAATTCTCGACTTTTTATTTTTTGGATTTTGAATTTTTAGTTTTTAAAACTTTAGATGTTTCAATTTTTCGACTGTTTTCTACTTCAATTTCTCAATTTTTCGACTTTTGGATATTTTATTTTTTTAATTTTTAAACATGTGTATTTTTCGATTTCTTCAGTTTTCAGTTCTTCTATATTTTAATTTTTATTTTTAAATATAAGTAGGCCAAAATCGAAAAGTTAAAAACGGAAAAATTGATAAATCGAGATTTCAAGAAATTGAAAAATCGAAAATTTAAAAAAACGAAAAATTGAAAAATTAAAATATGTATAAAAGAACTGAAAATTCGAGAAATCGAAATATAAAATAATAGAAAAATTGAAAAATCTAAAGTTTAAAAAACAAAAACTGAAAATCCAAAAAATAAAAAATCGAGAAGTCGAAGAATCGAAATATTGAGCAATTCCAAAACTGAAATAAATACCGAAAAATTGAAGAATTGAAAAAAAATAGAAACTTCGGGAAGTCGGCTAAATAAAAATCAAAGAAAATTTAGAAACGTCAAAATTTGAAAGATCGAAAAATCGAAGATTCTCTTCAAATTTCTCCCATCTAAATTAAAAACAGTAATGCCACCTATACAGCGTTAGCTATAGCCAACTCTAAGTCAAAATGTTTTTCACCACATGTATTTATTGTATCGATTTATAAAAACACACTTTTAATAAATATTTGAAACACAGATTCTTCAGTTTTAACTTTGTAATTGATTTTTTCATTTTACCACATTTAATTCTCTCCGTCAATCTAACCTCACAATTTTTTTCTTTTTTTTTTCATGTTGGCAATATTTTCTGTTCTTTTTCGTAGTTTTGTTTATCATTCCACTACCGAAAAATATGTACATACATCAATTTGTAAATTTGCACAGGTCAGTTCTAATATAATTTCTAGACATCTTTTCCGTTCTCTTTTTGGTAAGCTTTTCCATTAATCAATATATTAGGTCGAAACTTTTCTCTATTTTTTTCCTCAAATTTTTCCCATCTAAATTGAAAACAGTAATAATGCCACCTATGCTATAGCCAACTCTAAGTCAAAATGTTTTCCACCACATGTATCTGAATATTTGAAACGCATATTCTTAGCACTATTTAGAGCCAACTCTAATCCAACATTTTTTTCAACCACCCGTCGACAAAAAAAAACATACTTTATTTGACAATATATAACTCAGATAAATAAATTTAAAAGTCAATATATTCCAACTAGTTTAGTTTTATTATAAACAACTATTCAGAAAGCACAGCGTAATATTTAATTACTTAATACTGCCACACATGGTTCAACAAAGCTTTACTTCTCAACTCCACGTTCTTATCCCATCATCACACTCTCGTCCAAACCCATCTACAGAAAAAAAATCAATAAAAACAAACACAAAACATCCAAAAACTCACAGCTTCGGCCTCGTTTTTCGCACATTCGGCCAAAGCGGACGCCGTGTCGCACGGGTCGGGCAACGGTTTTACTACAACACCCTGTATTACACACGAACTTTCGTCCGAAAAAATTACCTCTCATGCCGCAAGTCACAAACAGCTTCAGGACTTTTTGGTACAACTGAGGGTCGGCTTTCTGCAGGGGCTTGAGGGCCAACATCGCCCCCGCTCTGTCGATGGATCCGTCAGCCTTCATCTAAGATTCCTCTTTCTTTTTGTCTTTAATCGAAAAACACAGAAATACTTACCACTTTGAAATTTGTTTGGATGCAGAAAATCATACATTTACCTTCGTGGGTGCTAGGGGGGATCTGGCGGGCGAGCAACTCGGCGATGTCATCTAGGTTTGATTATTTTTGATTTGTGCTTTTTTTGGGAAATATTTACCTGAAGTGGCATGCGTCTCCTCGGCACACACGGTTCCGATTTCTTGGATTTTTTCCATAAAATCGTCGACGAAATCTTGGTCCAGCTGCGCAGACGCTGTTATTGGGGGGAGGTTAAGGTTGCATACTTACGGCATTAGTGAGGGTTAGAAGTGCTAGGAAAGCCGGCCAAATACTCATGGTGTGGGTTTCAGGTGAACTACAAGTCCAAATTTTGCGACTTTTTTATATAAATCGCGACGGTCGAGGCCAATCACAAATTGAGTAAATTAGATGGTAGGATGGATTTATTTCTTTTTAATTATGTATTAGCGAAAACCAAAGCATAGCATAATAAGGAGGTTGTGCATTCATTAATTTTACAGGAAATAATTTAAAAGTGTTCACTGATGCTTTTGATTCGCAAAACTACAATTTCCTGATGGTTCGACCGAAAAGTGCGTCACCCACGTCTAGCTACTTTTTTTTTCAAAATTGATTTTTTTTTTGTTTTGATTGAAAAGTCAAATTTCTCAATTAATTCTTAATACGAACCAAAATTTTCCCAATATTCCACTTTGGCGAAAATCAACGCGAAAATTTGATTCAACCATGCGATGACTAAGATTTATTTGTTTTTAATTAGGTCTGGGTTCGATTTAAGGTTTCCATTTTGGTCCAATTAAAATACGATTTGAAGTGCAACAGAAAATGATTAATTTAATGCGTTTTTGATTAATGGAGTTTTGGTATGGTAATTGGGTTTGTGATAGAGGTAGAGGCGTTTTTGCTAATTTATTTATTGATGGATTTTCCTAAACTGGAGAAGAGGATATAAATAGAGCAGATATTGAGTGAGGAATTTATACGCTGCTCGGCTTACGCTTTGTGGTGAGTCCCCTCTTCTGCACCACACGCACTTGTTAAATATTTGTTTTGTTGTACGACGAATTTCACGCATTTCAGAGAAGTACATGTAGAGAGAAGTTGACATGACATAAATGTAAATTGTTTCGTTGCTATTTTTCCCGGATTTTATATGGTTAATTTAGTCCAGTCTCAAAAATAAATGAAAATGATGTTTAAAGGAATAAGACATCTGAGTAAAGGACGAGAAAATCCACAGGCTTAAATTAACCTTTCCACATTAAAAAATTTAATAGTGAAGGCTTGTTGATAAATCTGGAATTTAATTTAAAAATTTAAATTTGGCGCTAAGAATTTGCGGTTAAGTTCGACGCTAACGAAATTAAAAACATGTTTTAAGGATCGTGTTCTTCAAAGAACTCTATGTATATATATTAAGAAAAAATTAAAGCCACAGGTAAGCCCCACCCATACCTGCCCTCATCTAAATAGTATTGAAGCTATTATTCGTTGATAGACCTAGGGGAGGAGCCTAATTACAAAATCCATATTTTCTTAAAAAAATCTCCATTTTAAATGTGTTTTAAGTTTCTAAGAATTAAAAAACATCATCACAATTGAGATGGGGTGGGTGGGCGGGCGGGGTTTACATATATATTTTTTCTTAATGTACAATTTACCTAGGCAAATTTTTAACCAATCACGGGCTCATATTCCACATTTCAATCGTCTGAATTTAATAAATTCTGAAAGAGTCTGAAACAAGATGAAAAAATCTGGAAGGGTTTTAAAGGAGCTGAATGGATCTGAGAGAATTTGAAAGAATCTGAAAGAATCTGAAAGAATCTGAAACAATCTGAGAGAATCTGAGAGAACGCGAAAGAGCTCAGAAGAACCTGAAAGAATCTGAAAGTATGGAAAGGCCTGGAAGAGTCTAAAGGGGTCTGAGAGAATCTGAAACGATCTGAAAGAATTGGAATGAACATAAAAGATCTTAAAAGAACATGAAATAATCTGAAAGAATTTGGAAGGATCTGGAAGCATCTGAGAAAATCTGATAAGACCTGAGAGAATCTGAAAAGATCTGAAAAGATCCAAAAGGATCTGAGGGAATCTGAAAGAATTAGAATGAATATGAAAAAGCCTGAAAGAACATGAAATAATAAAAAAATATGGAAAGGCCTGGGAGGGTCGTCTGAAGGGATCTGAGAGAATCTGAAAAGATCTGAAAGGATCCAAAAGGATCTGAGGGAATCTGAAAGAATTAGAATGAATATGAAAGAGCCTGAAAGAACATGAAACAATCTGAAAGAATTTTGAATGGTCTGGAAGTGTCTGAGAGGATCTGATAGGAACTGAGACAATCTGAATGAATCTGAAAAGATCTGAAAGAATAAGAGAGAATCTGAATGAATTCCAAAAACATAAAAGGACCTGAAGAACATGAAAGAATCTGAAGAAGTTTGAAAAGATCGAAAAGAATCTGAAAGAATCTGAGAGAATCTGAAAGAATTTAAAAGAATCTGAAAGGATCTGAAAGAATTTGAAATAATCTGAAAAGATCTGAAAGAATCTGAAAGAACGCGAAAAAGCCTGGAAGAACCTGAAAGAATCTGAAAGTATGGAAAGGCCTGGAAGAGTCTGAAGGGGTCTGAGAGAATCTGAAACGATCTGAAAGAATTGGAATGAACATAAAAGAGCTTGAAAGAACATGAAATAATCTGAAAGAATTTGGAAGGATCTGGAAGCATCTGAGAGAATCTGATAAGACCTGAGAGAATCTGAAAAGATCTGAAAAGATCCAAAAGGATCTGAGGGAATCTGAAAGAATTAGAATGAATATGAAAGAGCCTGAAAGAACATGAAATAATCAAAAAATATGGAAAGGCCTAAGAGGGTCTGAAGGGATCTGAGAAAATCTGAAAGGATCTGAAAGGATCCAAAATGATGTGAGGCAATCTGAAAGAATTAGAATGTATATGAAACAGCCTGAAAAAACATGAAACAATCTGAAAGAATTTTGAATGGTCTGGAAGTGTCTGAGAGGATCTGATAGGAACTGAAGCAATCTGAATGAATCTGAAAAGATCTGAAAGAATAAGAGAGAATCTGAATGAATTCCAAAAACATAAAAGGACCTGAAGAACATGAAAGAATCTGAAGAAGTTTGAAAAGATCGAAAAGAATCTGAAAGAATCTGAGAGAATCTGAATGAATTTGAAAGAATCTGAAAGGATCTGAGAGAATCTGAAAGAATTTGAAAGAATCTGAAAGGATCTGAAAGAATTTGAAATAATCTGAAAGGATCTGTAAGAATCTGAAAGAACGCGAAGAGCCTGGAAGAACCTGAAAGAATCTGAAAGTATGGAAAGGCCTGGAAGAGTCTGAAGGGGTCTGAGAAAACCTGAAACGATCTGAAAGAATTGGAATGAACATAAAAGAGCTTGAAAGAACATGAAATAATCTGAAAGAATTTGGAAGTATCTGGAAGCATCTGAGAGAATCTGATAAGACCTGAGAGAATCTGAAAAGATCTGAAAAGATCCAAAAGGATCTGAGGGAATCTGAAAGAATTAGAATGAATATGAAAGAGCCTGAAAAAACATGAAATAATGAGAAAATATGGAAAGGGCTGGGAGGGTCTGAAAGGATCTGAGAAAATCTGAAAGGATCTGCAAGGATCCAAAATGATCTGAGGGAATCTGAAAGAATTAGAATGAATATGAAAGAGCCTGAAGGAACATGAAATAATCTGAAAGAATTTGGAGTGGTCTGAAAATGTCTGAGATGATCTGATAGGAACTGAGAGAATCTGAATGAATTTGAAGGGATAAGAGACAATTTGAAAGAATTCCAAAAACATAAAAGGGCTTGAAAGAACATGAAAGAACCTAAAGAAGTCGGAAAGAATCTTGGAGGTTTTTAATGTTTTTTTTTTTTTAATAATTTGGAAGTATCTTTGAGACCCCTAGTGCTTTTATGAAAGAATTTAACTAATTCTCAGGCCCCTCGTTGTTTTATTTTTGAAACATTTTGAAAGAATTTGAAAAGATCTACAAACATCTGAAAGAATCTGAAACAACATGAAAAAGTCTGAAAGGACATGAAGAATCTGAGACAGTCTGGAAGGATCCGAGAGGATCTGAAAGGATTCGAAAGGATATGAAAGGGACCTGAGAGGTTCTGAAGGGATCCGAAAGGATCTAAAAGCATCTGAAAGGATCTGAAAGAATCTGAGAGAATCTGAAAGAATCCGAAAGCATCTCAAAGGATCCGAAAGGATCTGAAAGAATCTGAAAGGTTCTGAAAGGATCTGAAAGAATCCGAAACCATCTGAAAGGATTTGAAAGGATCCGAAAGAATATGAAAAGATCCGAAAGGATCAGAGAGGATCTGATGGGATCCGAAAGGATCTGAAAGAATCTGAGAGATATGAAAGTATCTGAAAGGACCTGAAAGATCTGAAAGGATCTGAAAGTATCTGAAAGGATCTGTAAGAATCTGAAAGAACATGCAACACCCTTAAAGAACTTGAAAGAATCAGAAAATATGGAAAGACCTCGGAGAGTCTGATGGGTTCAAAGAGAATCTGAAACGATCTGAAAGGATCCAAAAGAATCTGAAGGCATCTGAAAGAATTAGAAAGAATATGAAAGAGCCTAAAAGAACATGAAATAATCTGAAAGAATTTGGAATAGTCTGGAAGTGTCTGAGAGGATCTGAAAGGATAAGAGAGAATCTGAAAGAATTCCAAAAACATAAAAAAGCCTGAAGAACATGAAAGAATCTGAAGAAGTTTGAAAAGATCAGAACGAATTTGAAAAAATCTGAAAGAATCTGAAAAAATCTGAAAGGGTCTGAAAGAATCTGAAAGAATCTGAAAGAATCTGAAAGAATCGGAAAGAATCGGAAAGCATCTAAAATGATCCGAAAGGATCTGAAAGGATCCGAAAGGATCTGAAAGGATCCGAAAGCATCTGAAAGGATCCGAAAGGATCTGAAAGGATCTGAGAGATATGAAAGGATCTGAAAGGATCTGAAATATATGAAAAGATTTGAAAGGATCTGAGGGCATCTGAAAGAATTTGAAATGGTCTGGAATTTTCGGTGAGGATCTGATAGGAACGGGGAGAATCTGAGTGAATCTGAAAAGATCTGAAAGGATAAGAGAGAATCTGAAAGAATTCCAAAAACATAAAAGGGCCTGAAGAACGTGGAAGAATCTGAAGAAGTTGAAAAGATCGGAAAGAATCTGAAAGAATCTGAAAGAACCGAAAAGCATTTAAGAATCATTTGTTGTTTTCAACACTTAATAATATATTATCTACTTGTAATTCTATTTATAGCAGAATTGATTTTTATACAGAAACATTTCCTAAATTTCATACTAAGTTAAAGCAAATCTTATTTTAAAAATATTGTAACATTCTCATGTGATTTTATTATTTTTTCTTTGTGTTGTTTAAGGATATTTTTCCGTCAATAAAGTAAGTAAGTAAGTAAAAATGATCCGAAAGGATCTGAAAGGATTTGAAAGGATCGGAAAGCATCTGAAAGAATCTGAAAGGATCTCAAAGAATCCGAAAGCATCTGAAAGTATCCGAAAGGATCTGAGAGATATGAAAGGATCTGAAGGGATCTAAAATATATGAAAAGATTTGAAAGGATCTGAGGGCATCTGAAAGAATTTGGAATGGTCTGGAAGTGTCTGAGAGGATCTAATAGGAACTAAGAAAATCTGAATGAACCTGAAAACATTCTGAAAGGTGCTAAAAGGATAAGAGAGAGGCCTGAAAGAACCTAAAAAATTCTGAAAAGATCGGAAAGAATTGGAGGTTTTTGATTTCTTTTTTTTATTTGAATAAATCTTGGAGTACCAAGTGTTTTTTTTTAATAATTTGGAAGTATCTTTGAGACCCCTAGTGCTTTTATGAAAGAATTTAATTAATTCCCAGGCCCTTAGTCGTTTTATTTATGAAACAATTTGAAACAATTTGAAAGAATCTACAAAAATTTGAGAGAATCTGAAACAACATAAAAGAGTCTGAAAGGACATGAAGAATCTGAAACAATCTGGAAGGATCTGAAAGCATCTAAAAGGATAAGAGATGGTAAAAAGGAAAAATTTGTATAGCGAAATATCGATTTTGCAATTAGACTCCGCCTCATAATTGCAAAATCCATATTTCCTTGCCAAAATGTACCATTTTAACCATTGTCTAAGACCAAATATAAGCCCCGCCCGCCCGCCCTAACTCAATTCTGATGATTTTTTTATTCGTCGTAAGCCAAGAGGCGGAGCTTAATTGTAAAAAGCCTTAATCTTCTATCAGAAATTACCATGTAAAATATGTTCTTAAGTAGTCGTGTTATAGAAAGAAAACTAAATGTCGTCTTATCCTATAATAGGTACTAGCCCCACCCACCCTCTCTTTTTTTAGAGGCCTAAATCAGTCTTATCCTATCTAGTTAAATGTACCATTTTAACCGTGTTCTAAGTTTCTTGTTATGAAAAGATGACTATGTATATTAAAAAAACAAGGCAAATATAAGCCCCGCCCGCCCGCCCTATGTCAGTTCTGATGATTTTTTTATTCGTATTAAACCGAGGGGCGGGGCTTAATGCAATAATTGTATTTGTCTACAGGAATTTACCATTTTAAACATGTTTTAAGTTTCTTGTTCTGAAAAGACGACCACGTATATTAAGAAAAAAAGCAAAATATAAGCCCCACCCACCAACCCTATGTATATTCTGATGATTTTTTTTATTCGTCGTAAGCCGAGGGGCGGGGCTTAATGCAAGAATCGTATTTGTCTGCAGGAATTTACCATTTTAAACATGTTTTAAGTTTCTTGTTCTGAAAAGACGGTCACGTATATTAAGAAAAAAGCAAAATATAAGCCCCACCCACCCGCCCTATCTCAATTCTAATGATTTTTTCTGCAAGTTAAGAAAAGAAACACTATATTTTTTGCTCAATACGTTTGAGAAAATAACCTTAAAAGTATTGAAATAATTGTAAAAGCAGGGAGTCAAGATAAAATCTGCATCACCGATGTACCAAAGACCAACACAAAAGAATTAGAACGAAATACCAAAACATTAGATAATTCAATAAAGAATGGAAAAATCCACTAATTAAAATTAAACTTTTTAATGTATGTAGTAGTCAAGTTGTTGATAAGTTTAAATTCCGCGCCAAAAATTTGAGGTTAAGTCCGACCTATTTTAGCGCCAATTTCGAAAACGCGTTAAACAAGATCAATAAAAACCAAAATACAATGCACATGCACTTTATTTCTAAACATAACTACAACGACAACAAGACAACGACAAATTCACTATGATTCAGACACCAAAAAGGCTTCCTTGGTCACACCCAGCTGAAACACAAAATACTTTGTCTAGACATTCACACTCAAGACAGACTTACAGCTTCGGCCTGATTTTTCACACAGGTAGCCATCAGGGACGCCGTTTCGCACCGATCATCCGTAATTTTTTCTAGTATAAAAAAAAACAATAAAAATCAAATTGAAGAAAACCCCAAGAAAAACGTACTTTGCTCTTCACAGGTGTCGATAATTTGCAAAATTTTTCCGTACAAATCCGCATCCATGGCCTTAATCTCGTGGAAAGCGTCAATTGCTGCTTGTTTATCGAAAGTGCCATCGGGTTTCATCTACAAAACCAAGCTAAATTTAGACACACAAAAAAAATTAAAAAAATTCACAGACCATTTTGTAATGTTCGTAGAAACAGGCGAGGATGCATTTTGCGGTGTGAGTGCTGGGAGGAATCTCATGGGCAATGAGTTGAGCCATGTCCTCTAAACAACAACAACAACAACAATAATAAAAAATAAAAAAAAATTGATTGGTTTACCAGGTGTGGCGTTTTCTTTCTGGACACAGCCGTTTCCAACTACACTGACTTTCTTCATGATCTCTCCATACTGCTCTTGAGTTAGCTTCAAGACAACGTTTTATTAACAAGAAAATTTCGGCACAACTTACCACTTACAGCGTTAGCTCCGAAAACGAAAGCACAAATAACCACAAAAGTTTTCATTTTGTTCGATCTTCTTGACTCGACGACTGTGCAAACCCTGGCGCACTTTATATAGCAAAATTTTTGCAACGTAATTTTTTATTCGTTTTTAATTGACGATAATCAAAAAGTATTTAGAGGCGCTTTTAATTTTTGATGAATCACGTTTATTTAACATCATCTAGCCTTATAAAACTAATAATTATAGTATTGGCTACCTTCCCAGCGTACAACTATGATTTTAGGACATTAAAACCTAATTAATTGTCTAAAATTAGGGAGCACAGTGAGTAATTACGATCTACAAGCCAAGTAATCGACTACGAAGAATGTATAGTTGGTGATTTTGACTACGCGGTTTAGATATAATCGGCAACCATGATCCAGTACGTGCCGTTGAGGACCGTGAACAACAAAGGGAAGAAAATTCGGCTAAATCGGTCTATGTTAATGGCCCTATTTCTGGCCCTTTGGGCTGGAGTTTCCACCGGTGGCGGCTTGGGGACCCCACTTAACAAAAAAGAGTTTTCTTTGGCGGCCATGTCGAAAATGGTTTCAAGTTTTTTTGGTGGTGGTGGGGGTTTGGGTAGATCCGAGTCGCCTAGGACAATGTTCACCAAACAATATTCCATTAGTGCCATGAAAACGAATCTAGAAAACAAATGTCAAATTTGAATTTGGCGCCAAATTCAAACTCACATCGTGCACACTGACATGAAGGCATCGACTGCTTTTAAATACGAAACTGGTGGAAGAGCGGCTTGACTTTTGGCGTGCTGAGTCGACAAAGTTAACAAAGATGTCACTCCAAGCGTCACTCTAGCGGGAGCCGCTTCTGGTTTAATCCAGAACGAAATCCACTAAAAAAAAAACGCTATAGCAACGATTTTATAAAAAGAGGTCCTACTTACTGACATGATCACAATGAGACAGGTGGGTATATACGTATGAAAAAGATAGTACCCTAGGCGACGCTTTAGTTCGAAAACTACCTCCAAACAGGTGAAGTTCCCGGTGGAATAGACTTGAGTACAGTCGGCTGTGTGGTTATGGAGAAGAGCTAGCTGGGGTAGTTCAATGTTTTCGTCTACCACTAGTGGTACATCGGGGTCCCATTGGAAGATCATGTCGTCGGTAGTATGGGACACTATATACCATATGGGTTGAAGTGTGTAAATAAATATGTATACATAGTTCTTACAACTTTCCATCTGCAACTTGCACTCCTGCGTATCATGTGGATAAATCATAAAATTCATAGCACAGCTCAGCCGCAACGTCAATCTAAAACCCACCAATCAGACACCGCCACGTCCCCCGACTCCGCCCTTACTTCACCATATACAAAATCGTCTTATCCTTATACAGCCACATGTAATGATTCGGAATCGTCATAGTCTGAAACGTCACCGATTTCGCGTTCTTAAAGAACGAATCCGGCCTCCACATATTCTTCAGCCAATCCACTTCCAGCAACCTGTACTCTGACGTCATATTCTCCGGTAGTCTCAACCGGTGGTCTTTCCAGGTCTGCGCGAAGAAAATGTCCGCCGCGTACGTCATCGAGCCCTCGTCGATGCTGTCCAAGCCCATCACGGTCACATGGAAGTAGACCTTGGTGGGGTTGCCGTCCTTCTTGGGCGGGCGCATTTTGTCGTACTTGATGGGGTCCTCGGGGAGGATGTCATTGATGGTTAAGCCGGTGCTAAAAATAACGATGTAGGGGTAGATTTTTTACGGGGAAACACATACGTTGATTCTTCACGCTCTAGTTCCGCTCGTTCCGCAAATTGCTCGTGGTAAAAATCTAGAGGGCAGAGGCTGGAAATGGTAGAAAATGTCTCTAAAGTTATGCTGTCGGGGACTAAAAGGGTAATTGATGCGGGTGTTATGCTAAGTGGCGGCGGCTAAATGGGGAAAAAATTCCGATACCGGGAATTGAACCCGAATCTCCTGGGTGAAAGCCACTAGACCATATCGGATGTGAGTGACGTAGTCTGGTGCCATTTGTCCAGAAAAATGTCTAGCACGCTTGGAAATTTAGTGTGAAAAATTGTGTTGGCAACGCGGCTGTCAGTTTTAAATAGCTGCAATGCCAACATGATTATTTTAAAAATAAATTTCGTGGACTACGAGAGGAATTTCTTTGATTGATCTGACTAATAATAACTACGATAGGTCAATCCTGTATAGTTACAATTTTTAATCCGTAAAAAACAAAAAAAAAATAAATAATAAAAAGGGAATTCCGATACCGGGAATCGAACCCGAGCCTCCTGGGTGAAAGCCAGGTATCCTAGCCACTAGACCATATCGGATGTTGGGAAGGATAGCCAGATGCTAAGAATTCTTTTTCAAACTATTTTATTTACGGAAATAGATTATACAAAAACTAGTGAATATTTTTATAGTCTTAAGTGGGATTTATAAACTTGCTGCATTAAAGTTCCCGTTGCAATTGCTGTTCCCGCTGACGTTGCTTTTCGAGCTGAAAGTCGTCATTTATAAATTCCATTGCCAAAAAAGCAAAATGTAGCCCCGCCCACCCGCCCTATCTCAATTGTGACGATTTTTTTATTGGTCGTGAGCCAAGAAGGCGGAGCTTAACTGCAAAATCCTTATTTTTCTACGAGAACCCACCCCTACCTGCCCTGATCTAAATAGCAATTAAGTTTTTATTCGTCGACAGACCTAGGGGCGGAGCCTAGTTGCCAAATCCATATGTTCTTAAAAAAAATCTCCGTTTTGAATGTGTTTTGAGTTTCTAAGAATTAAAAAAATCATCACAATTGAGATGGGGTGGGTGGGCGGGGTTTATATTTTGCCTTTTTTTCTTAATATGTAGTATTCTTTGAACAATACGATGCTCAAAAATATATTTTTAATTTCTTGTAAAGAAATAAGTATTTTGCAATTAAGCTCTGCCTCCTTTGTACATGGTGAATAAGAAAAATCATCGCAATTGAGATAGGGTGGGTGGGCGGGCTTACATTTTGCATTTTTGTTTTAATATATGTAGACTTCTTTTCATGAAACTCCGCCTTATAATTTTAAAATCCATATTTCCTTACAAAAATGTACTATTTTTACCATATTTTAAGTTTCTTGTTCTGAAAAGATGTCTATGATATTTAGAAAATAAAAGGCAAAATATATGCCCCACCCACCCACCCTATCTCTATTCTGATGATTTTTTTCATTCGTCGTTAGCCGAGGGGCGGAGCCAAATTGCAAAATCCATATTTTCTTTAAGAATTTCTCCATTTTAAATGTGTTTTACGTTTCTAAGAATAAAAAAAATCTTCACAATTGAGATGGGGTGGGTGGGCGGGGTTTATATTTTGTTTTTTTTTTTTTCTTAATATATGTAGTATTCTTTGAACACGATACTCAAAAACATGTTTTTAATTTCTTGTAAAGAAATAAGTATTTTGCAGTTAAGCTTAGCCCCATTGGTTCACGGAAGATAAAAAAAAATCATCTCAATTGAGATAGGGCGGGTGGGCGGGGCTTATATTTTGCCTTCTTTCTTAATATACGTAGTCGTCTTTTCACAACAAGAAACTTAAAATATGTTTAAAATGAAAAATTTGTATAGGGAAATATCGATTTTGCAATTAGGCTCCGCTTCATAATGGCAAAATTCAAAAAAACAAAAGAGAAGCCCCACCCATCCATCCCAAGCTCATTGTTGTGAATTTTTTATTCGTTGTCAGATCGAGGGGCGGGGCTTAATTGCAAAATCCATATTTATCTAAAAGAATTTACCTTTTTAAACATATTTTACTTTTCTTGTTGTGAAAAGAAGACTATACTACACATATTAAGAAAAAATGGCAAAATGACAGAAAATTTCAGTGTTTAAAATATGAGGGTTTTGGTTAACAGGTGATTAAATAAAATTAGTGGACCTCATTATCTCTACTAAAATTTTATTTTCGTGGAATTAGTGCTGTCAACCAGAAAAATGTCACCCCTAATTCAGGGGATTTTTCTTCAAGTTGGCAGCTCTGCACACTACTGCAGTTTGATTGGTTGAAAACCCAACGGTAACGTAACGGTGAACAGCAACGTCAGCGACAAGTTTATAAATCGACCTTTAGTAAAAATACTGGCGACATAAATATATTTTTTAATTATTGTTGTATGATTTATTGATTCTAAAACTGTTGACATCCTACAAAAAATTTTGATAAGAAATTGCAGAAAATAATAACAATGTTGATTGCATCAATGGTTTATTGTTTATTGATGATTAAAGTTGGAACTTCTAGGGGACAAACCCTATATACAAGGTGAGCCACTAAGTGCGCTGTCCAGTTTTCTTGAAATTTTTGAGCAATGGAATGATTCACAAAAAAAACAGAAGGATTATTTTTAAAATCTGTGTTATAACATTTATGTGGTAAAATGTAATTAAATTTTCATATACATGTTTACAAAATGTTTTCAGTTTTTTCAAATATTAATTAATTAATTAATAATAATAATATATTTTCTATATTTACAGCACTAGATTAGAACCAATTACAAAAAAAACGTTTCCGATACCGGGAATCGAACCCGAGCCTCCTGGGTGAAAGCCAGGTATCCTAGCCACTAGACCATATCGGATGTTGAAGATTATAGCCAGACGCTGAAAGTTCTAGCTTTTGTCTCTAGATTGATAACATTTATCAATTTAGGTATTTAATCTCAACTCATAAATCAAATTACCTTGGAAGAAATGTTCACCGAATATTTCACTTGTCTAACTTTTTTATTTATGGAGATAAATTGTAAAAATCTGTGTATATTCTATATATGTGGTGAATATTCTTAGTGGGTATTTTTTTTAAATGATTGTTGAATTATTTAGTTGTTTATGAAACTGCTGACTTCATTAAAAAAAAAAGGAAAACAATTTACATAATAATAATACGACTAATCTGCTCGATGGTGAATAATTAATGAAAAAAGTGGGAAGTTTTAGGTGAAAAACGCTGTATATTAATAAATATAGTAGCCAACAGAGAATTTACAAAATAAAATACACTTAGATCTTAGATATAATAACTTTTTTCGTGTCTTAAAAAGATAATTCATTTCAGAATTTATAAAGAAAACTCATTTTAAAATTAAATTTTCTGGCGAACTGGATATTTTAAATTTATGGTATTTAAGCACAATACATTTTTAATCAAAGTATATTCGCCTATTTTGCCAGATAAATCCTATTTAAAATGTACAAAATATGATGAGTTTATACTTGCGATTTATTTTTAATATAAGTATAATAAATATATTTTAAATTTACTGATACAGGGTGTCTCAGAAAAATTAATGACTGAGTTGTTAAAAAATAAATATCCAATGAGATTTAGGAATTTAACTCGTTATAACACCTTTTAAATTTAACAAATTTTTACAAGTAGGGGCAAATTCAGTCTTACCTTAGCAAGTGCTAGCCCCCCCACCACCCGCCCCCTACTTTCTGAAGGTTTATGTTATGTGCCAAAATCAGTCTTATTTTAGCAAGTACTAGCCCCGCCCACCCGCCTCCTACTTTCTGAGGGTTTATGTTATTTGCCAAAATCGGTCTTATCTTAGCAAGTACTAGCCCCGCCCACCCGCCCTCTATTTTATCAGAGGGTGTGGCATTTGCCAAAATCAGTCTTATCTTAGTAAGTACTAGCCCCGCCCACCAGCCCCTTACTTTCTGGGACTTTATATCATTTGCCAAAATCAGTCTTATCTTCGCAAGTACTAGCCCCGCCCACCCGCCCCTTACTTTCTGAGAGTTTATATCATTTGCCAAAATTACTCTTATCTTAGCAAGTACTAGCCCCGCCCACCCACCCTCTATTTTCTTAAAAGATTTATCATTTGCAAAATCAGTCTTATCTTAGCAAGTACTAGCCCCGCCCACCCGCCCCTTACTTTCTGAGAGTTTATATTATTTGCCAAAATCAGTCTTATCTTATCAAGTACTAGCCCCGCCCACCCGCCCCCTGCTTTCTGAGAATTTATGTTATTTGCCAAAATCAGTCTTATCTTAACAAGTACTATCTTCTGAGAAAATAAAGGGCGGGTGGGCGGGGCTACTAGAATTTATGTTATTTGCCAAAATCAGTCTTATCTTACCAAATACTAACCCCGCCCTCCCGCCCCCTATGTTATCAGAGGGTATGGCATTTGCCAAAATCAGTCTTATCTTAACAAGTACTATCTTCTGAGAAAATAAAGGGCGGGTGGGCGGGGCTACTACTTGCTAACATAAGTCTTATTTTGGCAAATCACATATCCTTTGGAAAATAGTGGGTGGGTGGGTGGCACTAGTATTTGGTAAGATAAGACTGATTTTGGCAAATCACATATCCTTTGGAAAATAGTGGGCGGGTGGGTGGGGGTAGTATTTGGTAAGATAAGACTGATTTTGGCAAATCACATATTCTTTGGGAAAATAGTGGGTGGGTGGGCGGGCGGGCCTAGTATTTGTTAAGATAAAACTGATTTTGCCCCTATTAATCTTGTAAAAATTTGTGAAATTTAAAGGTGTTAAATTGCAAATTTTCATAGTAACGCGTGCAAACAGACACACCTTTAAAAATCCATGGGTGTCTTTGATCGTGATTTTTATTGATGTCTGTATAAAAGACCGATTTGAATTTAAATTTGTACACCGAGAAATACGCCAGTCTACAAAAAATTGCCTGATGAAACAAACCGGTTTAAAAAAATTTTAATCACTGGATTAGAAGCAACCATAAAAAAAGATTCCGATACCGGGAATCGAACCCGAGCCTCCTGGGTGAAAGCCAGGTATCCTAGCCACTAGACCATATCGGATGTTGAACCGTGTAGCCAGACGACGAAAGTTCTAGCTTTTATCTCTAAATTGATAAGAATTATCAATTTAGGTATTTAATCTCAAGTCATAAATCAAATTACCTTAGAAGTAATGTTCACAGAATATATCACTTTTCTTTGTAACTTTTTTATTTATGGAAATATATTGTGCAAAATCTATGCATATTCTACATATGTAGTGAATATTGTTGCCGTGTTACTAAAAATAATGGAAATATTTTAAAAAATTATTGCTAAATTATCTAGTAGATTACAAAACTGCTGATCAACAAGACGAAAATTCTATGTATGTATTTCAATTTTTTTATTGCTTTCTTGGAATAATCCATTGCTAAAAAATAATTTCGTTTGTTAAATAAATAAATGGTTTAAAAGTACAAAAAAAAAGCTTCCGATACCGGGAATCGAACCCGAGCCTCCTGGGTGAAAGCCAGGTATCCTAGCCACTAGACCATATCGGACTGTGCTTGTACGTAGTCCTGCATACCATGTGCGAGAAGTTACGCCTTTATTAATATAAAATTAATCACCTGTCTACACTCACTTGTGAATGCACCTTTAGTTCATTAACACTGATGACTTCATTGGAAGAAATTTAGAAAAAAAAATTCCGATACCGGGAATCGAACCCGAGCCTCCTGGGTGAAAGCCAGGTATCCTAGCCACTAGACCATATCGGATGTTATTTCTACGTATGCTACTAATACTATTTCTAGTCAATGATTTTGATCTACACCACACACACCTATACCCCTTTTCTACTTACGCTATATCCGCATTTAACACATCGCAAACAATAACAAAAACAAAAATTAACAATTTCGAGCGCATTTGCCTCAGTGCACTAACGCATTTTATCGTAAAAATTTAACCAACACCCGCCAAACTTCCCTTTTTTACATGGTTCGCTTAAGCTTGCGTCTCGGCATCTGCCAGAATAAAGGAGTGAAAATAGCCGACTAAGCGATAAAAAGGTTGTGAAGCCTTCTTATGCACTTTGAACCACCCCTCTCACCACCCCAAATTACCGGATGCGGAGGATCGAGCATCATTATCGTCCCAATCAAGTCCTTTGTTTGACTTGCGCAAGTTATAAAGAAGCAGATGAAAGTCTTTACGAGACGGTTATTTACTTTAAGTTCTATAGAGTACGACGAAATAGGAGGAATTATCGTGAACAGAGCTAGAGTTAGTGCGCATCTCTGGGGTACACCTACGTTTTTATTTTTGTGCTGACTAGAACTACCTACTGCTTTATGGAATAATTAAAACACCGTAATTATAGCAAAAAGTCGCCCATTAAAGGTTAATGGAAAATCGTTACTCAAACGCCTTTCTTTGTTAGTTAAAAAGCCCTCAAGCACGATTTGGCGTCAGCACTTTTTCAAGAATTCGTCCTTTAGTGGTGGAGTGGCGACAAAGACAACTTAAGCTATAAAACTCATTTATTATAAAATATCACAATATACAGGAATAAATATTCTAGCAATAGGGAAGTACATTACTGGTTATAGGCACCACCCAAAAACCTAAAGAAAATGGGGGCAGTTCCACATAGGGGTTTGCTATTACAGTCTTTGGTAGCAAATCTGGCACGTCGTTTGTTTGAGTCAGCTCGAGAAGTTTATCATTCAGGTAGATAAACCTAGAACGAAACACATGTAATTGTGGCTGCAATTTACGTCCACCCACCTCGAATCGATGCGATCCACAGTCGACAAAATGTAAGCGTGCACTTTAAATTTCTGCATTTCTTGAGGGTCGCTAAAAACCGTAATTCCTTCAAAACGGATTCTCGCTCGACGGTTGCTGATGTTGACTCCGAAAACTAAGAATAGTTACAAAAAGGGAAAACGATATAGTTACAGTAGTACCAGTGACAGATGACATGTTGTTATAGTAACTTTTGGAATTCGTGCAGTGGCAATACAGTCGGACTTTATCCGACTGCGACAACCGACAATCCACAACTTTATTACCAACTAGTTTTTTGTACAAAACGCTCACCCACCAATCCTTAAAATCGCACAAATCAGACAACAAAAACACACTCGTGGGGAATATACAGGAGTCGGGAAATAGTAATTGTTAATTAAAGCGTAGTGCCCTTGGAAAATCGACTGTCTAATCACCAAACTCAAACCACTCCTAGCAGCCATCCCTAGCTTATCCAACCAGATAAATGTGGCGATGTAGCGATCTGAAAGGTGCGGAGCCCCACCACCGTACGCAGAGGAAGTTTCGCCTTAAAGTCAGCGTTAGTACCACCTTAACAAAAACCAAAATCGTGCTAACCCAACCAAATTGGCTTATCCACACCCGCCTGTGCAACAATATCCTTAACTATGTTAATCTGCCACTGCAACATATCAAAGTTGTCAGGATCTAGAAAGTCTGGGATTTTAGCGACAGCCCCGTTGAAATAATATCTATAAGAGTGAAGTTAGTCACGTTAAGACAGACGGACCACGGCCAACTGTATTAATACATATGGCCATCCCAATTCGTATAAAAAGTTGATTCTTTGACGTTTCCAGAATCGTTAATCAGGCAACGACATCTGTTGAGTACAATTATGAACTTGGTTGGCAACTAATTGTCAAAATGACGTTTTAAAATATCACGTTTTTCTGAAAGTGTAGATAATGGCACAAGAACATTAACGATATTACTCCTACTATTTAGTTTTGAAATAAGATAGATATATTTTTACAAAACGAAAATTATTTAACAAAAAGGAAGGTACATATTCATAATTTTAAAACTTTTCTGCTGGTAGGTTTGTTACAGATCGTTATTTTCTTCAACCAGTCTGTTTGTTCCAAACAAATAAACTGGTTTCACTGTTGCTCGAATAATTATATCACAAACTCTTGATTTATGTTCCAAGCAACAAAATCATGGATTTTGGTCCAAAGAAGGATGGAGTAGATTACATATTTGTTGACATGTCTTTTTGGAGTTTAAAAACGCCAACATTTTTTGAGTGACATCACTTAACAATTCCGCAGCGGAGGATTTGACACATTGCATATTCTGCCGCTCTGGTATCCGTTGCATCATTGGAGCCTCCTTTTAATCTCACGTGTGAGAACGTTGCTTCCACCGCATCGGAGCTAAAGGAACGCGTAAGAACATAGTAAAAGCCTGCTTGTTCTAATAAAAACTTAACACACAAATATGTACTTCTGGCAATAAATTTTAAAGCATGTGCAGTCTCTTGAGTGAAACCACGAAAACCGGTGCTAGCAGTATTTGATAAGATAAAACTGATTTTCGCACTTTTGACATTTTCAACTATTTTTCATTTATTTTCGAAAATTAGCGAAAAAAGTGACAACAATTTTTCGTAATTTCCAGAAAATTTTTGTCTGAAACAGTTAAAAGACGATCTGATCCACCGGAAAATATGTAGTTGACTTATAAATAAAATATTTTTTGACGATTCGTCTTCAAATAACTGAGAAATGCGAGGAAAGGACTCCAAAAATTTCCAAAATTTCCAAAAAATTTGAAACCGTTCCAAATGGCTTTATTTCAGAGAAAAACATTGACTTTCTAGTTTTATAGAATACTAATCGCAAATTTACCTTATGAAATACTAGCCCCGCCCACCCACTCACCCTCCATTTTCTTAAAGAGTATGTCGTTTGCCAAATATTGTCTTATCTTAGCAAGTACTAGCCCCACCCACCCACCCTGTATTTTCTTAGGGATATGTTATTTACTAAAATCAGTTTTTTTCTTAGCAAATACTAGCCCCGCCCACCCGCCCTCTCTTACCTTGTAGGATATGTCATTTGCCACCATTAGTCTTACCTTAGCAAGTACTAGCCCCGCCCACCCGCCCTCTAGTTTCTTGGAAGGTATGTGATTTGCCAAAATCAGTATTATCTTAGCAAGTACTATATTGTATATTGAAATGGCAAAATAAATGATTAAACAATAATTAAATAGTACTTGCTAAGATAATACTGATTTTGGCAAATCACATACCTTCCAAGAAAATAGAGGGTGGGCGGGCGGGGCTAGTATTTGATAAGATAAAACTGATTTTCGCACTTTTGACATTTTCAACTATTTCAGATAATTAGTTGAAGACATTTTTTTGTAATTTCCAAAAATTTTTTGTCTGAAACAGTTAAAAGACGATCTGATCCAACGGAAAATAGTTGGCTTATAGATAATTTTTCGCAGATGACGAATCTAAAATATTTTTCACGATTTCTCTTCAAATAACTGAGAAATGCGAGAAAAGGAGTCCAAAAATTCCCAACATTTCCAAAAAATTCTAAAACCGTTCTAAATGGCTTTATTTGAGAGGAAAACATTGACTTTCTAGTTTTATAGAATACTAATCGCAAATTTACCTTATGAAATACTAGCCCCGCCCACTCACTCACCCTCCATTCTCTTAAAGAGTATGTCGTTTGCCAAAAATTGCCTTATTTAAGCAAGTACTAGCCCCACCCAGCCACCCTGTATTTTCTTAGGGATGTTTTTTACTGAAATCAGTTTTTTTCTTAGCAAATATTAGCCCCGCCCACCCGCCTTCTCTTACCTTGCAGGATATGTCATTTGCCACCGTTAGTCTTACCTTAGCAAGTACTAGCCCCGCCCACCCGCCCTCTAGTTTCTTGGAAGGTATGTGATTTGCCAAAATCAGTATTATCTTAGCAAGTACTATATTGTATATTGAAATGGCAAAATAAATGATTAAACAATAATTAAATAGTACTTGCTAAGATAATACTGATTTTGGCAAATCACATACCTTCCAAGAAAATAGAGGGTGGGCGGGCGGGGCTAGTATTTGATAAGATAAAACTGATTTTCGCACTTTTGACATTTTCAACTATTTTTCAACTATTTCAGATAATAATTAGTTGAAGACATTTTTTTGTAATTTCCAAAAATTTTTTGTCTGAAACAGTTAAAAGACGATCTGATCCAACGGAAAATAGTTGGCTTATAGATAATTTTTCGCAGATGACGAATCTAAAATATTTTTCACGATTTCTCTTCAAATAACTGAGAAATGCGAGAAAAGGAGTCCAAAAATTCCCAACATTTCCAAAAAATTCTAAAACCGTTCCAAATGGCTTTATTTGAGAGGAAAACATTGACTTTCTAGTTTTATAGAATACTAATCGCAAATTTACCTTATGAAATACTAGCCCCGCCCACCCACTCACCCTCCATTCTCTTAAAGAGTATGTCGTTTGCCAAAAATTGCCTTATTTAAGCAAGTACTAGCTCCACCCAGCCACCCTGTATTTTCTTAGGGATGTTTTTTACTGAAATCAGTTTTTTTGTTAGCAAATATTAGCCCCGCCCACCCGCCCTCTCTTACCTTGTAGGATATGTCATTTGCCACCGTTAGTCTTACCTTAGCAAGTACTAGCCCCGCCCACCCGCCCTCTAGTTTCTTAGAAGGTATGTGATTTGCCAAAATCAGTATTATCTTAGCAAGTACTATATTGTATATTGAAGTGGCAAAATAAATGATTAAACAATAATTAAATAGTACTTGCTAAGATAATACTGATTTTGGCAAATCACATACCTTCCAAGAAAATAGAGGGTGGGCGGGCGGGGCTAGTATTTGATCCAACGGAAAATAGTTGGCTTATAGATAATTTTTCGCAGATGACGAATCTAAAATATTTTTCACGATTTGTCTTCAAATAACTGAATCTAAATGTTACCCTTTTTAAAAAACTTTCTAATACCACCGTTTTTAAACTCTAAAAACACATGTCAACAAATATGTAATCTGCTCCATCCTTCTTTGGACCAAAATCCATTATTTTGTTGCTTGGAACATAAATCAAGAGTTTGTGATATAATTATTCGAGCAACAGTGAAACCAGTTATTGATAATATTTGTTTGGAACAAACAGACTGGTTGAAGAAAATAACGATCTGTAACAAACCTACCAGCAGAAAAGTTTTAAAATTATGAATATGTACCTTCCTTCTTGTTAAATAATTTTCGTTTTGTAAAAATATATCTATGTTATTTCAAAACTAAATAGTAGGAGTAATATCATTAATGTTTTTGTGCCATTATCTACACTTTCAGAAAAACGTGATATTTTAAAACGTCATTTTGACAATTATTTGCCAACCAAGTTCATAATTGTACTCAACAGATGTCGTTGCCTGATTAACGATTTTGGAAACGTCAAAGAATCAACTTTTTATACGAATTGGGATGGCCATATGTATTAATACAGTTGGCCGTGGACGGACACACTTACTGGTGCCACGTGATTGCATTAACTATGTCATGCGCAGCACCAGTGAACGTTTTTAAGTAGGTTTCACTAGCGTTTTTTCCACGTTGGGGTCTGGTTACATCCGGACCCACCAACAAAGAGTTAGCATATTTTGGATATTCATTTAGAATTTTTCTGAGTGTGTGAAAATCTGCAGCCATTTGAGACGGGGTGACGTCATAGTTGAACTGGTGACGAAACGAGTTTGGCTCTATAAGTACAAAATGAACTTCAGTTGTGACTCTATATTGTAAATACCGTTTCCTAGCTCCCAGTTTATGTTCAAGTTAAAGTTGTTTGAAAAACTGATTAATTTTTCCGCATTTGTGGGGTCCCAGCTGCCGTTGTCGAACCGTTTGAGCGAATTTAAGTCAAATATCATGTCTAAACCCGTATTTGCTGCTAATTGGTTCAGTTGTAGCCACTCATGTTCGTTCATTGTGAAGTTAGGTTTAGCCAAATAGTCACAGTGTCGCGGTCCATATGAACACACCCCTCCATCCATATCGCCCCGTAAATGCTTAAAATGGAACGTTTTCGACGTGAAGAAGGTCAGCCGGTCTGCCATTGTCCCCCCTACGCGCAAATACCCCGGCGCCAGAGCCCCCATCAACTTCAAAACCCTCTGATTTCTACAAATTGCGGTTAAGTACGACAAGAATCAAGTTTTGCGTTTACTTTAAATCGAAGTGCTTGAACCCGCTTGCAATCAACGACGAGTCCAAAGCCACACTCAGAAACTTCTCATCTGTCACAAACTTCGGCTGGGTGCCCTCCATGTACACCACGTGCACCTTCTGGGTCATATCGAGCGCGAAAATCGCCAGGATTGTCATCACTGTGACGAAAAACACAGTCACGGAAATGACGGTGCACAAGTTGCCGCATTTTCTCACTGCAAAGGGGGTTGAGACACCTGATCGGGGTTACAATTTTTACTTACGTCTCGGCCTGTGGGTCTGTATGGCGCTATCGTCGAACAACACCAACATAGTCCGCGGATTTTTCCTAAAAAATACTCAAAATAATTGACAAAAATCAACAAAAACATAACCTCACTTTTTTTGTTTGCGCTGTGCGGAGAGCGGTGCGGTTTTTCGTGAACGGTAATTTCAGAGGTACTGGACCCGAAAACTGGTGGTTTTTGATTCAACTTGTGTCGATTTGATCGTGATTTGGGAGAAACGTGATGAAAAAAACAAACTTCAAAATAAACAGGGTCACGTGACGGGAGTGCGCAGGGCTGCAAATATGAAAGAGCCAATTGAGGGAGGTGTTGGCAGCGGCACGACTTGTAAAAAATTCAAATCGCTAACCAAAAAGCTCGACAAGTCACCGGCGGCCAACAAATCGTGTTTTTACCCAATTTAAGTCGTAATTATATTTTTTCAACTACTAAAAATAAAATACAAATTTTTGTGTAACAGTAAAACATAGTGAGCTGTGACAGTCGTGATCACTGGTGAAAAATGGCGTTATGTTAGTGCGCGCTTTTGGGAAAATTTTCAATAAAAAAACGTAAAAAAGACAAAATCGGGGTGAAAACGCAACAACTGGATCGTCCTTAACTGGTAAATATAAATTCCGTTTTTCGCGCGCTATTAATCGTTTCAGATTTGCCACTCGACATTGCAGGTATTGAGCAACTAAAATAACATAGTCGCCTGTGGGACGCCATTTAATAATCACAAACGCCGTTATAAAATTTATGAAAATCCCGTTTTTCCTCACGAAAAATGTCGATCGTGCACGTTCTACGTGGAAAACCTCTCCAATCCTACCTCCTGACTCGCTTCAACCGGAAAAACTTCGCCAATGACTCTACAAAGACATCTGCCACTTCCGCCTCAACCACCGCAGGAACGACGCAGCCACAGGGGCGCGCCCCCTTCATAACTGGTACTTTACCCCCACTTTTCCGTTTTCGTTATCATTTTTACCATCCTAGGCCAAACCAAAATTTCCGCCTCTTCAGACCCACAGGTTAAAGTGGTGCAGAAGCCCGAGCTGAACGTGGTTGTTGATACCACAACAATCAAGAGATCGGTCGTTGCAGACCATATTACTAAGGCGATTTCGTTTGACAACATCCCAGGACCCATCAGTTTGAGAATAATCCACAGGATCTGGGGGCTGCTGCCCATTATTAGCACCCAGATTACGGGAGGGGCGATTCAGTATTTGTTGGCTGTCGGTAAGTTGGGGGGGGTTGTGTAAGTATGGAAGCGACTTTGTTGTATATGTAGGAAGTTTGTTGAGCTGGAGTGGCAATATGGCACTCTTTAAGCGTTTTTTTGACCATTATGGGCCTGTTGTTCGCTTGCACGGCCCGCTGGGGGGCGACATCGTCATGGTAAGTCGACCGGAACACGTAGCCGCCGTTTTTAAGAACGAGGGGCCTTATCCGATCAGGTCTAGCCTCGACTCGGTGGAAAAGTACCGCCTACAGCACCGGAAGTTGCGACATTCAGGTCCCTTTCTTATGTAAGTTTCTTTTCTGCTGCTTAGTATGAATTTCGGGCACTATATTTTGTCGTGTGGTTGCGTGAAGAAGCGTCCCCACTTCCTGTAGGGAATCTGATACTTCCAGGTTCGGTCCTGAATGGGAGAAGTTTCGCAAATCCGTCGAGCAACCTCTACCCCAACTCATCGCCAAGCAGTACGACAAAATGGAGGACACGTGTGATAAATTCATCATGCGCATCGCCACTATAAGAAACCGTCAAGAGGAAGTCCCTGGGACTTTCCAGAAGGAAATTTACAAGTGGTGTCTGGAATGCATGTGCTTGGTCACACTCGACAAAAGATTGGGTTTTTTGGACCCTTGTGGTCTCAGTTCCACGTCCGACCCCGGAGTACTACTCGACGGGTTGATTAAAGCGACTAAAGCGATCCAGAGGTGCGAGTACGGTCTTCACTTGTGGCAGTTTTTCCCGACTCCTGCCTGGAAATCTTTAGTGGAACACTGCGACGCTATTGATAGTGTCCTTAGTAAGTACGTGCGCAGAATCCAGGCGCTGATTAAAGAGAAAAAGGAAGCTGGAGATAAACCCGTCAAAGAGGTGTCATGTCTTATGGAAAACGTCCTCTTGAAACCTGGAATAATGGCAGAAGACGCTATGACGATCTTGCTTGATATGATGTTGATTGGAATCAACGCGACGACTCACACTGTGGCTTTCATGTTGTACCACTTGGCGAGAAACCCGAGGTGTCAGGTCAAACTATACAACGAAGTGGCGCGTCAACCAGGAAAGCTATCCAAAGACGCTTTGTTAGCTATGCCGTACCTCCAAGCTTGTATTAAAGAAACGCTAAGACTTAAACCCCCGATTCCTCTCTTGGGGCGTATTTTGCAGAACGATCTTTCCGTTTATAATTACCATATTCCCAGAGGTACTTACCTTTTGATGGTGACCAGTCTGTCGAGTTGGCGGGAGGAGTATTTCGAGGACGCGCACAAGTTCATGCCCGAGCGTTGGATGAGCCCTCTCGACGAAATGCAAAGTTTCGCGTCGATTCCATTCGGTTATGGAGCCAAGGCTTGCTTAGGCAAGGAGTTAGCGGAGATGCAGATCGGGATTTTGATAACAAAGGTAACGTAGTGTTGGTTAAGGCGCGTGGACACCATTTGGGTGTGTACAATCGCACGCAAATGTTTTGAGCCTATGGGCGGATCATTTTTGCCGATCGTCACCGAAGGAGGCGGTCCAAATCGTCCAAGGGCAGAATTTGTAGGTAGGCTCAAACTACAACGAAATTTACGTGTTGACCAAATTCTTACTCTGAATTAGTTTTAATTTTATAAATACCCTATCTAAAATGTTCAGAATATGATGAGTCTATACTTGTGATTTACCATTCCATTTATATTTTTTGGATTTGTTTATATATACAGGTGACTCAAAAAAATAATGACTGAGTCAATTTATTTTATTGAAGAAATCAAGAATTGCAAAACTGAATACTTTGAAATCTTGTCAATTAGTTGGAACCTGAGTCTATTTTTTTTTGCAATATCTGTGATGTACTATTAGTTTCCGTAAGTTATAAAATTACAAAAAAAAAACCTATTCTGCTCTAATAATATCGGGAATATGCTCAAAATCACACTAATATTAAGTCTAATTGTGGCAACCATAGTTATAAAATTCATATTAAAATAAGTCACGGACATTTTTTGAAGTGTACTACATTTCAAAAAACAAAAAAAAATGTTCAGTTTATAAACTTCATAAATTTGGTTTAAAGTTTATCAACCGGACCGAACGTTCTTCGACCGACATCTTTTCGGTGACAAATTTAATCTTCGCATACTTCAGCGTAGTTAGTGAACTCGTTGTGACCACTGAAATATACAAAGAGTAAATTTTGAAATGGAACGAAAGTCGAAGAATAATTTCAAAGCCACGATCAAAATGTATTTGCTTATCTTCGCCAAAAAATGCATGACGTCATCGTAAAATTTGATATGATGAGTCTATACCTGTGATTTATCATTGCAGTAATATTTTTTAGATGTCTTATACAGCCTGTCTCAAAAAAAGATCACTTCGATTTTCGATTTTTCGTTTTTTCGACCAACCATTTCATCGAATTAGATTTTTCAGTTTCAATTTTTCTATCAACTTTTCGATTTTATTACTTTCCAATTTTCTGATTTTTCAAATTTGCGCAATTTTGAATTTTCGAGTTTTTAGTTTTTTCGTTTTTCGATTTTTTAATTTTTCGTTTTTTTGATTTTTCGATGTTTCGATTTTTTGATTTGCCATTCTTTCAATTTTCGATTTTTCGTCTTTCCATTTTTAGATTTCTGGATTTTTCTGTTCGTCAGTTTTTAGATTTTGCAATTTTTTTGCATTTTTCGATTATACTTTACTTTCCGATTTTTTTGATTTTTGAATTCTCGATTTACGTTTTTAATTCTTCTATTCTCGATTTTCCATTAATCATTAAATTTTTCGATTTTTCGGTTGTTTTATTTCTCGACCTTCGATTTTTCAACTTTCGATTATTCGATTTTCCATTTTCTGATTTTACGATTTTTCCATTTTCGTTTTTCCGCTTTTGTGGTTTTTCGATTTTTCTGTTTGTTTCAGTTTTTAGGGTTCTGTGTTTTGTTTTATTTTTCCATTTTTCGATTATTTTACTTTCCGATAGTTTGATTTTTGAATTTTCGGTTTTTCCATTTTTCGATTTGGAATTTTTCCATTTTTCGGTTTTTTGATTTTTCAAATCTCGGTTTTTCAATCTTGCAAATTTTCGATTTTTCAGATTTGTGAATTTCCAGTTTTTCGATCGAGCTACGTATTAGATTCATTGAATTTTCGATTTTCGGTTTTTCCATTTTTAAATTTTTGATTTTCCAGTTTTGTATTTTCAGATTTTTTGTTTTTCGCATATCCGATTTATCAAATTTTCGATTTTTAGAGCATTTCGATTTTTCGATTATCATTTTTACGATTTTTCAAAATCTCGATATTCGAGTTTTCGATTTTCCATTTTTCAAATTTTCAATTTTTAATTTTGCTTTTTTCGATTGTTGCTTTTTAGAATTTTCCCTTCTTCAGCTTTCAGATTTCAATTTTGTTACTTTCCGATTTTCTACTTTTCGATTTTTTTATTTTTTTTCGATCGTCGTTTTTTCGATTTTCATTTTTCCGATTTTTTGATTTTTCAATTTTTAGGCCTTGCAATTTTTTTACTTTTCGTTTTTTCGAGTATTTGTTTCATCGAATTTTCGATTTTTCGATTTTTGATTTTTCGGTTTTTCCATTTTCCGATTTTCGATTTTTCGATTTTCCATTTTTAGATATTTTTCGATTTTTCTGTTCGTCAATTTTGAGACTTTGCAATTTTTACTTTTCCACTTTTCTATTATTTTAGTTTCGGATTATTCGATTTTTGAATTTTCGTTTTTTTTTTCATTTTTCGATTTCCGATTTTTTAATTTTTCGATTTTTCGGTTTTTTAATTTGTCGATTCTCGATATTCCGATTTTCGATTTTTCGATTTTTCTGTTCGTCAGTTTTTAGGCTTTGCAATTTGTTTACTTTTCGATTTTTCGATTATTTTACTTTCCAATTTTTTGATTTTTGAATTGTCGACTTTAGAGTTTTCAATATTATGAATTTTTGAATTTTCGGTTTTCCTATTTTTCGATTTTTGATTTTTCCATTTTTCGGTTTTTTGATTTTTCAATTCTCGGTTTTTCAATCTTGCAAATTTTCGATTTTTCAGATTTGTGAATTTCCAGTTTTTCGATCGACCTACGTATTAGATTCATTGAATTATCGATTTTCGGTTTTTCCATTTTTAAATTTTTGATTTTCCAGTTTTGTATTTTCAGATTTTCTGTTTTTCGTATATCTGATTTATCAAATTTTCGATTTTTCGGCTTTTCGATTTTTCGATATTTGATTTTCGAATTTTCGATTGTTCAGTTTTCCATTTTTCAGCTTTTAGACTTCAATTTTTTTACATTTCGATTTTCCAAATTTTCGAGTTTCAATTTTCAGATTTTTGATTTTTCGAATTTTTGATTTTTAATTTTTCCATTCTTCGGTTTTTAGACTTCAATTTTCTTTCTTTTAAATTTTTCGATATTCTATTTTCCGCTTTTCAGAATTTTCGATTTTCAGTTTTCAGATCATTAGAATTTTGGATTTTTCAGTTTTATGATTTTTCGGTTTTTAGAAAATTTGAGTAGTCGAATTTTCGATTTTTCAATTCATCGATTTTTCTATGTTCAATTTAAATTTTGCGATTTTCAATTTGTCCATTGTCGATTTTTAGAATTTTCGGTTTTTCAGTTTTTCTATTCTCAACTGTTAGACTTCAATTTTATTACTTTCCGATTTTCTACTTTTCGATTTTTTTATTTTTTTTCGATCGTCGTTTTTTCGATTTTCATTTTCCCGATTTTTTGATTTTTCAATTTTTAGGCCTTGCAATTTTTTTACTTTTCGTTTTTTCAAGTATTTGTTTCATCGAATTTTCGATTTTTCGATTTTCCATTTTTAGATATTTTTCGATTTTTTTTTATTTTTCGATTTTTCTGTTCGTCAGTTTTGAGACTTTGCAATTTTTACTTTTCCACTTTTCTATTATTTTAGTTTCGGATTATTCGATTTTTGAATTTTCGTTTTTTTTTTTCATTTTTCGATTTCCGATTTTTTAATTTTTCGTTTTTCGGTTTTTTAATTTGTCGATTCTCGATATTCCGATTTTCGATTTTTCGATTTTCCAATCTTCAATTTTTCAATTTCCAGCTTTCGATTTTCCACTTTTTGATTTTACGATTTTTAGATTTTTCTGTTCGTCAGTTTTTAGGCTTTGCAATCTGTTTACTTTTCGATTTTTCGATTATTTTACTTTCCAATTTTTTGATTTTTGAATTGTCGACTTTTAGAGTTTTCAATATTATGAATTTTTGAATTTTCGGTTTTCCTATTTTTCGATTTTTGATTTTTCCATTTTTCGGTTTTTTGATTTTTCAATTCTCGGTTTTTCAATCTTGCAAATTTTCGATTTTCGGTTTTTCCATTTTTAAATTTTTGATTTTCCAGTTTTGTATTTTCAGATTTTCTGTTTTTCGCATATCTGATTTATCAAATTTTCGATTTTTCGATATTTGATTTTCGAATTTTCGATTGTTCAGTTTTCCATTTTTCAGCTTTTAGACTTCAATTTTTTTACTTTTCGATTTTCCAAATTTTCGAGTTTCAATTTTCAGATTTTTGATTTTTCGATTTTCTTTTTCAATCTTTGAATTTTTCGGTTTTGATTTTTCGAATTTTTGATTTTTAATTTTTCCATTCTTCGGTTTTTAGACTTCAATTTTCTTTCTTTTAAATTTTTCGATATTCTATTTTCCGCTTTTCAGAATTTTCGATTTTCAGTTTTCAGACTTTCGATCATTAGAAATTTGGATTTTTCAGTTTTATGATTTTTCGATTTTTAGAAAATTTGAGTAGTCGAATTTTCGATTTTTCAATTCATCGATTTTTCTATGTTCAATTGTTCAATTTAAATTTTGCGATTTTCAATTTGTCCATTGTCGATTTTTAGAATTTTCGGTTTTTCAGTTTTTCTATTCTCAACTGTTAGACTTCAATTTTGTTACTTCCCGATTTTTTGGTTTTCGATTTTCCAATTTTCAGAATTTCCAAGTTTCTTTATTCAGATTTTCGATTTTCCACTTTTTCGATTCTAGATTTTTCGAATTTTTGTTTTTCCAATTTTTTGCTTTTTAGATTTTCTGTTCGCTTCAGTTTTTAGGCTTTGCAATTTTTTTATTTTTCAATACTACAAATTTTTGACTTTTCGATTTTTTGGTTTTCCCGTTTTTCAATTTTCGATTTTTGAGGTTTGTGAATTTCCACTTTTCGATCGACCTAGGTATTTGATTCATTGAATTTTCGATTTTTTGATTAGCCATTTTTAGATTTTCGATTTTTACGATTTGTATTTTTCGATTTTCTGTTTTTTGCATTAGTGAATTTCAGTTTTTCCGATTTTTGATTAATCAAATTTTCGAAAAAGTTACCATGCTTACAAAAACTTCAAAACATCTACAATATTTCAAAATATTCAGTTTTGCTATTCTTGATTTCTTCAATAAAATAAATTGACTCAGTCATTAACTTTTTTGAGACACCCCGTATAATCAAATCTAAAAAATATTAATGCATAAGTATAAAAACTCATCATATTTTATACATTTAAGATAGGATTTATTCTGCAAAATTTTGAGGTGACGTCATAAAGTTTTTAGAGGGGATAAGCAAATATATTTTAATTAAATCATGTTTATCATGACTTTAAAACATCTGCAAGATTTCAAATTATTCGATTATTCATTATTTTATGGGAACAACTACCTGCTAAATCTTCTCCGACAAATTCGAGAGAACTGGTGTGAGCCATAAATATTTCTTACCAAATGTAAATTTCGTTGTAGTTTGAGCCTACCTACAAATTCTGCCCTTGAAGGATTTGGACCACCTTCTTCGGTGAGGGCAGGCAAAAACGATCCGCCCATAGGCTCAAAACATTTGCGTGCGATTGTACGTGCTTTAATTATAATTTTTATCCAGATTTTGAGGAGCTTTAAGATTGAGTACCTCTACGGTGATATCAACAGTACCAATAAGCTGTGGGCTGCACCAAACAAGAAACTTAGATTTAGATTCGCGGAACGAGCTTGAGTTGTTCGATTTTCTTTGCGTGTGTGTTAATTTGCGTTGTAGTTGGTGATGATGATGATAATAATAAAGTTACTTGAAAGCTTACTTTAATTCTTAACAATTTACGAAGTCACACAAACCTTGCAAGACGATCTAAAAAGCATTTTACTGAATCTGTACTAGTAAACACCAAACAGCTAACGTAACTAAGTCATTAAACATGAACAAACGTAGTTACGTTAACATTTACGTTTATACGATATAAAACTGAACACTGCAATATTCGTGAACGTCGTGACAATTCTTAAAATACATTATAAAACGAAACGTCAATAAAAATCGAGATACATAAAGAACTAAACGATTAGGCCATAAATCTCAAACAGGTAAAAAAATAACAATAAAATTCGAGAACTCAGTCTAAATGACAAAAATAATTAAAATAGACGCGGCATATGCAGCCCGCTAGTCTGATAATCCAGCTCTGGATCGTGACAAGTGCCAGAAGGCCCCCAATCATATAAACCCTGTGAATTAGCAAGTCTATGTGTAAGTCTATGAGCTATGGAAAAACCGCCACTACCCTCGAGTTGCGTCAAAACAATAATAACTTGTCGCGTCAAAGGAGGCACAGAGTCGACAGTTTTCAGCGTGCCGCGCGTGGACACCACGTTATAACTCTCCTGGCAGTCGCATTTCACGTGAATCCACTTGTTCTCGTGCCGGTTTTCCACCATCACCACCAACCCGGCCCATCCTTTCGTCAAATAGTACGCCGTCATGCCTTCGCGGCCCTCGTGCCTCTGCCCCCGAGCCAGCGTCAGCGAGATTATGGAGTCCGCCAGGATGCAGTCGGGAGGGGTCAGCTGCTCGGCCAGAAGTTTCTTGGAACTGTGGATGGCTAAAACATACCTACGAACACACAGTGCGGACACCGTCGCTGAAGCGACCTACCTGGGGTAGGCTGTGAAGTCCTCCAAGCCCGTGTGCCAATGGTTGAAAGCTAAAGGTACAACAACATATTCACCAGCTTCTAACATCTTGTTACAACCTACGAAACCACGAACTTGTCTTTTACTGTGCTCTACTAAACTACCGATTGTTGAACCGTTCCGTGCTTTGAAAAGAACAACACACAAATCTAATTGAGATCGTTGCGATTTTTCAGACTTTCGTTGGCCCTCCTGTAACAATAAAAATGGTTAGTTGGACCGCTACAACACTCCCACTGAATTTAATAAAATTTAAGACGTACTTGAAACAGTGTGAAATCCACTTCAGTTGGTTCCAAAATGGTGAGCAAAATGCAAGATAAGTGTTTCTGTGACGAAAGCGGTGGTAAAATTCCGGCCAACCTGACTTCGTTCCACCCATTCCGGGCTTTACAAATGTCGATGCAGTCGAAATATTTCAAAACGTCGGCGAACGATATCCAGAAGGTGCCATCCTGCGGCCCTTCCGGCATCAACTCCACGCGCAAGTACCTCGTCCACTTCTCCGAAGTGTCCGACCAGTCGCCCTTCCACACAAAATGGCCTACAAAAAGCGATTAATCACACTTTTAAGTCGTTTCAAAGCGACTCACCCCACGGGTTTCTTAATTTCAACAGTCTATGTCCGTCTATATCTCTCACATCTAACAAGGAATAAGCGTGCCGGGGTCTCAGACCCTTGTTCTGGTATTCGACTTCGTCGACTTTCATGTTGCCGCCACCACAAGACGCCCCCATTAAAAAAAGTGCTTGACGTGAAGACAAAAGTCTGAAACGAAAGATTAGCGGGTTTAGCTGGAGTGGGAACGAACGTACTGTGCCCAAATGAGATCAGTGTCGAGTTCCTCTTCAGCGGGAGCGGGAATAGACGACGCTTGAAGAGGTATAGATTCACAAGGTGCTCCAGTCAGTGTTGCTAAACCCTCTATTGCACGACCAGAAACTAGCGCTTCGTAACAACCGTGGATCTTGGCGACCGCTTTTTCGATTAGCGGGACCCAAAGTTGCTTCCTTTTCGCCTGAAATGTCGGTGATAATTTACACACCTGGGGTGCGATTTTGTTTCTCGATCGAAGTGATAAATTATCACTTGCGATAAATGTAATTGCGTATTAAATGCTCAAAGTTTACAACTACCTTGATTTTAAGAACTTATTACTCAAAATTACGATTTTGAACTTCTATTTTGACGTAAATTTCGAGGTTATGGGTAGGATTTTGTTTCTATAACGATAAAATATCGGTACCTGATAATTTACGATATAACGCACATGCAGATGTAAAGGTCGATTTATAAACTTGTCGCCTACGTTGCCGTTCGCCGTTACGTTGCCGTTGACGTTAAGTTTTCAACCAATCAAATTACGGTAGTGTGCAGCCCACCCACCCCATCTCAATTGTGATGATTTTTTTTATTCTTAGAAACGTAAAACACGTTTATAATGGTAAACTCTTATAAGGAAATATGGATTTTGCTATTAGGCTCCGCCCCCAGCTCTGCCAACGAATGGAAACTTTATCACGATTGAGATCGAGACGGATGGGTGGGGCTTCTTTTCTAGTTTTCTTTTTTAATTAATACATTTTGTTTTTTTTTGTATAACACGATTACTTCACGATTATTATTTAATTTTTCAGGTTCCTTATTTTCCAATTTTTCGATGTTGAGTTTGGGGATTTTTCGATATTTAGATATTTTGATTTTTAGATTTTTCTATTTTTACTTTTTCCATGTTTCAATAGTTAGATTTTTTAAATTTTGGTGTTTTAAATTTTTATTTTTTTTTTCAATTTTTTGATTTCTCGATTTTTCTGTTTTTTGATCTTTCGACGTCCCAATCTTTCGATTTTTCGATTGTTCAATTTCTCGATTTTTCAATTTTTCAAATTTTCGATTTAATTTTTTTATTTTCAATTTTTAACGTCTCGATTTTGGGCTCTTTGGATTTAATAATTTTTTGATTTTTCGACTTCTGGATTTGTCGATGTTCCAATTTTTTAATTTTTCGGTTTTTCAACTTTCGATTTTCCAATGGTTTGATTTTCCCATTTTTCGTCATTTCAGTTTGGGAATATTTTGATTTCTGAATTTTTCGATTTTTAAAATTTTTTACATTTCAAAATTTTCGATTCCTCGACTTTTCAGTATGCAATTTTTCAGGTTTTTGATTTTTAAATTTTTCGATGTTTTAAATTTTCGACGATTTTCTGACTTTTTGATTTTTCAATTTTACGATTGTTCGCTTTTCGATTTTCTATTTTTTCGATTTTTAAATTTTTCAATTTTTGACGTTTCTAAATTTTCGATTTCTCGACTTCTAGATGTCTCGATTTTTCAGGTTTCTGATTTTCCAATTCTTCGATGTTGAGTTTTGGGATTTTTCAATATTTCGATATTTTGACTTTAAAATTTTTCGATTTTTTACTTTTTAGATGTTTCAATTCTCAGATTTCTAAATTTTAGAATTTAAAATTTTTCGATATTTTAATTTTTCAACATTTTAAATTTTCGATTTTTTAAATTTTTTTAGTTTTTTAATGTTTCTATTTCCAATCTTTCAATTTTTCGGTATTTCAGTTTGGTATTATTTCGATTTCTCAATTTTTTGAGCTTTCAATTTTACGATATTTCAGTGTTGCGATTTTCAAATTTTTTATCTCTTCAAATTTTCAATTTCTCGATTTTTTCATTTTTCAATTTCTCAATTCTTCGATTCGATTTTTCAATTTTTTACATTTCTAAATTTTCGATTTTTCGATTCCTCGAGTTTTCAGATTTTTAATTTTTCAATTTTTGATTTTTCAATTTGACAGTTTTTGATTTTTCAATTTTTCGATCTCTTAAATTTTTCAATTTTTGACGTTTCCAAATGTTCCTTTCTAATATTTCGATGTTTCAGTTTTTTAATTACTCAATTTTTCGATTTTTCAATATTTCGATATTGAAAAATTGACTTTTAGATCTTTCGATTTTTTACTTTTTTAATTTTTAATGTTTGGTTTTTCGATATTTTAATTTCACAACTTTTAAAATTTTAGATTTTTTGATTTTTCAGTATTTTGATAATTCGATTTCCCAATCTTTCGATTTTTCAGTTTTCGGTTTTTAAATTTTTCGATTTTTCAATTGTTTAATATTTGGATTTTGTTTTTTTTTTATTTTAAATACCATTTTGCCTTTTTTTATTAATACGTGTAGTTATCTTTTCACAACAAGAAACTTAACACATTTAAAATGAAAAATTTGTATAAAAAAATATCTATTTTGCAATTAGGCTCCGCCCCATAATTGCAAAACTCATATTTTCTTACATAAATAATTTTAACCGATTTTTGATTTTTCAATTTTTCAGGTTTTTAATTTTTCAATTTTTCGATTGTTCGTTTTTCGATTTTTCAATTTTTGACGTTTCTAAATTTTCGATTTCTTGACTTTCGGATGTCTCGATTTTTCATTTTTTCAATTCTTCAATTTTTCGATTTTTCAATTTTTCCATATTTCAGTTTTGGGATTTTTCGATTTTTTACTTTTTCGATGTTTCAATGTTAGATTTTTAAATTTTAGAATTTAAATTTATTTTTCAATTTTTTGATTTTAAGTTTTTTGATGTTTCGACTTCCCAGCTTTCGATTTTTCGACTTCTCGATCTTAGATTTTCTGGTTTTTAAATTTTTGGAATTTTCGATTTAGATTTTTTTATTTTAATTTTTTCAATTTTTAACTTTTCGGTTTTTGGGCTATTTTGGGTTCTTAATTTTTCAATTTTTCAACTTCTCGGTTTCTCGATGTTTTTGACTTTTCGGGTTTTCGACTTTCCGTTTTCCAATGGTTCGATTTTCCGATTTTTCGTCATTTCAGTTTGGGAATATTTCGATTTCTCAATTTTTCGATATTTCAGTGTTGCGATTTCTCAATTTTTTAATTTTTCAAATTTCTTTCATTTCTTCAAATTTTCGATTTCTCGATTTTTCATTTTTCGATGATTCAGTTCTATGATTTTTTTATTTTTCTATTCTCGGATTTTTGATTTTCAATTTTTCGACTGTTCACTTATCGATTGTATATTTTTTTGATTTTTCAATTTTTGACGTTTCTAATTTTTCGACTTTTCGATTTCTTGACTTCTGGATGTCTCGATTTTTCAGTTTTTTAATTCTTCAATTTTTCAGGTTTCTGATTTTCCAATTTTTCCATGTTGAGTTTTGGGATTTTTCGATATTTCGACTTTCCAATCTTTCGACTTTTCGATTTTAGATTTCTCGGTTTTTTAAATTTTCGATATTTTGATTGTTCAATAATTTCTCGATTTTTCAATTTTTCGAATTCTGGATTTATTTTTTTTTTATTTTCAATTTTTAATTTTTCGATTTCATAATTTTTCGACTTCTCGATTTGTCGATGTTCCAATTTTTTAATTTTTCGGTTTTTCGACTTTCGATTATCCAATGGTTCCATTTTCCGATTTTTCGTCATTTCAGTTTGGGAATATTTCGATTTCTGAATTTTTTGAGCTTTCATTTTTTTGATACTTCAGTCTTTCGATTTTTTAATTTTTCAATTCTTGGATTCGATTTTTCAATTTTTTTACATTTCTAAATTTTCGGTTTTTCGATTTTTCCATTAATCGAATTTTTGATTCATTGATTTTTCGATTCCTCGACTTTTCAGTTTTTCAATTTTTCGATCTTTTAAATTTTCGACGATTTTTCGACTTTTCGATTTTTCAATTTTACAATTGTTCGCTTTTCGATTTTATATTTTTTCGATTTTTAAATTTTTCAATTTTTGACGTTTCTAAATTTTCGATTTCTCGACTTCTAGATGTCTCGATTTTTCAATTATTTAATTTTTCGATTTTTCAGGTTTCTGATTTTCCAATTCTTCGATGTTGAGTTTTGGGATTTTTCAATATTTCGATATTTTGACTTTAAAATTTTTCAATTTTTCGATATTTTAATTTTTCAACATTTTAAATTTTCGATTTTTTTATTTTTTGAGTTTTCAATTTTACGATATTTCAGTGTTGCTATTTTCAAATTTTTTAACTCTTCAAATTATCAATTTCTTAATTTTTTCATTTTTCAATTTCTCAATTCTTCGATTCCTCGAGTTTTCAGTTTTTTAATTTTTCAATTTGACAGTTTTTGATTTTTCAATTTTTCGATCTTTTAATTTTTTCAATTTTTGACGTTTCCAAATTTTCCTTTCTAATATTTCGATGTTTCAGTTTTTCAATTACCCAATTTTTCCATTTTTCAATATTTCGATATTGAATAATTGACTTTTAGATCTTTCGATTTTTTACTTTTTCAATTTTTTATGTTTGGTTTTTCGATATTTTAATTTCTCAACTTTTAAAATTTTAGATTTTTTGATTTTTCAGTATTTTGATGATTCGATTTCCCAATCTTTCGATTTTTCGACTTCTCGATTTTTCAGTTTTCGGTTTTTAAATTTTTCGATTTTTCAATTGTTCAATATTTGAATTTTGTTTTTTTTTATTTTAAATTCCATTTTGCCTTTTTTTATCTTTTCACAACAAGAAACTTAAAACACGTTTAAAATGGAAAATTTGTATAAGGAAATATCGATTTTGCAATTAGACTCCGCCCCATAATTGCAAAACTCATATTTTCTTACATAAATAATTTTAAGCATGTTTTAAGTTTCTTATTATGAAAAGATGGCTATGTATATATAAAAAAAAGGTAAAATATAAGCCCCGCCCACCCGCCCTATCTCAATGTGATGAAAATTCATCACGATTGAGATCGAGACGGATGGGTGGGGCTTCTCTTCTAGTTTTCTTTTTTAATTAATACATTTTGTTTTCTTTGTATAACACGATTACTTAAGAACATATTTCACATGGTAATTATATAACTTACTTGAGAATAAAACAAATGCCCCTTTTTATCACATGGAAAGTAATCGTCTACGAGAACAGTGGTCCAGTTGCCGTCCTTACACAACCTAACTTGATACACCCCCTGCGGGCAGAAATCCCTCGTGATTAGCACCGCCCTGATCAGGTCCTCCCTTTCCGCCAACACGGCTAAGGCACTCAACAGCCAGCAGTTGCCCAAAACCCCTTGCGAAATATCCGAGGGGTGTGGTTTCCTGAAAACCGCCCAAGCCAATTCGGAGTCCGGCCCATCGTCCACCGTGATGTCCCTCAGCCGCTTCCACTTGACCGTGTGGGCATCTTTCACCTCCGACGGATTGTAGTAAAGACTGTTCGGCGACGGCGGAAAGGAATCGTCCACGTAACTCTGCTTCTTCAGCTTGCAGTACCTACGACACACCCGTTAGACCCCGCCTTCTCCTAGCCCCGCCCCCTGACCTTACGATGTAATTCCAATGCTTATTCGCTAACTCCTCCTGACTCAGCCGCGCCGGCTCGTCGGGAGGCGTGGTCCTGACGTCCTCTCGGATTTTCTGGCACATATCACAGATAATATGAGATTTCGTGTTTTCGAAAGTACAGATCATGCATTGCCACTTCGCCGCGCCCGAGTTCGTCGGCACGGTCTGGTCCAAGTCGGTCACCAGGTTGATGCGGGGCCGACCTCTGCTCACCACCTTCTGGTTGTTCACCTTGGAGTACGAGCTCTTCGTGTACTTCTTGGATGAACCGTGTCTCGGGGATGGATTGCGGTTGCTCAACGCCACGTCTAAGCTATTTTTGTCAGTCTTACAGGCTTTGCAGATCGGCGTCGTCAGCGGGTTTTTCAACGTGCACTTGGTGCACGACCAGAACTCGCCCTTGCGGAGGGTCATGTCGTTGGTGGAGGACAACGAGCGCAGCTTGGAGCCGCAACAGGCCTCGCAGATCAAGGAGCGGCCGCTGTTCACGAGGGTGCACTTCTTGCAGGTCCATTTCTGGTCGTCGACGGGGCTGTCCTCGCCCGGGAGGAGCTGGAAGTCGTCGTCGAGGTCCTGTTCTAGCGTTGCCAGAGGGACCTGGAGCTCGACGGAGTCGTTCCAGTTTAAAGGCCTTGAAACGGGAAATTATCATGACGGGTCTTTCGTGGTATCGATTTGAGTGGTGGTAGGTCGCGACCGTGGAGTAGGCCAAGCGACGCCCACTTTCGCATTGTAGATAAGCTCCGCCCACGCGATTACTCATACACTTATTACTTATTAACCGTCCAATAAAGGAATGACATGTCAATACGAACAAAAAGTGGGATATTTAGGGGCGGGTCTGCATTCGGTGAGGAGGAGCTTCGTACAATGATTAACTTTGTGGTGATTTTGTTTATTTTAGTTAAGTAAGCGTACGAATTAAGTAGATCGGAACGACCTTTATTTAATAAATTTGATAAAAATATATTTGCGAACCACTATCTAATTTTCCTTTAAATATCAACGACCAAATAAAGTATGTAAATATTGAAATAGTACGGAAATTACAGACTACAACTCAGAGAAATTACCAAGAATTCTAGCCTCTCAAAAAGAACTAAGAAAATTCGATATAGACGTTTATAAAAAAAGCAATTTTGCCGGCACACAAATATTCACAGACTATAAAACCCCCTAAAAAGCATGTCTGACACATTTTCTCGGACATAAAATTCAAGCGAAAGCGATTATTTAACGTTACCTGTAGAATGTGCTTTTGCTCATGTCACTCGACCTTCTATCACCGCATTAAAACGAATTATGATAAGATCGGAATCGAGGCCGCATTATCGTTAGTTTTTTTGATACTTACAGCGGTGTCGACGCACTACTCCTGTCTTCGGTAACTGTGACCGTGCACGGCTCATTCAAACTAGGACGCATCCTTGGCCCCTTACAAATATCGCACTTGAAATTATTAAAATCGTTATATGCAAATGAACACTGGCGGCAAGTCCACTTTCTCTTATCAAAGGGCCAGTTCGTCGCAAAGCTCGAGCTGCTGGTCTTGAGGGCCTGGAGTCTAAACAAAACGAAATACAAAGTTAATCGTTGATGCTTAAGTTGAGGTTTGTTGTCTGGGTAAATACGTACGTGTGGATAGTGAGTAAACAAATCACAAAATAATGCAATTAAGGGTAAAATGTTATGTTTAACACACAATATGGTTAATTTACATACGACATGAACCCGCTGGAATTAAATGTCGGTGAAATATTCATGCGGTGAATAAACACAGTACTTGGGTGAAATTGCTTAATTTAATTTTAGTTAATTTTGTGTGCAAGTATTGTAATCGAGTCTATTACGGCTATTTTTATGTTTTCTCGACGTTTCATGACCCCTACAGTACGAAAAAATCGGTCTCCCTTTTTTATTTAAGAACTGATGATTTCATCTTACAATTTTATAGAGTAAATCTTAAAAAGTAACATGTCCTGAACTTGTGGTTTATGAATCCGTGTTGAATTTTTATCCTAGACATAGATTTAAAAATAGAATTCCAGATACATAATTTTTCGAATTTTCGATTTCTCAATTTTTCGAGTTTTCAATTTTTGATTTTTCAATTTTTCAGGTTTTTAATTTTTCAATTTTTCGATTGTTCGTTTTTCGATTTTTCAATTTTTGACGTTTCTAAATTTTCGATTTCTTGACTTTCGAATGTCTCGATTTTTCAGTTTTTTAATTCTTCAATTTTTCGATGTTTCTAAATTTTCGATTTCTTGACTTTCGAATGTCTCGATTTTTCAGTTTTTTAATTCTTCAATTTTTCGATGTTGAGTTTTGCGATTTTTCAATTTTTCCATATTTCAGTTTTGGGATTTTTCGATATTTTGACTTTTAAATTTTTTACTTTTTCGATGTTTCAATTGTTAGATTTTCTTATTTTAATTTTTTCAATTTTTAACTTTTCGGTTTTTGGGCTATTTTGGGTTCTTAATTTTTCAATTTTTCAACTTCTCGGTTTCTCGATGTTTTTGACTTTTCGGGTTTTCGACTTTCCATTTTCCAATGGTTCGATTTTCCGATTTTTCCTCATTTCAGTTTGGGAATATTTCGATTTCTCAATTTTTCGATATTTCAGTGTTGCGATTTCTCAATTTTTTAATTTTTCAAATTTCTTTCATTTCTTCAAATTTTCGATTTCTCGATTTTTCATTTTTCGATGATTCAGTTCTACGATTTTTGATTTTTCAATTTTTCGACTGTTCACTTTTCGATTTTTCAATTTTTGACGTTTCTAGATTTTCGATTTTTCGATTTCTTGACTTCTGGATGTCTCGATTTTTCAGTTTTTCAATTCTTCAATTTTTCAGGTTTCTGATTTTCCAATTTTTCCATGTTGAGTTTTGGGATTTGTCGATATTTCGACTTTTAGATTTTTCTATTTTTTACTTTTTCGATTTTTCAATTTTTTGATTTTTAATTATTCAACTTTTAAAATTATAGTTTTTTCGATTTTTCAGTTTTTTGATCTTTCGACTTCCCAATCTTTCGACTTTTCGATTTTAGATTTCCCGGTTTTTTAAATTTTCTATTTTTTGATCGTTCAATAATTTCTCGATTTTTCAATTTTTCGAATTTTGGATTTATTTTTTTTATTTTCAATGTTTAATTTTTCGATTTCATAATTTTTCGACTTCTCGATTTGTCGATGTTCCAATTTTTTAATTTTCAGTTTTTCGACTTTCGATTTTCCAATGGTTCGATTTTCCGATTTTTCGTCATTTCAGTTCAGTTATTTTGATTTTTTAATTTTTCGAATTTTCATTTTTTTTGATACTTCAGTTTTACCATTTTTTAATTTTTCAATTCTTCGATTCTATTTTTCAATTTTTTTATATTTCTAAATTTTCGGTTTTTCGATTTCTCGATTAATCGAATTTTTGATTCATCGAATTTTCGATTCCTCGACTTTTCAGTTTTTCAATTTTTCGATCTTTTAAATTTTCGACGATTTTTCGACTTTTCGATTTTTCAATTTTTGACGATTCTAAATTTTCAATTTCTCGACTTCTGGATGTCTCGATTTTTCAATTATTTAATTTTTCGGTTTTTCAGGTTTCTGATTGTCCAATTCTTCGATGTTGAGTTTTGGGATTTTTCAAATATTTCGATATTTTGACTTTAAAATTTTCATTTTTTTTTCTTTCGATGTTTCAATTCTCAGATTTTTAAATTTTAGAATTTAAAATTTTTCAATTTTCGATATTTTAATTTTTCAACATTTTAAATTTTCGATTTTTGGATTTTTTTAGTTTTTTGATGATGTTTCGATTTCCCTCTTTCGATTTTTCCACCTTTGGATTTAGATTTTTTTATTTTAAATTTTTCATTTTTTCAATTTTAACTTTTCGATTTTGGTCTATTTCGATTTCTTAATTTTTTGATTTTTCGATTTCTCGATCTTTTGATGTTTCATTTGTCGATGTTACAGTTTTTGAATTTTTCGATGTTTCGATGTTCCGATATTTCAATTTTTCGTTATTTCAGTTTAGGAATATTTCGATTTCTCAATTTTTGGAGTTTTCATTTTTTCGATTTCCAGATTTTTTCATTTTTAGATTTCTCAATTTTTCGGTGTTTCAGTTTTACGACTTTTTAATTCTTCGATTCGATTTTCCAATTTTTTACATTTCTAAATCTTAGATTTTTCGATCTTTTAAATTTTCGACATCGATTTTCCGACTTTTCGATTTGGACTTTTCCATTTTAGAATTTCCGGTTTTTAAATTTTTAGATTTTTCGATTGTTGAATTTGTGCATTTTTCGATTTTCCGAACTTTCGACTTAGATTTTTTTTATTTTAAATTTTTCATTTTTTCAATTTTTAACTTTTCGATTTTCGGCCATTTAGATTTCTTAATTTTTCGATTTTTTCATTTTTCAATTTCTCAATTCTTCGATTCGATTTTTCGATTTTTTACATTTCTAATTTTCGATTTTTCGATTCCTCGAGTTTTCAGTTTCTTAATTCTTCAATTCGACAGTTTTTGATTTTCCAATTTTTCGATCTCTTAAATTTTCAATTTTTGACGTTTCCACATTTTCCTTCGATTTTTCAATTACTCAATTTTAGATTTTTCAATATTTCGATATTTTGACTTTTAGATCTATCGATTTTTTACTTTTTCAATTTTTTATGTTTGGTTTTTCGATATTTTAATTTTTCAAATTTAAAATTTTTGATTTTTTGATTTTTCAGTATTTTGATGCATCGATTTCCCAATCTTTCGAATTTTCGAGTTCTCGATTTTTAGTTTTCGGTTTTTAAATTTTTCGATTTTTTAATTGTTTATTTTTTCAGATTTTTTATTTTTCAATTTTTCAATCATTTAAATTTTCGACATCGATTTTCCGATTTCCCAATCATTCGACTTCTCCATTTTAGATTTTCCGGTTTTTAAATTTTTAGATTTTTCGATTGTTCAGTTTCTCAATTTTTCAATTTTCCGAATTTTCGATTTAGATTTTTTTTTTTTAATTTTTCATTTTTTTTATTTTTAACTTTTAGATTTTCGGCTATTTAGATTTCTTAATTTTTTGATATTTCGACTTTCGATTTTCCAATGGCTCGATGTTCCGATATTTCGTTATTTCAGTTTAGGAATATTCGATTTCTCAATTTTTCGAGTTATCAATATTTCGATATTTCATAATTTTTAAATTTTTTAATTCTTCAATTTGCTTCAAATTTTCGATTTCGCGATTTTTTCATTTTTCCATTTCTCAATTCTTTGATTCGAATTTTCATTTTTTTGCATTTCTAAATTTTAAATTTTTCGATTTTTCGATTCCTCGACTTTTCAGTTTGTCAATTCTTCAATTTTTGATTATTTCAATTTTTAAGATTTTTAATTTTTCAATTTTTCGATCTTTTAAATTTTCGACATCGATTTTCCGACTTTTCAATTTCCCAAACTTTGGACGTCTCCGTTTTAGACTTTCCGGTTTTAAAATTTTTAGATTTTTCGGTTTTTCGATTATTCAATTTCTCGATCTTTCAATTTTTCGAATTTTCGATTTAAATTTTTTTTATTTTAAATTTTTCATTGTTTCAATTTTCAACTATTCGATTTTCGGCTACTAGATGTCTTAATTTTTTGGTTTTTCGACTTTCGATTTTCCAATGGTTCGATGTTCCGATATTTCAATTTTTTGTTATTTCAGTTTGGGAGTATTCAATTTCTCAATTTTTCGAGTTTTCAATTTTTCGATATTTCATAATTTTAAAATTTTTTAATTCTTCAATTTGCTTCAAATTTTCGATTTCTCGATTTTTTCATTTTTCCATTTCTCAATTCTTCGATTCGATTTTTCAATTTTTTGCATTTCTAAATTTTAGATTTTTCGGTCTCTCGATTAATCAAATTTTTGGTTTTTCGATTTTTCGATTCCTCGACTTTTCAGATTGTCAATTCTTCAATTTTTAATTTTTCAATTTTTCAGATTTTTGATTTTTCAATTTTTCGATCTTTCAAATTTTCGACATCGATTTTCCGACTTTTCGATTTCCCAATCTTTGGACTCTCCATTTTAGATTTTCTCGTTTTTAAATGTTTAGATTTTTCGACTTTCGATTTTTCATTGTTTTACAGTTTCTAAATTTTCGAGTTTTCAGTTTTTTATTCTACAGTTTTTGATTTTTCAATTTGTCAGTTTTTGATTTTTCAATTTTTCGATCTCTTAAATTTTTCAGTTTTCGACGTTTCCAAATTTTCGTTTCTAATGTTTCGATTTTTCAGTTTTTCAATTATTCAATTTTTCGATTTTTTAGGTTTCTGATTTTTCAATTTTTCGACGTTGAGTTGTGGGATTTCTCAATTTTTCCATTCTTCAATTTTTCGATATTTCAGTTTTGGGATTTTTCAATATTTCGACATTTTGACTTTTAGATCTTTCGATTTTTTACTTTTTCAATTTTTTGATGATTTTGTTTTTCGATATTTTCATTTTTCAGCTTTTAAAATTATAGATTTTGGGCTATTTCGATTTTTTAATTTTTCGATGTTAATTTTTGAATTTTTTGTCACTTCAGTTTTCCGACTTTTCGATTTTTCGACAATTTACTTTTTCACTTTTTTAAATTTTAGAGTTCCCGATTTCTTGACTTTTCGATTTTTCAACTTTTCAATTTTTGATTTTTCAAATTTTCAATATTGCAGTTTTGGGAATTTTTCGATTTCTGTATTTTTCATTTTTTAAATTTTTTGTTTTGACTGCTGGATCTTTCGATTTTTCGACTTTTTGATTTCCATCTTTCAATTTTCCGTTTTTTACAAGTCGAAAATTCCAAAATCGAAAAACTGAAGAAACGAAAAACTGAAAAATCAAAATTTTGAAAAATCGCAAAGTTAAAAAATCGAAAAATATATACTGCAAAATAATTGAAAAACTAAATGAACGGAAAATGTAAAATCAGAAAACTTGAGAAATCGTAAAATTGGAGAAATGAAAAATTAGAAAATAAAAAATTTGAAAAATTGAAATCGAGAAACTAAAAAATTTTTCAATTTTTCGACATTTTACTTTTTCACTTTTTTAAATTTTAGAGTTTCCGATTTCTTGACTTTTCGATTTTTCAATTCTTCGATATTTCAATTTTTGATGTTTCAAATTTTCAATATTGCAGTTTTGGGAATTTTTCGATTTCTGTATTTTTCATTTTTTAAATTTTTTGTTTGCTGGATCTTTCGATTTTTCGACTTTTTGGATTTCCATCTTTCAATTTTCCGTTTCTTACAAGTCGAAAATTCCAAAATTGAAAAATTGAAGAAACGAAAAATTGAAAAATCAAAATTTTGAAAAATCGCAAAGTTAAAAAATCGAAAAATATATACTGCAAAATAATTGAAAAACTAAATGAACGGAAAATGTAAAATCAGAAAACTTGAGAAATCGTAAAATTGGAGAAATGAAAAATTAGAAAATAAAAAAATTTGAAAAATTAAAATCGAGAAACTAAAAAATTTTTCAATTTTTCGACATTTTACTTTTTCACTTTTTTAAATTTTAGAGTTTCCAATTTCTTGACTTTTCGATTTTTCAATTCTTCGAAATTTCAATTTTCGATTTTTCAAATTTTCATTATTGCAGTTTTGGGAATTTTTCGATTTCTGTATTTTTCATTTTTTAAATTTTTTGTTTGACTGCTGGATCTTTCGATTTTTCGACTTTTTGGATTTCCATCTTTCAATTTTCCGTTTTTTACAAGTCGAAAATTCCAAAATCGAAAAACTGAAGAAACGAAAAATTGAAAAATCAAAATTTTGAAAAATCTAAAAATATAGACTGCAAAATAATTGAAAAACTAAATGAACGGAAAATGAAAAATCAGAAAAGTTGAGAAATCGTAAAATTGGAGAAATGAAAAATTAGAAAATAAAAAAATTTGAAAAATTGAAATCGAGAAACTAAAAAATTTTTCAATTTTTCGACATTTTACTTTTTCACTTTTTTAAATTTTAGAGTTTCCAATTTCTTGACTTTTCGATTTTTCAATTCTTCGATATTTCAATTTTCGATTTTTCAAATTTTCATTATTGCAGTTTTGGGAATTTTTCGATTTCTGTATTTTTCATTTTTTAAATTTTTTGTTTAACTGCTGGATCTTTCGATTTTTCGACTGTTTGATTTCCATCTTTCAATTTTTCGTTTTTTACAAGTCGAAAATTCCAAAATCGAAAAATTGAAAAATCAAAATTTTGAAAAATTGCAAAGTTAAAAAATCGAAAAATATAGACTGCAAAATAATTGAAAAACTAAATGAACGGAAAATGTAAAATCAGAAAACTTGAGAAATCGTAAAATTGGAGAAATGAAAAATTAGAAAATAAAAAAAAATTTGAAAAATTGAAATCGAGAAACTAAAAAATTTTTCAATTTTTCGACATTTTACTTTTTCACTTTTTTAAATTTTAGAGTTTCCGACTTCTTGATTTTTCGATATTTCAATTTTTGATTTTTCAAATTTTCAATATTGCAGTTTTGGGAATTTTTCGATTTCTGTATTTTTCATTTTTTAAATTTTTTGTTTGACTGCTGGATCTTTCGATTTTTCGACTTTTTGATTTCCATCTTTCAATTTTTCGTTTTTTACAAGTCGAAAATTCCAAAACCGAGAAATTGAAAAATCAAAAATTTGAAAAATCGCAAAGTTAAAAAATCGAAAAATATAGACTGCAAAATAATTGAAAAACTAAATGAACGGAAAATGTAAAATCAGAAAACTTGAGAAATCGTAAAATTGGAGAAATGAAAAATTAGAAAATAAAAAAATTTGAAAAATTGAAATCGAGAAACTAAAAAAATTTTCAATTTTTCGACATTTTACTTTTTCACTTTTTTAAATTTTAGAGTTTCCGAATTCTTGATTTTTCGATTTTTCAATTCTTCGATATTTCAATTTTTGATTTTTCAAATTTTCAATATTGCAGTTTTGGGAATTTTTCGATTTCTGTATTTTTCATTTTTTAAATTTTTTGTTTGACTGCTGGATCTTTCGATTTTTCGACTTTTTGATTTCCATCTTTCAATTTTTCGTTTTTTACAAGTCGAAAATTCCAAAACCGAGAAATTGAAAAATCAAAAATTTGAAAAATCGCAAAGTTAAAAAATCGAAAAATATAGACTGCAAAATAATTGAAAAACTAAATGAACGGAAAATGTAAAATCAGAAAACTTGAGAAATCGTAAAATTGGAGAAATGAAAAATTAGAAAATAAAAAAATTTGAAAAATTGAAATCGAGAAACTAAAAAATTTTTCAATTTTTCGACATTTTACTTTTTCACTATTTTACATTGTAGAGTTTCTGATTTCTTGATTTTTCAAATTTTCAATATTGCAGTTTTTTGAATTTTTCGATTTCTGTATTTTTCATTTTTTAAATTTTTTGTTTTGACTGCTGGATCTTTCGATTTTTCGACTTTTTGATTTCCATCTTTCAATTTTTCGTTTTTTACAAGTCGAAAATTCCAAAATCGAAAAATTGAAGAAACGAAAAATTGAAAAATCAAAATTTTGAAAAATCGAAAAATATAGACTGTAAAATAATTGAAAAACTAAATGAACGGAAAATGAAAAATCAGAAAACTTGACAAATCGTAAAATTGGAGAAATGAAAAATTAGAAAATAAAAAAATTTGAAAAATTGAAATCGAGAAACTAAAAAATTTTTCAATTTTTTGACATTTTGCTTTTTCACTTTTTTCAATTTTAGAGTTTTTGATTTCTTGATTTTTCAAATTTTAAATATTGCAGTTTTGGGAATTTTTCGATTTCTGTATTTTTCATGTTTTAAATTTTTTGTTTGACTGCTGGATCTTTCGATTTTTCGACTTTTTGGATTTCCATCTTTCAGTTTTCCGTTTTTTACAATTCTAAGATTACTCTAACCACACCCAAGTTATTTTTGGATCAAAACAATGGTAATAACACGACAAACAAGAAACCCGACAGAAGTTTTACCAAGTTCGTCTACCTGTACTTCCCAAATCAAATATAGACACTTAAATCTGACGCTATGAATACAAAAGCAGGTATTTATTGCTTATTGCTTCCGCTTAGTCTGTTTCATCGGCATTGACACATAATTCGTTCATTAACATATTATAATTCTAATTTTAGGATAGAGTAAACTTATATACATTTTTGTCAAGATAAACGTTGATTGTAAGGTCGTTCTATTCTTATATGTCAACAAAATATGAAAGCGGTGGCCTCAAAATAGACATATTCAAGTTTAAGTAAATGGTGAAACAAATTGTGAACAAAAATTTTTAGTTTAAAATAGACACGTAAATTATTTTTATAACCCATTATAAAATGTCAAAGATAGGTCGTATATTTCATTCGTTTAAGGAGCTTTAGTTAATTCTGATATCACGTATTTATTGTTATATAACATATTTCATATCAACTGATCGATAAAATTTAATTCTATTTAAGTATGTTTACAGGAAATGAATCGAGTAGTAAGAACTCTACCACCTTGGGGCCAAAAACAGCGGCGTTTGCCGATTTTCGCGCTCACATCCAACTTACATCTTTTCGTGCTGGTCGTTGTCGAAGTCGCCCTTCTTGCTGTGGGCGTTCACGATCCCCTGGTTCTCGTAGATGTGCTTCTCCTTGTCCGGTTCAGAGATTCCGATGTAGGTGTAGAGGGTGGCGGCGGCCCCCTCATTCGTGATATCGCTCGTGCTCCTGTTGAGATTCAAGTTACTATACCTAGCCGTAAGACTATCGAAGGAATGTTGCGAGGACTGGATGTCCGTCATGGAGGTGCTCGACTTGGGGAAGGCGGCTTCGAGGACTTCGTTGCCTAAGCTTCGGCGATTGATGTTGGGCACGTGGAGGTTCTGCGACGTGGGCAGTTCGGAGAAGGAGCGTCGATACGAGGGCTTCTGGCTGTGGCTAGGGTTTCTCAACGCCTCATTATCCGCCCAATTGTCAACCTGTAATATAAAAGAGCGGCTGAAAGTTTTATTAGGGAATCGATAGGGGTTAATAATTCACGCGTTTCCCACCGTCGCGTTATGCTTTCACTGGAAATTTTATGCTATTTATAGGGTTTAAAACGCCGGAGTGTTACAACATTAGCGGTGCGTGCGTGTCCACTTGGCAGAAAAACTATTAAATATCTTTGCTATTGAACGTTTGATTTTGTTGCGGAGAAGTGAGGTGCCACTGCTCGGGGACCCATTTGTCTGCTGTTACAACCTCCGAAAATAGTTTCTATATTCGAGCGAAAACAAAAAAGCGTCCAAGTCCTGGACACCGACGACACTCACGATTTTCGATACAACCTTCACCTGTAATTAAATACCCGATAGATCGCTTTAAACTTCAGCTTTTGTGCCGGGTTTAATCGCAGAAACGAAATGTCACACTTTTTGAGATCGGTACATTGCATAATGTAATGGACGAGCTGGGGATCGTAATTTTATGAATTAAAAGAGGAACTGTTGGAATACATTAGTTCGACATAATTTATTTAATCCATTAACTCGGCTGAAGATAATTAGAGAACGCTCCTTAAAAATTTAACGGCCGAAATTCGATTTGTGGCTCGATGGGGCTGCTGAAGATGACGAGCTAAAAGGTACCATGCTAACAGCGGGTAATACCGCAATAATTACGGGCTGGCTGACGAAATAAATCGGAAAACCCCAACCGCGAACACGCACTTTTTGTAAATTTTTAACGACCTGAAAAAGGGTGTTTTCTTTATTTTTATATTTTAAGGTGGATTTTTGCGGTACTTTACATGTGTCGAATTTTTCAATTCAACGGACGATTTTTCTAATAACAATAAACTAATATTAACTAAAAAATTGATCCAAGGTTATTTCATAATATGATTTTTTTCTAAAATTGCTGATATTTCTGGCGAAAACTCAACACGGATTCATACACCACAAGTACAGTAATATCTTATTTTATAAAATTAAACACAAATTTACTATTGTACATTTTGAAGATAACGTCATCTCATTGGTGGTGGGGATGATTAGCTAAATTTTCATTAACCTTTTATCATCTACATGATAATCCAAATATACCTTACATCAAAATTTGACAACAATCGGTCGGTAGTTTCGGAGATTATTTGTCTGATTAAAATCGACACAGAGAGAGAGACGGAAACGGTAGACCAAAATATCTGAAAACCGGAAAATCAAAAATTAGGAAAACCAATCGATTGGAAAATGAAAATTTTGAACAAATGAGAAATCGTAAGACTGAAGTAACGAAAGACTGAAAAATCAAAAATTGGGAAACTGACAAATCGAAAAACAGTAAAATTGGGGAAATGAAAATTATAAAAATTGTAAAATAATCAAAAAATTAGTTTATCGGAAAATGGAAAATTGAAAAATCGGAAAAATATGGCGAAATTTTAAAATTGCAGATTGAATAAATAAATAATTAAAAAATGAGAATCTGAAAACTAGAGAAAGTCAAAAATCGAAAAATCGAAAATTACAAATCGAAAAATTGAAAACCTAATTACTCAGTAAATGAAAAATTTGAAAAATTGAGACCTCGTAAGATTGAAGAAACGAAAAATTCAAAATTGAAAATCGAAAAATTGAGAAATCGAAAAGTCAGAATTTGGGAAACCGAAAAACAGGAAAAGTGAAAATCACAAAATTGAAAAATTGAAGGAACGAAAAAATAAAATATCTGAAAACCGGAAAATCAAAAATTAGAAAAACCAATTGATCGGAAAATGAAAATTTTGAAAAAATGAGAAATCGTAAGACTGAAGTAACGAAAAACTGAAAAATCAAAAATTCAAAATTGCAAATCGAAAAACTGAAAAATCGAAAAGTCAAAAATTGGGAAGTTGAAAAATCGAAAAATAGTAAAATTGGGGAATGAAAATTATAAAAATTGTAAAATAATCAAAAAATTAATTTATCGGAAAATGGAAAATTGAAAAATCGAAAAAATATGGCGAAATTTTGAAATTGCAGATTGAATAAATAAAAAATTAAAAAATGAGAATCTGAAAAATAGAGAAAGTCAAAAATCGAAAAATCGAAAATTACACATCGAAAAATTGAAAACCTAATTACTCAGAAAATGAAAAATTTGAAAAATTGAGACCTCGTAGACTGAAGAAATGAAAAATTCAAAATTGCAAATCGAAAAACTGAAAAATCGAAGTCAAAAATTGGGAAACTGAAAAATCGAAAAATAGTAAAATTGGAGAAATGAAAATTATAAAAATTGTAAAATAATCAAAAAACTAAATTATCGGAAAATGGAAAATTGAAAAATCGGAATATGGCGAAATTTTGAAATTGCAGATTGAATAAATAAAAAGTTAAAAAATGAGAATCTGAAAACTAGAGAAAGTCAAAAATCGAAAAATCAAAAAATTACAAATCGAAAAATTGAAAACCTAATTACTCAGAAAATGAAAAATTTGAAAAATTGAGACCTCGTAAGATTGAAGAAACGAAAAATTCAAAATTGAAAATCGAAAAATTGAGAAATCGAAAAGTCAGAAATTGGGAAACTGAAAAATAGGAAAAGTGAAAATCCCAAAATTGAAAAATTGAAGGAACGAAAAAATAAAATATCTGAAAACCGGAAAATCAAAAATTAGAAAAACCAATTGATCGGAAAATAAATATTTTGAAGAAATGAGAAATCGTAAGACTGAAGTAACGAAAAACTGAAAAATCAAAAATTCAAAATTGCAAATCGAAAAATAGTAAAATTGGAGAAATGAAAATTATAAAAATTGTAAAATAATCAAAAAACTAATTTATCGGAAAATGGAAAATTGAAAAATCGGAAAAATATGGCGAAATTTTGAAATTGCAGATTGAATAAATAAAAAATTAAAAAATGAGAATCTGAAAACTAGAGAAAGTCAAAAATCGAAAAATCGAAAATTACAAATCGAAAAATTGAAAACCTAATTACTCAGATAATGAAAAATTTGAAAAATTGAGACCTCGTAAGATTGAAGAAACGAAAAATTCAAAATTGAAAATCGAAAAATTGAGAAATCGGAAAGTCAGAAATTGGGAAACCGAAAAACAGGAAAAGTGAAATTCACAAAATTGAAAAATTGAAGGAACGAAAAAATAAAATATCAATAAACCGGAAAATCGAAAATTTGAAAAACCGAAACTTACAAATCGAAAAATTGAAAAACTAATCAATCAGAAAATGGAAAATTGAAAAATATAACGAAATTTTGAAATTGCAGATTGAATAAACAAAAAATTGGAAAATGGGAAATTAAAAATGAGAACCTGAAAAATTGAGAAAAATCAAAAATCGAAACTAGAAATAGATAAACTCCAAAGTCGAAAAAAAAGCAAAATAATTGAAAAACTAATTGATCGGAAAATGGAAAATTGAGAATTCGAAAAATTAAAAATTAAGAAACTGAAAAACAGGAAAAGTGAAAATCACAAAATTGAAAAATTGGAGGAACGAAAAAATAAAATATCAATAAACCGGAAAATCGAAAATTTGAAAAAGCGAAAATTACAAACCGAAAATTTGAAAAACTAATTAATCAGAAAATGAAAATTTTGAAAAATTGAGACCTAAGATTCAAGAAACCAAAAATTAAAAATTGAGAGATTGAAAACTGAAAAATTGCAAATCGAAAATCGAAGAAAGGAAAAATTCAAAATTGAAAATTCAAAAATTGGGGAAATGAAAAATCTAAAAATTGCAAAATAATCAAAAAACTAATTAATCGGAAAATGGAAAATTGAAAAACTAGAAAAATATAACGAAATTTTAGAATCGCAAATTGAATAAACAAAACATTGAAACACGGAAAATTAAAAATGAGAACCTGAAAATCGAAAGACAAAAACGACAATTTGAAAATGGAAAAATTGGAGAAACGAAAAACTGAAAAATCAAAAATTAAAAATTGGGAAACTGAATAATCGAAAAATAGTAAAATTGGGGAAAAGAAAAAACTAAAAATTGCAAAATACTAAAAAACTAATTAATCGGAAAATGGAAAACCGAAAAACCGGAAAAATATAGCGAAATTTTGAAATCGCAAATTGAATAAACAAAGAATTGAAAAAAACAAAAATTGAAAGATTGAAGAAACGAAAAACTGGAATATCAAAAATTTGAAAAACCGAAAATAAATTACAAATCGAGAAACTAGAACTCGATAGTCAAAAATCGAAATAAAGAAAAATTGCAAAATAATTGAGAAACTAATTGATCAGAAAATGGAAAATTGAGATTTCGAAAAATTAAAAATTGTAAACTGAAAATCAGAAAGTGAAAAATTCCGAAGGACGAAAAAAGAAAAATCGAAAAATTAGACATTGAAAAACTGAAAAATCGAAAAATTAAAAACCGAGAAACTGAAAAATCGAGCAACTGAAACATAGAAGAAACGAAAAATTATAGAATTCTAAAAATTGAAAAAACGAAAATTTGCAAACGAAAAATGGAAAAATAGTAAAATTGAAAAACCGGAAAAATTAGGCAAATTTTGAAATAGCTAATTGAAAAATGGAAAATTAAAAATCAGAACTTCAAAAATCGAAAAATTCAAAAATCGAAAAAACGGAAATTTGCAAATAGAAAAATTGAAGAAACGAAAAATTTGATGATCAAAAATTTAAAAAACAGAAAATTAGAAATCAAGAAACAAGAAATCGCCAAAGTACAAAATCGAGAAAAAGAAAAAATTGCAAAATAATTGAAAAACTATTTGCTAAGAAAATGGAAAATTGAAAATTCGAAAATTTAAAAATTGAGAAACAGGAACAGAAGAAATGAAAATCTAAAATTGAAGGAACGAAAAATTTAAAAATCGAAAAATTAAAAACTGAGAAATTAAAAAATCTGAAAAATTATAAATTAGTAAAAAATTTAAAAAACGAAAATTTGCAAATCGAAGAAATGAACAATTGAAAAAATGAAAAATTGAAAATTGCAAATCGAAAAATTGATAAATCGAAAAGTCAAAAATTGAGAAAATGAAAAAAGGAAAAATAGTAAAATTCCGGAAATAATAAAAAAACTAATTAATCGGAATATGGAAAATTGAAAAACCTGAAAAATATAGAGAAATTTTGAAGCAAAAAACTGAAAAATTGAAAATTAAAAATGAGAACCTGAAAAGTCGAAAAAATCAGAAATCGAAAAAACGAAAATTTGGACATTGAAAAATTGAAGACACGAAAAATTGGAAAACCAAAAATTTTAAAAACCGAAAACTACAAACAGAGAAAGTAGAGATCGATAGTCAAAAATCGATAAAAAGAAAAATTGCAAACTAATTAAAAACTAATTGATCAGATAATGGAAAATTGAGAATTCGAAAAATTAAAAATTGAGAAATAAAAACAGAAGAAATGAAAATCTAAAAATTAAATGAACGAAAAATTTAAAAATCGAAAAATCAAAAACTGAGAAATTGAAAAATCTGAAAAATTGCAAATTGAAAAAACGAAGAATTATAAAACTTCTAAAAACTGAAAAAATGAAAAATTGAAAATTGTAATTCGAAAAATTGATAAATCGGAAAATCAAAAATTGAGAAAATGAAAAAAACGTAAAATAGTAAAATTGAGGAAATAATCAAAAAACTAATTAATCGGAATATGGAAAATTGAAAAACCTAAAAAATATAGAGAAATTATGAAACTACAAATTAAAGAAACAAAAAACTGAGAAATGGAAAATTATAAATGAGAACCTGAAAAATCGAAAAAACGAAAATTTGGAAATCGAAAAATTGAACAAACGAAAAAAAATTCTAAAATTTGAGAAAACGAAAAGTTGCAAACTGGAAAATTGAAGAAACGAAAAATTGGAAAATCAAAAATTTTAAAACAGAAAACCACAAATAGAGAAACTACAAATCGATAGTCAAAAATCGGAAAAAAGAAAAATTGCAAAATAATTAAAAACTAATTGATCAAAAAATGGAAAATTAAGAATTCGAAAAATTGAAGAAACGACAAAATAGAACACAAATCGAAAAATTCGAAAACTGATTTGAAAAATTGAGAACTCGTAAGATTGAAGAGACGAAGAAGGAAAAATCAAAAATTAAAAATTGAGAAACTGAAAAATCGAGAAATTGCAACACGAAAATCGAAGAATCGAAAAATTGCAAAATAATCAAAATTACTCGGAAAATGGAAAATTGAAAAATCGGTACAGTATAGCGAAATTTTGAAATCGCAAATTGAATAAACAAAAAATTAAAAAATGAGAAATTAAAATTGAGAACTTGAAAAATCGAAAAAGTCAAAAATCGAAAATTTGGAAATCGAAAAATTAATGAAACGAAAAAATAAAACATCTAAAATTTGAAAAAACTAAAATTTGCAAATCGAAGAATTGAGGAAACGAAAAATTGGAAAATCAAAGATTTGAAAAATCGAAAATTACAAATCGAGAAACTATAGAAATCGATAGAATCAAAAATCTAAAAATTATAAAATCTAAAAATTAAAAAATAAACAAAAAATTAATTAATCGGAATATGGAAAATTAAAAATCACAAAAATATAGGGAAATATAGAAAACACAAATTAAAAAAACAAAATGAAATTGAAAATTAAAAATGAGAACCTGAAAAATCGAGAACTTGGAAATTGGAAAATTGAAGAATCGAAAAATTACAATATCTAAAAATTGAACAAGTCGAAAATTTCAAAATCGAAACATTGAAAAACCAAAATTTTGAAAAATCGCAAAGTTAAAAAATCGAAAAATATGGATTGCGAAATAATTGAACAACTAAATGAACGGAAAATGGAAAATCAGAAAATTTGAGAAATCGTAAAATTGGAAAAACGAAAAATTGGAAAATAAAAAATTTGAAAAATTGAAATCGAGAAACCAAAAATCGTCTTAATTGATCAGAAAATGGAAAATGAAAAATTTGGAAAATGGAAAAATTGAGAAATCTTAAAATGGAAGAAATGAAAAACTGCAATTTGAAAAATTGAAAATTCGAAAAATTAATCATAGAAGAACTGAAAAATCGAAAATTGGAAATTGAAAAATTGAAGAAACGAAAAATTGGAAATTGAAATTACAAATCGAGAAATTAGAAATCGATAAAGTCCAAAAAATGATAAAAAGAAAAATTGCAAAGTAATGGGAAACCTAACTGATCAGAAAATGGAAAATTGAACTGAAGGAACAAAAAATTTAAAATTGAGAAACTGAAAAATCGAAGAAATTAAAAATTGAAAATATGCAAATTGAAAAATTGGAGAAACGAAAAATTATAGTTTCCAAAAATTGAAAAAACGAAAATTTGCAAATCAAAAATCGAAGAAATGTAAAATGGAAAATAGCAATTCGAAACATTGATAACTCGAAAAGTCAAAAATTGAGAAACCGAAAAATCCAAAAATGGCAAAATCAAAAAACTAATTAATCGGAATACGGAAAATTCAAAAATCTGAAAAATATAGGGAAATTTTGAAATCGCAAATTAAAGAAACAAAAAACTGAAAAATTGAAAAATTGTAAAATCAAAAATTGTTGCAAAACAAACAACTGAAAAAACAAAAACATTAAGAAATCGTAAAATTGAAGAAACAAAAAGCTGAAAAATCAAAAAATTAAAGGAACTGAAAAACCGAATAACGAATAACAAAAAATAGAAATTCAAAAAATTGGTTTAAAGTTATTTAGACAGAACTTCCCTCGTCCCTAAAGTACAATACAACAAATCCAGTTTTTTTAATTTTGCGAATTTAATTGTATGATAACTCGTATAAATTTAAACTAGAAATTTACCATATCTTCGACAAGTTTAAAACGCCTGTAAGATTTTAGAGCATTCTAATTTGCAGTTTAAAAATTAAAATGCACAATGTCATTACACAATTTCAATTTTTCCAAAAATCTGGATGTCTCGTGTAATAACTGAAGACGGATTCATAAACTACACCTGTAGGAGTATGTTACTTTATAAAATTTAAAACCCATTTACTATGTAAAATTTTGGGGTGACGTCATTACATTGTTCATGGGGATGGTTAACCAACATTCGATCAGTTAGCTTACGTCCAGCAAGTAAAAATCGTTAATATTTTAAGAATCAAGATTTGTGTGAGTAAAATTCCAAACCTTTGTGGGTATTTTGGCCATGGAAACACTTTTCGTCGTCGGACTTTGATTTTGATGGTGAAGTTTTCGGTTCGAGAGCTTGTCGAGAAGAGGGTGATTTAGAAATTCGAGGCGAAAAGAAAGTTCGGTTGAAGAGTGGTGGAAACAAATAGAAAGTTTTGGGAAAGACCAAGAGAGAGTTGGCCAAAGCGGATCAAAAACGGATTAGGGATGAACAGGTAGAAAAAAGAGGGTTCAGGGGTGGGATTTTGTTTCCACAACGATAAAATATCGGTACCGATAAAATATGGTCGTCTTTTTCTTTCGCATCTGAAATTTATCTTTTCGTTCTTGTCATTTATCGCTTCGTATCGTATCGGTAGAAACAAAATCCCACTCGGACGCCAGTTATTTAACGTGCTCGCTGGGGATACTCGGCGCGGGAACAAAAATCTCCAGGGGTCGCACTATTTCGATCATTTCTCCACCTATCAAAACCAACATTAGTGACCACCCCATTACCTTTATTATAACTCCCGGGTTAAAATTGCTGTTGAGGTCCGACGAATACGGCGCCTCGCACGCCTCGCAGACGTCCCTGTTAGGTCCGTTGAGCAGCGTGCACCGCTTACACGTCCACGAATTCGCCATCGCCCCCTTAACCTTCCACGTGTAGCTCGGACTGTGGCCCGTGTTGATGCCGCTCGCCGTCGTCCTGACATTCGTGGGTATCAACGGATCACAGTGAATCTGCTCGGCCACCGAACAGCTGAAGCTCTGGATGCTCGACAGCGAGATGAAGCTGTTCTTGGCGCGCTGGCACATGCACGTCAGCGGCCTATCGCAGCTCAGGATGTCGTAGTTCCGGAAGTTCGGCTGCTCGATGGGGGTCAGAGAGGCGCAGTTCTTGCACGGCGACTGGGCCACGTTCATCATTGCCTCGGCGCCGCCGCACACCAGACACGTCTCCGACACCGACACGAAGAGGACGCGGCACGTGCGGCAGAGGCTGCAGCCGGCCAGGTTCGGTAAGCTGCGCGACTTGAGGCGGGACTCGAGCCGCTTCTTCTGGGGGCTCCGCACCGAGGCGCTCCTCTGCAGCACCGCCACCGAGCTGAGGACGGTGGCCCGCACCAGCGTGGCTGTGTCCCTAAAACGAAAAACGACAATTCAAAAAAATACAGAGAATCTCGGGCACCAGTTTTTCACGAGGTGTGCGCGTGTAGAAAACAATCTGTTTTCCATTCTGTTATTATTATTATTATTGTTTTCTCGGTTTTTAAATTTTTCGATATTTTAATTTTTCAGTTTTTAAAGTTTTAGGTTTTTAGATTTCTCACTATCGCGACTTTTCGATTTTTCAGTTCCATGATTTTTCAATTTGTCGAATTTTTAAATTTTAGATTTTTTGTTTTCTTTGATGTTTTGAGTTCTCGATCATTCGATTTTCTGAGTTTTCAGGCTTAGATTTTTTTGTTGTTCAATTCTTGGATTTTAAAAATTTTTGTTTTTCAAATTTTCCTATTTATCAACTTTTTGAATTTTTGATTGTTCAATTTCTCGATTTTTTAAATTTTTAGTTTTTGATACGATTTTTTTTTCAAAAATTTTCAGTTTTTCAATTTATTAACTTTACGATACTTCAGTTTTGCTCGATTTCGATTTCCCAATTTTTCGACATATTACTCTTGGGATTTTTCAATTTATCGATTCTTCGATTTCTCGATTCTTCAAATTTTCGGTTTCCAGAATTTCTTCATTTTTCGATTTGTTAATTTTCCGATGTTTCAGTTTTACGTTTTTTAAATTTTTTTATTTTTCAGTTTTCAATTTTTGACGTTTCTAAATTTTTGGATTTCTCAATTTTTCGGTTAACTGATTTTTTTGATTTTCCCATTTCTCTATTTCTCGATTTTTCAATTCTGTCTTCAATTGTGATTTTTCAATTTTTCGATTTCTCAATTCTTCAATGTTTCAGTTTTGGATTTTTTCACTTTTCCGATTCTTCAATTTTCTTTCCATTTTTCAGTTTTTCAAGATTTCAGTTTTGAATTTTTTCACTTTTTCGATTTTTCAATTTTCCTTCCATTTTTCAGTTTTTCGGTATTTCAGTTCTGGGATTTTGCAATGTTTCGGTTCTTCAATTTTTCCATTTTTTGATGTTTTGATTTCTCGGTTTTTCAATTTTTCGATAGGTATTTTAATTTTTCAATTTTTAAGTTCTAGATTTTCCGTTAATTTTTTTGTTTTCCTTGATGTTTTGATTTCTCGATTATTCGATTTTTCAAGTTCTCGGTTTAGATTTTTTGGTTTTCCAATTCTTCGATTTTTAAATTGTTTAATTTTTAGATTGTTCAATTTTTCGATTTTTTGATTTTTCAATTTTTCGGTTTACCGATTTTTTTTAATTAAAATGTTTCAATTTTTCAATTATTAACTTTTCAATTTTTCAATTTTGGTCAAATTCAGTTTTTGAACGTTCCGATGTTTCGATTTTTCGGCTTTTCGAGTGTTCAATTTTTTGATTTTTGAATTTTAGATTGTTTTTTTGATTTTTTTGGTGTTCGATTTCCCAATTCTTCAATTTTTCGATATTTTAATTTTTCAATTTTTCGAATTTTTAAATTTTTTATGTTTCTTTTCTTTTATTTCTCAATTTTTGGATTTTTTAAATTTTACATTTTTCGATTTTACTATTTTTTGATGCTTGGATTTCTCAATTTTTCAAGTTTTCAACACTCAATTTTTCAGGATTTGAATATTGAGAACTTTTCAATTTCTGGATTTTCAAATTCAGATATTTTATTTTTTTGATTTTTTAATGTTTCGATTTTTGGGTGTTTTGATTTTTCGATTTTTAAAGTTTTTGATTTTTCGATTTTTCCGATTTGTTGTCTAAAAGCGTATAAAAGATGGCAAAAAAATAACTACTTAAATACGAAAAAAGGTTAAAAAACAATAAAAATGGCGAGAAAAGGGGCAAAAAAGGCGGCTAAAATAGTTATAAAAAAGGGTAAGGGCAATTAAAAAAAAATGACACAAAAAGCGACTTAAAAAAGTAACAAAAAAACAAAAAAAGGATGATTAAAAAAAGACGATAAAAAGGGGAACAAAAAATTTAATACAAACGCCCACCAAAAAAAGGGGCAAAAATGACAAAAATATATATGTATGAAAAAGGGTAAAAAAGGGCGACAAATAAACAAGATGAAAAGAAGGCAACAAAAAAGTGATCAAAAAATAGGGACAAAAAAAGACGAATAAAAAAACGGAAGACAAAAATGCCATAACAAAAAAGGCGACAAAAAATACCAAAAAAAAAAAAAAGAAAAAAAAGGGGGTTAAAAACAACAAAAACCTAAAAAAAAAAATGGGATTAAAAAAAGGCAATTAAAAAGCGACAAAAAATTAAAACGAAAAAGTGTAAAAAAGTCGAGAAATAAAAAGGTGACGAAAAAAGTGATACAAGAAGTCGAAAAAAATTAAGATAGAAGATGCGACAAAAATGCGGGACAAAAAAAAGGATTAAAAAACGAGACAAAAAGAAATCATAAAATAAAAGGAGAATAAAAAAAGAAAGACAAAAAGGGGAGATAAAAATGGAGCACAAAAAAGTGCGACAAATAAAAAAGGTGAGAAAAAGACGACAAAAAAGTGATAAAAAAAAGGATACAAAAAAGGCGATAACAAAAAGGACTAAAAAAGATAAAAATGGGGGTCAAAAAAAAGCTATAAAAAATGTGGACAAAAATGCAACAAAAAAAACGACCAAACAAAGATCAAAAAGAAAAAAAATAGCGAAAAAGCTGCAAAAAAATAAAAAAAGGTAATGAAAAGATGACACATAAAAAAGGTTGACGAAAAGGCGCCAAAAAAATTATAAAAAAAAGTCCAAAAAAATAAAGATAAAAAAGGGACCAAAAAATGACAAAAAAGGGAGTCAAAAAAATTGTAAAATTATAAAAAAAGTGAGACACAAAATATAAAAAGGGGGACAAAAAATATCAAAGAAAGACCAAAAAAGCGATAAAAGTGGACTACAAAAATAAGCGATAAAAAAATGGGACAAAAAAACCGATAAAAAAAATGGGACAAAAAAAAGCGATCAAAAAAATGGGCATATAAAAGGTGATAAAAAAAAAGGAGGACGCAAAAGACGATAGAAGGAGGTGGACTAAAAAGGTAATTAAAAAAAGAGGGACAAAAAAAGATGATAAAAAGGGATAACAAAAAGGTTATAAAAAATGGGAACAAAAATTAAAAACGAAAAAATCGGGACAAAAAAGGAGCAAACAAGTGGATAAAGGGGAAAAAAGACATAAAGACGACCAATAAAACGACAAAAAAAGAGAAAAAATGTAAAAAGTAACCAATTTTTTAAACAATAACAATAAAAGTTACAAAAAAAACCAATGAAAAAAGACAAAAGTGAGCGAAGAAAAGTCAATGACAAAAAGTGATAAAGAGTGACAAAAAAAAGGAAGCAAAAAAAATAAGGACAAAAAAAGCGATAAAAAATGGGACACATAGGGGATAAAAAAATCAAACAAAAAAAATCGAGCAGAAAAGAGGACAAAAAAAGATGATTTAAAAAAAAAGCGATAGAGGGGGACAAAAAAAGCTGATAAAAAAGGATTGAAAAGGTGATATGAGTGGGGGGAGATTAAAAAACATGATTAAAAAAGAGGAATAAAAAAAGGATATGAAATAATGGAGACAAAAAATGAATACGATAAAAAGGAAGGCAAATAAAAAAAGGTGAAAAAAGCGCGACAAAAAAGTGATAACAAAATTGAAAAAAAGAGGATTAAAAAGCGAACAAATAGGGACAAAAGAAGGGGCAAACAAATGCATAAAGGATAAAAGAAAAACAAAAAAAAACGATTGAATAAAAAGACGACCAATAAAACGACAAAAAAAGGAACAAAAAAATGTAAAAATTAATCTTTTTTTTATGCAATAACAATAAAAGTTACAGGGGGACAAAAAAAGGCGATATTAAAATTGCGAGAAAAAAAGGGGAAAAAACAAAAAAACAAGGATAAAAAATGACAAAAAGAGGGACAAAAGAGCGATAAAACGGAAGACAAAAACGGTGCTTAAAAAAGGGGGCAACAAAACCCGATAAAAAATTAAGAACAAAAAAGGTGATACAAAATGGGACAAAAAAATCAAACAATTTAGACAAAAGACGGCACAAAAAAGGTGATAAAAATGGACTGAAAAGGTGATGGGGGGGTGTTAAAAAAAAGAGAAATAAAAAAAGACGGTAAAAACAATAGCGACAAAAAATTAAAACAAAAAAAAGGTGACAAAAGGATGATAAACAAAACGCCAAAAAAAGTCATAAAAATTCTTTTTTTTTTTGAACAATAACAATAAAAGTTACAAAAAAGTAACGAGACGAAAAGACAAAAACGAGGGAAGAAAAGACAATAAAGTAGGAGACAAAAAAGCGACAATTAAACAACAGAAAACGGGAAGATAAAAAAGGTGCTAAAAACGGATATAAAAAAGTAGTCAGAAGTAAAAATGATAAAAAAGCGACAAAAAAACAACTAAAGTGTGACGATAAAAAGGGCGATAAATAAGGAGATACAGAATAAAAAAATGCATCATTAACAATAACAAGTAAAACTATAGCGATAAAAAAGGTTAAAAAATGGCGACAATTAAAAAATGCGACACAAAAGTCATACATAAATTTAAAGAAATATAAAATAATAATATTTTTTTGTCGCCCTGTATAAATCAGTCTTTAAAAAACCCGAAACACTGAGAAACCACAAGCATAGCTCATAATATTTTACACATCGTAGCAAAATTTTGAGATGACGTCATCAAGTTTTTGCAGGGGATAAACAGACAAATTTTGATCAGCGATATCATGTTTACGACAACGCAAGGTTTCAGAATACTCAACTCTGCGAACGGCTACTTTCATGGTTTCTCGACGTTTCGTGATCCCTAGAGTTGGAAAAAACAGGTCTTCCGTTTCTGCCTGCCTGCACCAACTGTCAGGAATATCGTGTTCATGGTAAAAAGTTAACCTCAAACACACAGTAAATGTTACTTAAATTTTAACAATCAGTCCAGTAGTTTCTCAAATTAGCTGTCTAACAAAATCGCCAACAGATGAAAACAACACTTACTTTTCCACAGTCTAGTGGTTGTAAAACGTCGAGAAACACCGTTGCCAATTGGAGAAAAAGAAATAAGTCAATTGAATGTGAAATATGACACTATTTTCAGAAAAACAAAATCTGGTTGTTGATATTGTGCATAGTTGGTTGCATACCATCTCAATCAAAAGAAGGTTTCCTGATTTATGCAACTTTGCCTACATTAATATCGTTGTCAATAACCATTTTTTTTGTGTCTCGTGTTCTTGCACCTTGTATTTTAACACGCAAGCAACACCCTACAATTTTCCGACCAATTTAACCCACAAATGTTAAATTTATTTAAAAGCGACCAATAACCTCACTTTCCAGTTTGCTTTGTCGCAAAAACTTAAATTTCAGGTCAATATTCTGTGGCCACGTCTTAATTTCGTCAATTACTTGTTGTTCACGACTTGAATCACTTCTATCTCTGAACCCTTTTGTTGTCCACCAGCTGTCACCTCTTGCATTCATTCTTAAAACCCTCCTTGTTTCCGGGCACAAACCCGCCAATTCCGTCGCCCCCCTTGACAACCCCCATCGCCGTCCACTGCACCCGCCAATTCGCGCCTCACTCTTCACCACCCCCGATTCACTCGGCGGCCTCGCGCCGCCACAAGCCGCCCCCCGACACGCCGAAACCACGATAATTTGCATACACCAGATTCGATTAATCGGATTTCATTCACTTTTTAGCGTTTATTGATCTTCCAGTGGGACGCGGATTTGTCGGAATTACCTGCGGGCGGTTGGGTCCGGGTCGGCGGAGCGGAGGCGCCGGATCACTGTGCACCTGGCGCTGGAGAGCCCGTCGTCTTCATGGTCCTTGTGCTGGGTCTGCCTGGTGGTGCCGCAGCGGATGCATCGCACTTGCTCGGTGGGGTTGATTAGGCTGCACGATCCGCAATGCCATTGCAGCACCGAGGCGATGGCACCCATGGCAGATGGCACATGGCTACGACACCCATCAAAACACCGAAACTGTGTCAACGGAACGCGACGAACAGCTGATGCCTCGATGGGGCTATTTTCAAATTTCTGCCATATTGGTGGCGCCAGAGCGCAGGTGCGTGGATAGGCAACCAGTTATACGGGAAGAGTCAATACGTGGTGAAGGACAAAGGGTTCGATTTTAATATTTTAGTGATGGAATGATGGATGGATTCTTCAAAGTTTGACTTTTTAATTCGTTGCAATTACTCGACTAATAACATGATAATAAATTTTGTCTGCTATTTACAAGAAATATGCATTATTTAATATTGTTTGGTAATAAATGTATCTCAGAATACGAAAAAAAAATGGGTGAAAAAATGAATCGATGAAAATTATTACGTATGCATAAGTTACAGTTTAAAAATAAATTTTATTGTTCTGACTGATATTTTCAGAGACTGATTCTCGCCGTTTATTGTCGTTTTTTTTGTCTTATTTTTGGGGCCTTTTTTTTTCAATTTTTGTTTTTTTCTTTCATTTAGACAATATTTTGTCGTATATTGTGGCACTTTTTGTCTGTTTTTTGTTTCTTTTATCTCGTTTTTCATCTTCAATTTTTTTGTTCTTCTTTTAGTCGCAATTTTTGTTTTTTTTTGTCACATTTTTGTCTTTTTTTATCGCCTTTCTTGTTTTTTTTTAATGTCTTTAATGCCTTGTTATTACCTATTTTGTGATTTTTTTTTTACCGTTTTTGTGTTTCTTTTGTTGGTTTTTTCTCATCCATTTCTTAAACCTTTTTTAGTCCTTAGCTTACACTCAGCAAGTATTGTAATAGAGAGTACAAAAGAAGTAGGAACTTTCGACAATTTTTTTAAAACTACATATTTTTGGACGAAAATTAAAATTGTTAAACAATTATTCGATTTTTTGATTTTTCAATTTTTTGATATTTCGGTTTTGGGATTTTTCAATTTGTCGATTCTTCAGTTTCTCGATAAATCGATTTTTCGATTTTGTCGGTTTTTTGACGTTTCGATTTTTTGATATTCCCCATTCGTTTTCTCGACTTTTTGACGTTCGAATTACCAAAGTTTTTCGATTATTTAAATTTTTCCACTTTTCGATTTCCCGAATTTTTGATTTCACGATTTTTCAACTTTTCGATTATTCAGTTTTTCATTGTTCAATTTTTCCATTTTTAAAATTTTCGATTTTTTAAATTTTACATTTATCGATTTTCGGTAATTTTTCGATTTTTCATTTTTAGATTTTCGGTGTATGGATTTAAGATTTTTTAATGTTTTCAAATTTTAATTTTTCGCTTTTGGGCTCTTTCGATTTTTCGATTTTTCGACTTCTCGACTTTTCGATTTCTCGATCTCTCAATCGTTTCAGGTTTCGATTTGCCGAATCGAAAATTTTTCAGTGTTTCCCAATTTTTCGCCATTTCAGTTTCACAGTTTTTCAGTTTTTCGATTTCATGACTTTGATGTTTTTCCATTTCCCTATTTTTCAATTCTTGATTTTTAAATTAGAAGTAAAAATTTTCGACTTTTAGATTCCTCAATTTTTCAAATTTTTCGATTTCTTAGTTTTTCGTCATTTTAGTTTTGGAATTTTTCAATTTCTAGATTTTTCGAATTTTTGATGGTTCGATTTCTCAAAGCTTCGATTTGTCAATTTTTCGATTTTCATTTTTTCGAGTTTTCAGATTTTTGATTTATCGATTTTTCGATGTTTTAATTTTTGATTTTTCGATTTTTCTACTTTTGCATCTTTCAATTTTACAGCTTTTCGATCGTTATATTTTTCAATGTTACAGTATTGGAATTTTTCAGTTTTTAATATTTCAATTCTCCGATTTCCCGACATCTCGGTTTATCGATTTTTAAAAACTTTTTTCAACTTTTAGAGTTTTTCAGTCAAGTTCTGGATTTGTCAATTTTTCTATTTTTTTAATATTCCGATATTTTAATGTTCCTATTATTCGATCTTTCGTATTTTCTACTTTTCGGCTTTTCATTTTTTCGAGTCCAAAAGTTTTTGATTTTCCGATTTTTAAAATTTTAAATGTCGCCAACCGATTTTTAAAATTTCTGATTTTTTTATTTTTCACTTGAGTTTTTAAACTATGCGGTTTTTAAATTAATCAATTTTTCAATTTTTCGATGTTTCCATGTTTTAATGTTTCGATTTTTCGATTTTTCGATTTTTCGATTACTCAGTTTTTCAATATTTCAGTTTTGAGATTTTTCACTTTTTCGATTCTTCACTTTCTCGAGAAATCGATTTTGCGATTTTTCAATTTTTCAATTTTACGAATTTTCAATTTTTCGATTTCTCAGATTTTTAATTTGTCAATTTTTGATTTTTTAAAACTCCCCACTTTTCGATTATTCGATTTTGGATTTTTCGATTTTTCAGCTTTTCGATTGTTCAATTCTGTAGTGTTTCAATGTTGGAATGTTTCAATTTCTCGATTTTCTAAATTTTTGGTATTTTAATTTTTTTGATTTTGAGTTATTTTTCGTCTTTTTATTGATTCGACTTCTCGGTTTTAGATTTTTCGGTTTTTAAATTTTTCATTTTATTCAATTTCTGATTTTTCAATTTTTTGAATTTTCAATTTTCCGATTTCACGACTTTTTTTTACTCCTTGATTTTTTTTCAATTTCCCAATTTTTCAATTTTTCGATTTCATGACTGATGTTTTTCTATTTCCCTATTTTTCAATTCTTGATTTTTAGAAATTAGAACTAAAAATTTTCGACTTTTCAACATTTCAGTTTTAGGAAGTTTTGAATTTCTCCAATTTTTCGAGTTTTGTATTTTAAATTTTTCGATTTTTTGATCTTTTGCTTATTCGATCTTTCGATTTTCGGCTTTTCGATATTTACATTTTTAGAATTCTTACTTTTTCGTCATTTTAGTTTTGGAATTTTTCGATTTCCTGATTTTTCAATTTTTCAGTCTTTCAATTTTTCGAATTTTCAATTTGCCAACTTTTCGATTTGTCAATTTTTTAATATTTTCGATTTCAAAAGTTTTTGATTTTCCGATTTTTAAAATTTTAAATGTCGCCAACCGAATTTTAAAATTTCTGATTTTTTGATTTTTCATTTCAGTTTTTAAACTATGCGGTTTTTAAATGCATCAATTTTTCAGTTTTTTGAATTTTCAAATTTTATATTTTTCGAGTTTTCGACGTCTCGACTTTTCGCTTTCTCGCTTTGCCGATTCGAAAATTTTTCAGTTTTTCGATGTTTCGATTTTTCGATTACTCAGTTTTTCAATATTTCAATTTTGAGATTTTCTCTTTTTCGATTCTTCATTTTCTCAAGAAATCGATTTTTCGCTTTTTGACTTTTTGATTTTTTGACATCCGCTATTCTCGATTTCTTGATTTTTTGACGTTTCGATTTCAATTTTTCGATTTTTCACGGTTTGGATTCTTCAATTTTTCGATTTTCCAATTTTCAATATTACGATTTTCAATTTTTCGATTTCTCAGATTTTTAATTTGTCGATTTTTCGATTTATTAAAATTTCCTACTTTTCGATTTTCCGAATTTTGGATTTTTCGATTTTTCAGCTTTTCGGTTGTTCAATTTTTCACTGTTTCAGTTTTGGGATGTTTCAATTTCTCGATTTTTTAAATTTTTGGTATTTTAATTTTTTTGATTTTGAGTTATTTTTCGTCTTTTTATGTTTCCGATTTCTCGATCTTTCGATTTTTCCACGTCTCGGTTTTTGATTTTTCAGTTTTTCAATTTTTCATTATTTACAATTTCTGATTTTTCGATTTTTCATTTCGGTTTCTAAGTTTTTCGGTTTTTAAATTTAGCGATTTTTCAATTTTTTGAATTTTCAATTTTTCTATGTCTCGATTTATCAAGGTTTCAACGTTTCGATTATTCGATTGTTCAATTTCCTGATTTTTCAATTTTCACATTTTTCGTTGTCGGATTTTTTCAGATTTAATTTTTTTTAATTTTTCAAATTTTAATATTTCGCTTTTGGTCTTTTTCGATTTTTTGACGTCTCAACTTTTCGATTTCTCTCTCGATCGTCTCATGTTTCGATTTTTCAATTTCCCAATTTTTCGTCATTTCAGTTTAGAATTTTTCAATTTTTCGATTTCACGACTTTTTGGTGTTTCTATTTCCCTATTTTTTAGTCCTTGATCTTTAGAATTTAGAACTAAAAATTTTCGACTTTTAGATTTTTCGATTTTTCAATTTTTCCAATTTTCAATTCCTTAATTTTTCCACATTTCAATTTTAGAAAGTTCTCAATTTCTCGGTATTCCAATTTTTCCATTTTTATGTAGGAGTATTAGATTTTTCGATTTTTTGATGTTTCGATCTTTCAATTTTTAGACTTTTCGATATTTTAACTTTTCGATTTTCCAGTTTTTCGATGTTTCGGAATTTCGTCACTCTAGTTTTGGAATTTTTCAATTTCTAGATTTTTGAACTCTACCATTCTTCTTTTTTTTTATATTCCAGTTTCTCGATTTTTCGAATTTTTGATGTTCGATTTCTCAACGCTTCGATCTCCCAATTTTTCAGTCTTTCAATTTTTCAATTTTTCGATTTTTAATTTTTCAATTTTTCGATCTTTCAGTGTCGCAGTTTTTCGGATTTACAATTTGGAAAAATCAAAAACGAAAAAACAAAAAACTATAAATTGAAAGTTTTGAAAAATCTAAAAATTGGAAATCAAGAACTTCAAAAATTGAAGAAACCAACTGTCTATTGTAAAATTGACAAAATACAAAAAATTTGACAATTTTTCGATTTGTCAATTTTTCGAATTTCAATTTTTCGATTTTTCAGATTTTTGATTTATCAATTTTTCGATTTTTCAGCTTTTCGACTATTTAATTTGTCAATGTTACAGTGGAATTTTTTAATTTTTCGATTTTAAGTTTTTTTCGATTTTTTGATATTTCGATTCTTTGATTATTCTATTTTTCAATTTGTCCGACTTTAAAAGTTTAGATTTTTCAATTTTTTGATGTATCGATTTCTCGATGTTTCGTCTTTCAGTTTTTCGGTTTTTACGATTTCTGATTTTTAGATTTTACGATTTTTTGATGTTTCCATTTCCTTATTTTTCAAATTTTTAATATTTCAATTAGAATTTTCGATTTTCCGATATCCCGGATTTTCGATTTTTTTAAAACTTTTTTCGATTTAGATTTTTTGATTTTTCTGTTTTTCGAGATTTCGATTTCTCAATTTTTTAACATTTTAATTAGGAATTTTTCAATTTCTGGATGTTTCAATTCTTCTATTTTTTGAATATTAAATTTTTTGATTTTTTGATGTTCTCATTATTCAATTTTTCAATTTTTCGATTTCAGGACTTTTTGATATTTCTATTTTTCAATTTTTGATTTTTAGAATCTAGAAGAAAAAATTTTCGACTTTTCGATTTTTCAATTTTTCCAATTTTCGAATCCTTAATTTTTCAAAATTTTAATTGTAGGAAGTTTTGAATTTTTCGGTATTCCAATTTTTCTCAATTTTATATGACAATGCTTCGTTTTTCATTTGCTCAATTTTTTCGATTTTAAAATTTTTCAATTTTTCAAATTTTCAATTTTCAATTTTCCAATTTTGAAATTTTTTAATTTTGCTCAATGATTATCCGATTTCCCGATTTCTTAAATTTCAATTTAACAATAGACATTTCGTTTCTTCAATTTTTGAAGTTCTTGATTTCCAATTTTTAGATTTCTCCAAATTTTCAATTTATGGTTTTTTGGTTTTTCGTTTTTGATTTTTCAAAATTGTAAAGTTGAAAAACTGCGACACTGAAAGATCGAAAAATTGAAAAATCAAAAATCGAACAAATGAAAATGTTTTAAAATCCATTAACTGGAAAATGGAAAAAATCTAAAATTGTAAAATTGTAAAAGTCCTAGTTATTATTACATATTTAAAATGACGGAAACTAGAAAAATTGCAAATCAAAAATTGAAGAAACGAAAAATTACAAATCAGAAAAAACTGAAACATCCAAAAGTCGGAAAATCTAAAAACTGAAAAATTTTAAAATTGAAAACTCGGGAGAAATTTGCAAAATCCAAAAATTAAAAAAACGAAAAAATGGAAAATTGGAAAATCGCAAATCGAAAAATTGCAAAAATCAAAAAACTGAAAAATTTACATATAATTCGAAAAAAGAAAAATCAAAAAATCGAAGAATTGAAGAATTCAGGGGCGAGGGAAGTTCTGTCGAAATAACCTTCAACCAATTTTTATGTACATATTTACCAATCTGGAACGGCGAGCAGGGCGAGCGAAGCGAGCAAATTATAGCATTCACTTATACAATAAAAACAAAGCCACCCTTGATTACAAAATTCCCTTTATTTCCCACTCCCTGTACACTTCTTTTCATACTCATTTTTCAGCTCCCTCCTTAGAATCTTCCCAGAAGAACTCTTCGGAATGACGTCCACCACCTCCACACCGCCCCTCAATTGTTTATACTCAGCAACTTGCCCTTTCACATACTTCTCCAAACCCTCAACATCCACCCGTTTGTCCTTCAACACAACATAAGCCCTTGGAATCTCCCCGTACCTAGAACTCGAAACTCCAATCACAGCAGCGTCTTCTACACCCCCAAAACGCTTAATAACCTCTTCAAGTTCAGCCGGAGCTACTGAAAACCCTTTCACTTTAATCAGTTCTTTGAACCGATCAGTGATAAAAAAGAACCCGTCGTCGTCATAGTGTCCCACATCACCGGTCCTAAACCACCCATCAACCAACACCTTCTGGGTTTCCTCTGGACGATTCAAGTACCCTCGCATCACTTGCGGTCCCTTGATTAGTAGTTCTCCGGAAGAGTTAGCACCCAAAGAGTGTCCTTCAGGGTTCACTATTTTAACCAGAGTGTTGGGAAGGGGTCTCCCAATTGACCCTTTGACGCTAAACTGGGGCGAATTTGCCGTCACCGACAAAGTCTCCGTCAACCCATAACCTTGAAGTACACACATGTGGGTTCCCATCTTTTCGACGAACTTGTCTTGGTCGATGGTACTTAGGTGTGCCCCTCCAGAGAAGACGGTTCTGACTGCCCCCAAGTCCGTCTTTTTGACCATGGAATTTTGGGTTAAGAACAAAACTACCAATTAAAAAATAATTAAAAAAACAGTGACAGGTCAAAAGTAGTACCATACTTGTGGGAGGGGCTGCAAGTAAAGCGGTGACTTTGTGTGTTTTGAGTAGCTCTAAGTACTCGTGCGGGGTAAACTTAGGGAGGGTTACAATCTGACCCCCGTTTGCAAGCACCAGGAACGTGTTCATGAAAAACCCGAAAATGTGGGCCATGGGTGCCACTCCTGGTACCACGTCTTGGTGGTTTGTGGTTGCTGGTTCAAAAATCTGGACTTCTGGCATTTGGCACAGGTTTGCTACTACGTTGCGATGGGTGAGCTGCACTCCCTTTGGTAGTCCGGTGGTACCGCTGGAATATGGTAAAAATGCCACGTCATCACTTATCGTCTTGTTTGGGACTTCTGACAACTCTTGACCTTTGTCTACGAATTCGCGAAAGTCGATTGTGTTGCAAATCGATTGGTTTTGCTACGAAAACTTATTTAGTTTTTTTTTTCAACACGTGAAGTACTCACACGTGTCTTTATTGTTACAACTGGTAACGTGTAGTCAAATTTATGAGTGTTAACTGTGGGTAATAAATCAGGCGTGGTGATTAAAACTTTTGCTAACGAGTCGCTTAATTGGCGATAAATTTCGTCTAAAAATGTTTTGTTTAGTGAGGACTATATGAATTATAAATGTTGTATTTTACCACTGGTGTAGGAGTGGTTGATTGTGGTAACTAGCAAACCGGCGTGTAAAATCCCCAATATCGCTATAGGGTACTCAGGCAGATTTGGTAAAAATAAGGCCACAACATCCCTTTCGTTCAACTTTAGGTTCCGGCGAAGACTTTTACTAAGTTTGACAGAGTCAGCTATAATTTCACTGTAGGTGTATTTTCTTCCAGTGAGACCACATTTCTGCAAAAGGAACCGACTGTGTAAAAATATAAGCGGTTCTACTTTTGTAATAATACTTACTATGGCCGTAAGACTTCCATATTTTTCACACTCGGTGAATATGTATTCAGGAAGGGTTACTCCAGGTATGGCGACATCTTTAAAACTGGCTGTAGATTTAAATTTAACAAAATTTGTTACTCTTCGATTGACAGTTCTCAGTGGCAACATTTTGACTGATTTATCGATGTTTCTGACCACGATTTTGTCTTCTTATCAGTTTTTTCGTTTGTACCAAAACAAATAAGTCTTATCTGTGTCTATTTATATGTGCATTACTTCACAAAGTGACATAATTAATTACGAGTATGATTATAGCTATTATTTATTTACAAGAAAATGTGTTACATATAGCTGTTATACCACAGTTTTATATTTTTTATTTGGTGGTCACACCGTAGTTTTTAATTGGGGTCAACACGCGAAAATTAAAATTATCGGAACACGAAAGACAAAACCAGAATAATTATACAGCAAAAACATTACATATTTATAATTATTATGTGACAAGGTTCAAACGATGTTTGATAAACAAAATGATTTGCAATTTTTAGTGTGTTTAGATAAATACCGAGTGGTTATTAATGATTGTGATTTTTTTGTCAGGTTGGTAACGTTGAGAATTTTATGGTGGCATACCTGACTTCAAATTCAAATTTTGGGTGCTAATCAAACTATGAAGATATAAAAAATTGACCATTAATACCAAAAAATTTTAAAATTGAAAAATTGCAAATCAAAAAAACCAAATATTTATTGTAAAATAGAAATATTGAAAATTAAAGAAAGAATGAAAATCGGATAGCTGGAAATCTAAAAATTGCAAAAATGACAAATTTGAAAATGGAAAATCGAGAAAATGAAAAATCAAAGATTGAAAATTTGAAAAATCGAATAAACGAAAAATTGAAAAATCTTAAATTTAAATATTAATAAACTGAAAAATAAAAAAATGAAAACTTGTAATATGGAAAAATTGCAAATCGAAAAATTGAAGAAAAAAATTTTTTTTAAATTAGAAGTTGAGAAATTGAAAAATTGATAAAATTAAAGTCGAAGAAGCCAAAAATTATGAACCCAAAACATTGAAAAACGAAAAAGTATAAAATGAAAACTTTTATAGATGTAAAAATTGGAAATCAAGAACTTGAAAAATTGAAAAAACCAAAAATTCAAAAATCGAAAACGTGAAAAAATGAAAATCGGATACCTGGAAATCCAAAAATTGCAAAAATGAAAAATTTGAAAGTTGGAAAATCGAGAAAATGAAAAATCAAACATTGAAAATTTGGAAAAACGAATAAACGAAAAATATAAAATGAAAATTTTGAAAAATCTAAAAATTGGAAATTAACTTGAAAAATGAGGAAACGAAAAATTGAAAAATCCAAAAATTAAAATTTGATAAACTCAAAAATCCAAAAATGAAAAATTATGAAACCGAAACATTGAAAAACGAAAAAATATATAATGAAATGAAAAATCTAAAAATTAGATGGAAATCAAGACCTTAAAGGGTTGGAAATTTTGAATTTTATACCACTGACAAATTGTGGTATAAAATCGAGAAAATAGAAATTAAAAAACAAGGAAAATAAAAAATTAAAATGAAGAACTTGAAAAAATGAGGAAACGAAAAATTGAAAAATCCAAAAATTAAAATTTAATAAATTGAAAAATCCAAAAATGAAAAATTGTAATATTGAAAAATTGCAAATCGACAAATTGAAGAAACAAAAATTTAAAAAAACTTGGAAGTCGAGAAACTGAAAAGTTGAAAAAGCGAAAAATTATGGAACAAATATTGAAAATCGAAAAAGTATAAAAGGAAAACTTTGAAAAATCTAAAAATTAGAACTCAAGGTCTTAAAAAATTGAAAATTTTGAATTTTATACCACTGCAAAATGATGGTATAAAATCGAGAAAATTGAATATTGATAAACTGAAAAATAAAAAAATTAAAAATTGTACTATTGAAAAATTGCAAATCGAAAAATTGAAGAAACAAGGATTAAAAAACAAATTGGAAGTCGAAAAATTGAATAATTGATAAAATTAAAGTCGAAAAACCCAAAAATTATGAAACTAAAACATTGAAAAACGAAAAAGTATAAAATGAAAACTTTGAAAAATATAAAAATTGAAAATCAACACCTTAAAAAACTGAAAACTTTGAATTTTATACCACTGAAAAATTGTGGTATAAAATCGGGAAAATGAAAATTAAAAAAATAGGGAAAATAAAAAATAAAAATGAAGAACTTGAAAAACTGAGGAAACGAAAAATTGAAAAATCCAAAAATTAAAATTTGATAAATTGAAAAATCCAAAAATGAAAAATTGTAATATTGAAAAATTGCAAATCGAAAAATTGAAGAAACAAGAATTAAAAAAAAAATTAGAAGTCGAAAAATTGAATAATTGATAAAATTAAAGTCGAAAAACCCAAAAATTATTAAACTAAAACATTGAAAAACGAAAAAGTATAAAATGAAAACTTTGAAAAATATAAAAATTGGAAATCAAGACCTTAAAAAATTGAAAACTTTGAATTTTATACCACTGAAACATTGTGGTATAAAATCGAGAAAATGGAATATAAAAAATAATAATCAAGAACTTGAAAATTGAATAAACCAAAAATTGAAAAATCTAAAAATTAAATATTGATAAACTGAAAAATCAAAAAATGAAAAATTGTAATATTAAAAAATTGCAAATCTAAAAATTGAAGAAACAAGAATTAAAAAAAATTGGAAGTCGAAAAATTGAATAATTGATAAAATTAAATTCGAAAAACCCAAAAATTACAAAACTAAAACATTGAAAAACGAAAAAGTATAAAATGAAAACTTTGAAAAATATAAAAATTGGAAATGAAGACCTCAAGAAATTGAAAACTTTGAATTTTATACCATTGAAACATTGTGGTATAAAATCGGGAAAATGGAAATTAAAAAATTGGGAAAATAAAAAATAAAAATGAAGAACTTGAAAAACTGAGGAAACGAAAAATTGAAAAATCCAAAAATTAAAATTTGATACATTAAAGAATCCAAAAATGAAAAATTGTAATATTGAAAAATTGCAAATCGAAAAATTGAAGAAACAAAAATTTAAAAAGCTTGGAAGTCGAGAAATTGAAAAGTTGAAAAAGCGAAAAATTTTGAAACAAATATTGAAAATCGAAAAAGTATAAAATGAAAACTTGAAAAATTGAAGAAACAAAAATTTTTAAAAATTGGAAGCCGAGAAATTGAAACGTTGAAAAACCCAAAAATTATGAAACCGAAACACTGAAAATCGAAAAAGTATAAAATGAAAACTTTGAAAAATCTAAAAATTAGAAATCAGGAACTTGAATAATTGAAGAAACGCAAAATTAAAAAATCGAAGGATGAAAATTGAGAAACTTAAATATCGAAAAAGTGCAAAGTCGAAAAAACGAAAAAGTATTGTAAAATCGAAATACTGAATATTGGATAATTGGAAATCCAAAAATAGCAAAATTGAAAATTTTAAAAATCGGAAAATCGAGAAACTGAAAAATCAAAAATTCAAAATTTGAAATTTGAATAAACGAAAAATGGTGGTATAAAATCGAGAAAATGGAAAATAAAAAATAAAAATCAAAAACTCGAAAATTGAATAAACCAAAAATTGAAAAATCTAAAAATTAAAAACTGAAATCCAAAAAATGAAAAATTATAATATGTATTGAAAAATTGCAAATCGAAAAATTGAAGAAACAAAAATTTAAAAAAAATTGGAAGTGGAAAAATTGAAAAAGTGAAATTGAAAGAGCCACAACTTATGAAACCGAAACATTGAAAAACGAAAAAGTATAAAATAAAAACTTTGAAAAATCTAAAAATTGGAAATCAAGACTAAAAAATTGAAAATGTCGAATTTTATACCAATGAAAAATTGTGGTATAAAATTGTGAAAATGGAAATTAAAAAATAGGGAAAATAAAAAATTAAAATCAAGAACTTTAAAAACTGAGGAAACGAAAAATTGAAAAATCCAAAAATAAAAATTTGATAAATTGAAAAGTCCAAAAATGAAAAATTGTAATATTGAAAAATTGCAAATCGAAAAATTGAAGAAACACAAATTTTTAAAAATTGGAAGTCGAGAAATTGAAAAGTTGAAAAGCCCAAAAATTATGAAACCGAAACACTGAAAATCGAAAAAGTATAAAATGAAAACTTTGAAAAATCTAAAAATTAGTAATCAGGAACTTGAAAAATTGAAGAAACGCAAAATTAAAAAGTCGAAGGATGAAAATTGAGAAACTTAAATATCGAAAAAGTGCAAAGTCGAAAATCGAAAAACTATTGTAAAATCCTCGGTAAAATCTAAACATTAAAAATTAAGAAAAACGAAAAATCGGATAATTGGAAACCTAAAAACAGCAAAATTGGAAATTTTAAAAATCGGAAAATCGAGAAACTGAAAAACCAAAAATTGTGGTATAAAATCGAGAACATGAAAAATTAAAAATAAAAATCAAGAACTTAAAAATTGAATAAACGAAAAATTGAAAAATTAAAAATTGATAAACCGAGAAAACAAAAAATGAACAATTGTAATATTGAAAAATAAAAATCGAAAAATTGAAGAAACAAAAATGAAAGAAAAAAAATCGGAGAAATTGATTTTTTTTTTAAATTACACTTGAAAAAGCCAAAATTATGAAAGCGAAACATTGAAAAACGAAATAGAATAAAATTAAAACTCTATCTAATAACTGAACAAAACTTGAAAAAACGAAAAATTCAAAAATCCAGAAATTAAAAAATGAGAAACCTAAATATCGAAAAAATGAAATATGTGTTGTAAAATCGAAATATTTAAAATTAAAGAAATCGGAAAATCGGATAACTGGGAATCCAAAAATTGCAAAATTGATAAATTTAAAAACTTAAAAACTGAAAAATCGAGAAATTCAAGAATCAAATGGAAATTAAAAACCAGAGAAAATAAAAAATAAAAATCAAGAACTTTAAAAATTGAGGAAACCAAAAATTGAAAAATCGAAAAACTAAAAACTGGAAAATTGAAAAATCGAAAAAATTAGCATTGAAAGTTAAAATAAAGCTATGCACGTAATGTTATTACACAAGTTTGATTGTTTTTTCAAAAATCTTGACGACACACCCAAATTAAACAAACACTACAAAAATTGACAATCAAAGCCATGACGACACTAATTATTATTCGATAAAACCGTCCTTATCACACCATATCTAAAACCTCACATTATCTATTAAAATTTACAATGGATATTTGCACTGCACTGCCAACTTCAAACCAACAACAGATAAACCCCTCCACTCTCTCTTGTATAAAAATCAACATCAGTCGCACAACAAATAATTTCCATTTACCTTAATCGCCGACATAATGTCGGTCGCTCGCACCATCCTCTCCCGCAGTCTTCGCAGAAGCGTCAAATCCTTCTTCAGGCCCCAGCTGAGTCGAACTCTCTCGACCAACATCCTCGACTCGGGCTTGCCCGACGTGTCCATCCCCAGCACCTCCATCCCGGAATTCGTCTTCTCCAAGTGCGAAAAGTACGACCACTTCACTGCCATCGTAAGTACCATTAAAGTACCATTATCTTGTATAAACATAAATAATTGACAGGAATGCGGAATAACCGGGAGGAAGTACACCTACGGAGAGATCATTTCTAAGTCAAAAAACTTGAGCAGGGCGCTGCGGAAAAAGCTGGGTTTGAAGGATGGGGACGTAGTGGCGGTGCTCCTCCCCAACGTCCCGGAATTCCCACTGGTGACTCTGGGGGTGCTGCACGCCAATTTGATCGTTACGACGCTCAATCCGGTGTACACTCAAGGTAACTATTGTGATTATTATTAAAAGGTATTGTTTGTGTCTGCTGTGTAGACAACAAACCCGAAATTGCTCCTAATGTAAAAGTTTAAAAGTCGAAGGTCGACAACTTCGAATAAAGCGGGAAAGTGAGTCCTCAATGAGTTGACTGTTTGCTGGGGATTATGTTTACAACTAAGTCGAGTGTTATTGTGACGTAGTTGGAGGATTTGGTGACATTAAAAAAATCATGATAATGACTTGAAAAGGACGCATTCCAAAACAATTTGGATCAACCTCTATAATCAAGTCAATTGATTCTTGAAGGCCAAACATTTTATTGTTAGTGCGTATTCTATGCATGCCAACTTTTATTGGTGTAATAATGAACTTTAATCCAGATTATATTTCAAAATTTTTGCCAACTTTTTTTTTTTTTTTCAGAGGAAATCTTCCGCCAGCTGTCCGACTCTTCAGCCAAAGCCCTCATCACCCTCGTCACCGCGTTCCCAACCGCCTCCGCCGCCTGCAACAAACCCTTCCCCATAATAACGATAAAAACCGAGGTGAGTCAACCCAACCATGACACGCCAAAGTCCCCAAAACAACAACAATCAAACTTTATCAGATCAGTCGAACTTTGCTCGATCAAAGATCACTCACTCGAAAAACTTTGTGTGCAGCAAACCCAATCCACGCCGCCTGGAGCCATCGATTTCGCCGAACTCGTCGATAACGTCATCGATTTAACCGACCCCGTGCCCCGGAAAGCCGACGATGTGGCGTTTTTACCGTACTCGAGCGGTACCACGGGGCTTCCCAAGGGGGTACAACTAACCAACTACAACATCGTAGCCAATATTAGTCAGAACAGCTCGCCTGATCTGCCTTTCATCGAAGAAACCACCAAAGAGCACCAGGACGTCATCCCCGTAATTTTGCCCATGTTCCACATTTACGGGTTCACTGTTAACACTATGTTTATTCTTACCAAAGGGACGAAATTGGTGACGCTACCGAAGTTCACCCCTGAGGATTACGTGCGGGTGTTGAGGAACCACAAACCCAACATCCTGTTCGTGGTACCCCCTATAGGTAATACTTTGACTAAAAAGGTAGAGGTTATTGTTGTTTAGTTTTGTTTTTGGCGGGACACCCCATGGTGAAGCGAGAAGATCTTGACCCGGTGAGGGTGGCGTTCAGTGGGGCGGCGCCTCTGGGGGCTTTAGACGAACAAAGATTGATTGAGAAGGCCGGAAAAAGTGTCCACATGCTTCAAGGTACAAACATTTTTCTGTTATCAAAATTTTTAATGTGTGGGTTTAGGGTATGGTTTGACTGAAACGTCACCCACGGTCACCGCCATTTCCATCAAGCTTAAAGAAGAGTGTGACGATGTGTGTGGCTCCATCGGGCGCCCCATCCCCAACACTCTGGTTAAAGTGGTAGCTATAGACGATGCCAGTGGGACACCTCTGGGTCCTAATACCACGGGAGAGTTGCTAGTGAAAGGTCCACAAGTCATGAAGAGCTACCTCAACAGGCCTGAAGAAACCGACAATACGTTCCTGGATGGGTGGTTGCGGACTGGCGATATGGTCTACTACAACGACCAAAGGGTCCTGTTTGTGACGGATCGGCTTAAAGAGTTGATCAAGGTGAAAGGGTTCCAGGTGGCTCCCGCTGAACTCGAGGAGATAATCAGGGATTTTCCTAATGTGGATGATGCAGCGGTTATTGGAGTTCCGCACCCGAGTCAAGGGGAGGCTCCAAGGGCCTATATTGTTCCTAAGAAGAATACCAAAGTGGATACGAAGAAGCTGGAAGAGTATGTAAAGGAGAAAGTTGCACACTATAAACAACTAAAGGGGGGAGTGACCATTGTTGACTCTATTCCAAAGAATGCGTCCGGGAAGATCATGAGGAGAAGTCTGCAGTTGGACTATGAAAAAACAAACAAATGATGTTATGGTCAACCTAGGTTCAAATTGAGACTTTACTAAAAAATAATATCAATAGAAGAGTATGTTTAAGTTTTAAATAAAGTTGTTTTGAAGAGTTATTACATCCTTTTGTGTTTATTTTATCGGTTTATCGAAAATAAGTGCATTAGCTATAGATAGTACCAGGAACAAAAAGATTACAATGAACACTTTGTGACATCAATACTTCAAGGTTTTAAAAAACTTAACTACTCAATAGTATTCGTGATACTAATAACACGAAACACTTGATTTTTTAGATTTACCAGATTTTCTGGATTTTTTCGATTTTTTTGAATTTTTTGGACTTTTTTAAATTTTTTTCGATTTTTTTGGATTTCTCGTTCTATTTCGATTTTATCAATTTTTGGATTTCAACGACTTTACGGACAACGGACGACGTCCATTTCGTCCTTTTTGGTCCTTTTATGTCCTTTTTCGTCGTTTTCGTCCTTTTACGTCCTTTTTCGTCCTTTTTCCCACTTTTCGCCCTTCACGTCCCTTTTCGTCCTTTTTCGATCTTTTTCGTTCTTTTCCGTCCTTTTCGTTATTTTTCGTCCTTCTAGTCCTTTTTCGTCCTTTTCGTCCTTATTCGTCCTTTTCGCCCTTTTTCGTCCTTATTTTCCTTTTTCGTCCTTTTCGTCCCTTTTCGTCCTTATTCGTCCATTTTCGTCCTTATTCGTCCTTATTCGTTATTTTCGTCCTTTTCTCCCTCATTCGTAATTTTCGTCCTTTTCTCCCTCATTCGTAATTTTCGTCCTTTTTCATCCTTTTTCGTCCTTTTCGTCCTTTTCGTCCTTTTGGTCCTTTTTCGTCCTTTTTCGTCCTTTTCGTCCTTTTTCGATTTTTTGGTCCTTTTTCGTCCTTTTTCGTCCTTCGCTCTTTTTCGTTCTTTTCACCCTTTTTCGTCCTTATTATCCTTTTTCGTCCTTATTCAATCAATCAATCAATCGATACTTTATTGGTGTTCAAAGCTACAAATACAGTTATTCGTCCTTTTCGTCCTTCTCCATCCTTCTCCGTCCTTTTTCGTCCGTTTCATCCTGTCCGTCCTTTTCGTTCTTTTTCGTCCTTTTCGTCCTCTTCGTCTTTTTTCGGTCATTTCGTCTTTTTTCGTCCTGTTACGTCCTTTTCCGTCCTTCCTCGTCCTTTTTCGTCCTATTCGTCCTTTTTCGTCCTTTGACGTCCTTTTTCGTCCTTTTTCGTCCGTTTCATCCTGTCCGTCCTTTTCGTTCTTTTTCGTCCTTTTCGTCCTCTTCGTCCTTTTTCGGTCATTTCGTCTTTTTTCGTCCTGTTACGTCCTTTTCCGTCCTTCCTCGTCCTTTTTCGTCCTATTCGTCCTTTTTCGTCCATTAACGTCCTTTTTCGTCCTTTTTCGTCCTTTGACGTCCTTATTCATCCTTTTTCGTCCTTCTTATTTTTATTATTATTATTATTATTATTCTTCGTCCTTTTTCGATCTTTTCGTCCTTTTTCGTCCTTTTGCGTCCTTTCCGTCCTTTTCGTCCTTTTCGTCCTTTTTCGTTCTTTTTTATCCTTTTCGTCCTTTTCGTCCTTTTCCGATCTTTTCGTGCTTTTTCGTCCTTTGCCGTCCATTTTCGTCCTTCTTCGTCATTTCTCGATATTTTCGTCCCCTTTTGTCCTTTGCCGTTCTTTTTCGTTCTTCTTCGTCCTTTTTCGTTCTTCTTCGTCCTTTTTTGATCTTTTCGTTCATTTTCGTCCTTTGTCGTCCTTTTCCGTCCTTTTTCGTCCTTTGTCGTCCTTTTTCGTCCTTTCTCGTCCTTCTTCGTCCTTTTTCGATCTTTTCGTCCATTGTCGTCCCTTTTCTTCCTTTTTTCGTCCGTTTTCGCCCTTTTTCGTCCTTCTTCGTCCTTTTTCGATCTCTTTGTCCTTATTCGTCCTTTTTCGATCTTTTTGATCTTTTCGTCCTTTTCGTCCTTTTTCGTCCTTTTTCGTCCTTTTGCGTCCTTTTTCGTCCTTTTTCGTCCGTTTTCGTCCTTTTTGTCCTTATTCGTCCTTCTTCGTCCTTTTTCAATATATTTGTCCTTATTCGTCCTTTTTCGATTTTTTCGATCTTTTCGTCCTGTTCGTCCTTTTTCGTTTTTTTTGTCCTTTTTTGTCCATTTCGTCCTTTTTCATCCTTTTTCGTCCTTCTTCGTCCTTTTCGTCCTTTTTCGTCATTTTCGTCCTATTTCGTCCTTTTTCATTCTTTTCGTCCTTTTTCGTCTTTTTTGTCCTTCTTCGTCCATTTTCGATCTTATCATCCATTTTCGTCCTTTTTCGTCCTATGTCGACCTTTTTGTCCTTCTTCGTCTTTTTTCGATCTTATCGTCGTTTTGGTCCTTTGTCGTCTTTTTTCGTCCATCTTTGTCATGTTTTGATCTTTTCATTCTTTTCCGTCCTTGGTCGTCCTTTTTCAATATTCTCGTCCTTTCTTTTCCTTATTCGTCCTTCTTCGTCCTTTTTCAATCTTATCGTTTTTTTCGTCCTTTTCGTCCTCTTCGTCCTTTTTCGTCCTTTTTGTACATTTTCGTCCTTTGTCGTCCTCTTCGTCCATCTTCATCCTTTTTCGTCCTTTTTGTCCCTATTCGTCCTTCTTCGTCCTTTTTCAATCTTTTCGTTCTTTTTCGTCCTTTTTCGTCCTTTTTGTCCTTATTCGTCCTTCTTCGTCCTTTTTCAATATATTTGTCCTTATTCGTCTTTTTTCGATCTTTTCGATCTTTTCATCCTTTTCGTCCTTTTTCGTTTTTTTCGTCCTTTTTTGTCCATTTCGTCCTTTTTCATCCTTTTTCGTCCTTCTTCGTCCTTTGTCTTCCTTTTCGTCCTTTTGCGTCCTTTGTCGTCCTTTTTCGTCCTTCTTCGTCCTTTTTCAATCTTTCCGTTCTTTTTCGTCCTTTTCGTCCTCTTCGTCCTTTTTGTCTAATCTCTTCCTTCTTCATCCTTTTTCGTCCTTTTCGTCCTTTTTGTCTTTTCTCGTCCTTCTTCGTCCTTCTTCGTCATGTTTCGATCTTTTCGTCCTTTTTCGTTCTTTGTCGTCCTTTTTCGTTCTTTTTGTCCTTATTCGTCCTTGGTCGTCCTTTTTCAATCTTATCGTTCTTTTTCGTCCTTTTCGTCCTCTTCGTCCTTTTTCGATCTTTTCGTCCTTTTTCGTCCTTTTTCGTCCTTTCTCATCCTTTTCGTCCTTTTTCGTCCTTTTTCATCCTTTCTGTCCTTCTTCGTCCTTTTTCGTCCTTTGTCGTCCTTTTTCGTCCACTTTCGTCCATTTTCGTCCTTTTTCATCCTTCTTCGTTCTTTTCGTCCTTTTTCGTCCTTTGTCGTCCTTTTTCGTCCTTTTTCATCCTTTGTCGTCCTTTTCGTCCTTTTCGCCTTTTTTCGTCCTTCTTCGTCATGTTTCGATCTTTTCGTCCTTTTTCGTTCTTTGTCGTCTTTTTCGTCCTTTTTGTCCTTATTCGTCCTTGGTCGTCCTTTTTCAATCTTTTCGTTCTTTTTCGTCCTTTTCGTCTTCTTCGTCCTTTTTCGATCTTTTCGTCCTTTTTCGTCTTTTCTCATCCTTTTCGTCCTTTTTCGTCCTTCTTCGTTCTTTTCGTCCTTTTTCGTCCTTCTTCGTCCTTTTCCGTCCTTTCTTGTCCTTATTCGTCCTTCTTCGTCCTTTTTCGTCCTTTTCGTCCTCTTCGTCCTTTTTCGATCTTTTCGTCCTTTTTCGTCCTTTGTCTTCGTTTTTGTCCCTTTTCGTACTTTTTCGTCCTGTTTATGTGCTTTTTCGTCCTTTGTCGTCCTCTTCGTCCTTCTTCGTCCTTCTTCGTCCTTTTTCGTCTTTTCTGTCCTTATTCGTCCTTCTTCGTCCTTTTTTAAGCTCTTCGTTCTTTTTCGTCCTTTTCGTCCTCTTCGTCCTTTTTCGATTTTTTCGTCCTTTTTCGTCCTTTGTCGTCGTTTTTGTCTCTTTTGGTCCTTTTTATACTTTTTCGTCCTTTTCGTCCTTCTTCGTCCTTTTTCGTCCTTTTTGTCCTTATTCGTCCTTCTGGGTCCTTTTCGTCCTTCGTCCTTTCCGTCTTTTTCGTCTTTTCATCCTTTTTCGTCCTATTTCGTTCATATTGTCCTTTTTTTGTCCTTTTTCGTCCTTTTTCGTCCTTTTTCGTCCTTTTTCGTCCTTTGTCGTCCTTTTCGTCCTGTTTCGTCCTTTTCCGTCCTTTCTTGTCCTTATTCGTCCTTCTTCGTCCTTTTTCAATCTTTTCGTTCTTTTTCGTCCTTTTTCGTCCTTTGTCGTTTTTTTCGTCCTTTTTAGTCCTTATTAACCTTTTTCGTGCTTATCCGTCGAAAATAAGTGCAGGTAATTACCTATAGATCGTACCAGGAACAAAAAGATAACAATAAACACCTTGTAAGTACATCAATCAATACTTCAAGGCTGCAAAAACTTAACTACTCGATAGTACTCGTAATACTAATAGCACGATAGTGGGGACTCTTGCTCACAACAAGAACACAAAACGAGAACCCAGCGTTTCATTTTACCAGTACAATGTCGATTATCCGTAGCGTGCTACGTACTACTCTTAGTAAAAATGCTAAGTCACTTGGTATTCCAAGATTACTCAAGAAACTATCAACCCTTCAACCTAACATCTTAGACTCAGGCCTCCCCGACGTACCCATCTCAGAACTATCAGTACCAGAATTTGTTTTCGAAAAGTGTGCCAAATATGAACATTTAACCGCTATCGTAAGTACTACAATTATAAATAAACGTTATCGCAACGACTGTTGACATTAGATAAGTTTTAAGTACTATTATAACACTTGCAGGAGTGCGGATTAACGGGACGAAAATACACATACGGGGATTTGCTTAAAAAATCGAGGAATTTGAGCAGACATTTGCGAAAGAATCTGGGTTTTAGAGAAGGCGATGTGGTTGCAATTTTGCTACCAAATATCCCTGAGTACCCCTTGGTGGTACTGGGGGCTCAACACGCCGGACTCGTGGTAACAACGCTCAATCCTGTCTACACCCCAGGTAAAACTATAACAAAAATATCAGTACCCAAAGCAGTACCGTGTGAGTGCTCTTGCAGACGAAATCCACAGACAGTTAAAAGATTCTTCGGCGAAGGCCATAATTACACTCGCGTCGTCCTGGGAAACGGCTGCGGAGTCACGTCGACTACTAAATAAAGATCTACCAATCCTTGTGATACGAACGGAGGTGCCAAGTTTTACACAAATTGTCAAAGCTGGTGTCCAATTTGTCTTGTTCTAGCAAACAGAGTCTATTCCCAGAGGTACTATCGACCTCCATGGTTTCCTCAATACCGACGTCGACTATCCCGACCCTCAGCCGCGCCGCCCTCACGACCTAGCGATTCTACCCTACTCCAGTGGTACCACCGGTTTACCCAAAGGCGTGCAACTCACCCATCGCAACTTAGTGGCAAACCAATGCCAAAATGACACCTTGAATTTCATCGAGGATGCCACAACTGGCCACCAAGACATAGTACCCGCTGTCCTCCCCATGTTCCACATTTACGGATACAGCGTCAATAGTCTTTTCGTGCTCATGAAGGGTGCCAAAATCGTAACTTTACCGAAGTTCACACCAGAGGACTACGTTTCGGTACTACGAACCCAGAAACCGCACGTTCTCTTCCTGGTACCACCTCTAGGTAAAGTATACTCTAGACACACGGTACGAAAATTTGATAGTTTTGTTCTTGTCGGGACACTCGATGGTGAAGCAAGAGGATCTTGACTCGGTGAGGATGGTCCTCAGTGGAGCGGCGCCTCTGGGTGCTTTAGATGAACAAAGGTTTATCGACAAAGTAGGGAGGAGTGTGCACATGATACAAGGGTACGGGTTGACGGAAACGTCACCAGGGGTTGCCACCATCACGCTACAACTTAAAGAGGAGGTGGATGTGCGTGGGTCAATTGGACGACCGCTCCCTAACACTTTAGTCAAAGTGGTAGCGATTGATGACCCTTCGGGTACTCCTTTGGGGGTTAACACCACTGGGGAGTTGTTGGTTAAAGGGCCACAAGTGATGAAAGAGTACCACAACAAACCCGAAGAAACGGAAAGTGCGTTTCTGGATGGGTGGTTCCGCACTGGAGATATAGCGTACTACAACGAAGACAGGGTGTTGTTCATTACCGACCGGTTGAAGGAATTGATTAAAGTGAAAGGGTTCCAAGTACCACCTGCCGAGCTTGAAGAGATTATTAGAGACTTCCCTAATGTGGAAGACGCGGCTGTGATTGGTGTTCCACATCCTAGTCAAGGGGAGGCTCCAAGGGCTTATATTGTTGTAAAAAAAGGGACTAAAGTGAATCGGGAGGAGTTGCAGGAGTACGTGAAGACGAAAGCTGCACACTATAAACAGTTGAAAGGGGGAGTGGCTATTGTAGATTCGATACCAAAGAACGCATCCGGGAAGATTATGAGGAGGAGTTTGAAACTGGAGTATGAAAGGACAAACAAGTGATGTTAGAAGCAATTTAGGTTCAAATAAAGTTATATCAAAGATATGCTTGTGTCTATTTAGTCTTTCTTCCTTCCCAAAATTTGTGTCTCCAGACGGACCTCTTTAGCCAGTCAGGTGGTACTTCTATATTTCTTGATTGTACTATAGCATCAGTACTAACGACTCATTAGGGAACGAATATGACAGAAAACGAGACCCGATGTAAATAAACGCAGTGTAGTGCTTCAAGGCTGCACAAACCTGACTAACAAGTCAAGCTTAACAACAACACGATTACCACAAGTAACTACAACTAAACACCATAATTTTATCATAAAAGGAGGAAAAACGTAAACCATTGTTTCACATCGCCACTAGAATGTCGTTTATACGTACCGTTTTCAGTACTGCTCTTAAAAAAAGCGCTAAGTCACTTAGCACCCCAAGATTCCACCGAAAACTATCAAACCTTCCGCCCAACGTCTTATATTCCGACCTTCCAGACGTGTCCATTCCAAAATTATCAACACCAGAGTTTATTTTTGAAAAGTGTACCAGATATGAACATTTAACGGCTGTCGTAAGTACCAACACGCTATAAATACAATTTATGAGTACCATTATAACACATAGGAGTGCGCGTTAACCGGGCGAAAATACACATACGGAGATTTGCTAAAAAAATCGATGAATTTGGGCAAACATTTACGAAAGAATCTTGGTTTTAAAGAAGGCGATGTGGTTGCAATTTTGCTACCTAATATCCCTGAGTACCCCTTGGTGGTACTCGGGGCTCAACACGCCGGACTCGTGGTTACAACGCTCAATCCTGTCTACACCCCAGGTAAAACTATAACAAAAATATGAGTACCCAAATCAGTACCGTGTGAGTGCTTTTGCAGACGAAATCCACAGACAGTTAAAAGATTCTTCGGCGAAGGCCATAATTACTCTCGTGTCGTCCTGGGAAACGGCTTCGGAGTCACGTCGACTACTAAATAAAAATTTGCCAATCCTTGTGATAAAGACGGAGGTGAGTTCATGACAAGACACAAGTTGTTTTGTAATTTTTCTTGTTTTAGCAAACAGAGTCTCTTCCCGGAGGTGCTATCGACCTCCACGGTTTCCTCAACACTGACGTCGACTATCCTGACCCTCCGCCGCGCCGCCCTCACGACCTAGCGATTTTACCCTACTCCAGTGGTACCACCGGTTTGCCCAAAGGCGTGCAACTCACCCATCGCAACATGGTGGCCAACCTGTGCCAAAACCAGACCTTGAATTTCATCGAAGACGCCACAAGTGGCCACCAAGACGTGGTACCCGCTGTCCTCCCCATGTTCCACGTTTACGGATACAGCGTCAACAGTCTTCTCCCGCTTTCTAAAGGTGCCAAAATCGTCACTTTGCCGAAATTCACACCAGAGGACTACGTTTCGGTACTACGGACCCACAAGCCGCACGTCCTCTTTCTGGTACCACCGATAGGTAACGCATACTCTAGACACACGCATTGATTAAATACATATAGATAGACCCATGCTATTGTTTGGAGCGAACAGGCCAACGGCCGGCGAACAAGAGATGGCGCACCAACAGTCGGCCGTCAAACGCCGGCGAAAAGCTTGGACACCAATCGCGCGCGTAGATAACCCAAATCGCAGCAACAATACATTTAATAAAGCTACCACTCGACAGAGGGCGACGAAAACAATGTGTAAAAATCTCATAGTAACCATTTATATAATTTGCAACGTTGCCAGATGAGCCTAGCACAACTTTGCCGTTATTTCTAGTCGATTAGATTTTATTTCGTTTAAAAGTTTCTGGTGAATAAATGGAATTATTATAATGAATAAACAATACAAACAAATTATTACTTGTTATTTTAAATACTTGTTAGTGTTGATGAAAACATAAATGGTAATTAAAGTTATTCTAAATACGGTCCGGTCCGGTAGCTCAAATTTTACAGTACGAGTGATATGTTTCAGGACGAGTAGGTAGCCGAGTCTTTAATTTCGAAACGAGTACTGCGAAAAGAGTTACCGGACGTATGTTGTTATGTATTTTATTTCATACTGTCAACATACTTTTTTATTCGATAATATTATTATTATTTTGAGAAAAAATCCAAATCGAGTCACTTTTTCTGACATCGTTAGCAACCGCTTTTTGGTAAATGTTTTAATTTGTTTATTCGTGCAAATCAGCATCATATGTTTAAACACATAGTACTTATAACACTTTACAGGACTTATTGTTTTGTATAATCCGACTCGATGGACGAATGTTTTGTGCAACTCGGCTCGTCCTACCAGTATTTTTTGTAATCTGGTTGATACGACAATGTGATACCGAATTGTACTTTGATATTGCTCCAAGGACCTTTGTTTTCTTGCGTGCGAGCGTTCGGTTTCGATGTTTAATACAGGACGGTTACAGAAATACTAAATTTACATTTGTATTTACAATAACAGGTAAAGCAAAAGAGACCCAAAAGTGTCAGTGGCCGCTTCCGGAAATGGAACACTTGTCCTTTTTGGCTCAATTTTATCGGACTTGTCCGTTTTTTTGATTTTACCGGAATCGTTCGATCCAGTAAAACGTCAAACTTGACATAGTATAAAGTAAAATAAATAAATTTTATTCAATTTTGACATGTAAACAAACGTTTATTTTGCCGTCAGTAGGCCACTAAAGCTTTGGTTTATCCGGTAGCACCATAAAATTTTTAAACCGCTAGCGAAATAAAATTTTTATTTTGCTGTTTTAAAACCATGGTTACCATTTCTGTAATTTCTCCAATGCCTTGCTGCTCTTTCCATCTAAGGAACTTTTGATACACTTTCTGATTTGCTCTTTTTTGGGAGCAAGTTTTGCCGTTGGAATCTTGCATGATTTTGCAATTTTTCGATAATTTTAGTTTGTTTAAAATAAACAAACACCGTCGCCAGAGTCACATACTACACACACACACCTGATATTGTAACCTAAATTCTACGCATATAAAACTTTTATTTGGTCGCTGTCAATTCTGACGTTTCTCGAATGTGAACTTTGAATCACCAATTTTTTCACAATTTGGGACTTGGGGTTGTCAAAATTGAATAAAAGTTTGTATTACACTCGCGGTTAAAATGAATGTGTAACTCGTGGTCTTAAGGCGCTCGCGGCATACGCCGCTCTCGCCTTAAACTGGCCGCTCATTAAACATTCACTTTAACCGCTTGTATAATAAATAACTATTATGATGTAAATACAATTGAGTATATCGATAATTCGCTACTGAAAATTTATTGAAATATAATTTGTGTTAAAAAAAGATTTTTGTGGTTTTATGGTTTATTAACATAATTTACTTATTTGAAATTAAATATTTTTAATACATAGCACAAGTTCTTGATATTCTTTATTTTTATTCCAAGTAATAATTGTGTTTCCTTTAGTTTTAATCAAGAAAATTTTTCGGTTATTATCTAACATACTTTTGTACATTAAGAAACTCCATTCCACGTCACAGGACGTTACAGGACAATATTTAAATAAATAAAGAAGTCGTTTTATGTGTTTTAAAATTCACTCTGATTTCCGGACTTTAGACTTTTTGGTGTTTCACTTCGGCATAAGAACTAGTCGTATCTCAAAGAAAACAAACAGTGGAATATACCGTATTGTACCTATATTTCATAGTAAAAATGTCTAAATTTTTTTATGAAGAGACAGACTGTTCTAGGAAACTTTACTAAATCTTTTCATTTACGAGCTATTGAAAGTCCGCCGGTCTCACTGATACTTCTTACTTGGCTCCTACGAATGAAGCGAAAAATGCACAGATTGAAAATATAGTAAATGGGGTAGTATGTATGCGTGATATGTCGTTAGACATTAGGTATTTTGCAAATAAAATTTATTTCATTGAAAACAGAAACAATAAAAAACATATCTGTACAAGTTTGGAATCGATATGGCCAGTTGTTTAGAATATGCAAATATGCTTTTGTTCGTATTTACAATTATTACGAAACAGGTTATCAAATAATCTATTTTCACATGGCGAGACTTTCAAGCGGCCGAAGAATTAAAAACCATAAATTTTCATTGAAGAAACAAACTCTTCCAAGAAAATTACCAAATCTTTTAGTTTACGCACTATTGGACGAGCACTCCTTAAAACGGTCAGTATACCTAATCGCATTATTCCATTGATACCTACCTACCGAAAACGTTGCCAGATGAGCCTAACACAAATTTGCGGATATTTCTCGTCAACCAGATATTATTTCATTTAGAAGTTTCTGGTAAATAAATGGGATTATTGTAATGAACATATAAAACAAATAAATTGTGATTATTATTTGTTGTTTTAACCCATTAGACGCTTATAGGCTTATAAGCATACTTTTCTTGAAAAATCGGTAATAAATTCAGTGAAACATCTTTGTGCCTTAATTCCTATTGGTAAACTGGGATTTTCAATAGAGGTCGCAGGAAAATTTTGTATGGTTTTATGGTTTATTTACATAATTTTCTTATTTACAATGAATGTTTTTGATATATAATACAAGTTCTTGATATTATTTATTTTAATTACATTTAATAAACCATAAAACCACAAACATCTTTTTTTAACACAAATTATATTTCAATAAATTTTCAGTAGCGAATTATTATCGATACACTTAATTGTATTTACATCATAAAATTTATTTATTTTACTTCATACTATGTCAAGTTTGACGTTTTACTGGATCGAACTATTCCGGTAAAATAAAAAAAACGGACAAGTCCGATAAAATTGAGCCAAAAACACGGAGGTAGAAGAGACACTCTTCTACCTCCGTGGCCAAAAAGGACAAGTCCTCCATTTCCGGAAGCGGCCACTGACCCTTTTGGGTCTCTTTTGCTTTACCTGTTATTGTAAATACAAATGTAAATTTAGTACTTCTGTAACCGTCCTGTATTAAACATCGAAACCGAACGCTGTCTATTATCTCGCACGCAAGAAAACAAAGGTCCTTGGAGCAATATCAAAGTACAATTCGGTATCACATTGTCGTATCAACCAGATTACAAAAAATACTGGTAGGACGAGCCGAGTTGCACAAACATTGGTCCTTCGAGACGGATTGCACAAAACATTCGTCCATCGAGTCGGATTATACAAAACAATAAGTCCTGTAAAGTGTTATAAGTACTATGTGTTTAAACATATGATGCTGATTTGCACGAATAAACAAATTAAAACATTTACCAAAGAGCGGTTGCTAACGATGTCAGAAAAAGTGACTCGATTTGGATTTTTTCTCAAAATAATAATAATATTATCGAATAAAAAAGTATGTTGACAGTATGAAATAAAATACATAACAACATACGTCCGGTAACTCTTTTCGCAGTACTCGTTTCGAAATTAAAGACTCGGCTACCTACTCGTCCTGAAACATATCACTCGTACTGTAAAATTTGAGCTACCGGACCGGACCGTATTTAGAATAACTTTAATTACCATTTATGTTTTCATCAACACTAACAAATATTTAAAATAACAAGTAATAATTTGTTTGTATTGTTTATTCATTATAATAATTCCATTTATTCACCAGAAACTTTTAAACGAAATAAAATCTAATCGACTAGAAATAACGGCAAAGTTGTGCTAGGCTCATCTGGCAACGTTGCAAATTATATAAATGGTTACTATGAGATTTTTACACATTGTTTTCGTCGCCCTCTGTCGAGTGGTAGCTTTATTAAATGTATTGTTGCTGCGATTTGGGTTATCTACGCGCGCGATTGGTGTCCAAGCTTTTCGCCGGCGTTTGACGGCCGACTGTTGGTGCGCCATCTCTTGTTCGCCGGCCGTTGGCCTGTTCGCTCCAAACAATAGCATGGGTCTATCTATATGTATTTAATCAATGACACACGGTACGAAAAATTGATAGTTTTGTTCTTGTCGGGCCACCCCATGGTGAAGCAACCAGATCTTCAATCGGTGAGGATCGTTGTTAGTGGAGCTGCACCTCTGGGTTCTTCGGATGAACACAGGTTTATCGAGAAAGTAGGGAGGAGTGTGCACATGGTGCAAGGCTACGGGTTGACGGAGACGACGGCGGTGGTTGCCTCCGGTACGATCAAACTTAAAGAAGAGGTGAATGTGCAGGGGTCGATTGGGAGACCTGCTGCCAACACTTTGGTTAAAGTAGTGGCGATTGATGACCCTTCGGGTACTCCTTTAGGGGTTAACGCCACTGGGGAGTTGTTGGTTAAAGGGCCGCAAGTGATGAAAGGGTATCACAACAAAGCGGAAGAAACCGAAAATGCGTTTCTGGATGGGTGGTTCCGTACTGGAGACATAGCGTACTACAACGAAGACAGGGTTTTGTTTGTTACCGATCGGTTGAAGGAGTTGATTAAAGTGAAAGGGTTCCAAGTACCACCTGCCGAGCTTGAGGAGATTATCAGAGACTTTCCTAATGTGGAAGACGCGGCTGTTATTGGGGTTCCACATCCTGGTCAAGGGGAGGCTCCAAGGGCTTATGTTGTCCCGAAAAAAGGGACTAAAGTGAATCAGGAGGAGTTGCAAGAGTATGTAAAGACGAAAGCCGCACACTATAAACAGTTGAAAGGGGGAGTGGCCATCGTGGATTCTATACCAAAGACTGCGTCCGGGAAGATCTTGAGGAGGAGTTTAAAACTAGAGTATGAAGCGAATCTAACAACAGGAAAATAACTCTAACTAGATTAGATCGGTATTTCCACTATGTTTGCACTAAGAAAAAAATAAAAAAGATAAATAAAAACAAACTCTTTTAATAAATCATTTCAGCAAACTAAAACGATTAAACAAACCCTCCTCTCCCCCGCACTCGCATCCCGTGCCCCGCCCCATCACCAGTACCAACAATTCAGCGCTCCGCAACCTAATAACACATAATTGCACACTTATCAGCCAATTTATTTAAAGGAACTGTGTACAAGAGCGGGGGAACGTAACGCGTACCGTACAATAAAAACAGTGTCGGTAGTTCCCTCTCAGCGTGTGGTTCCTGACATCATCACCGACGAGATTAAACAATGTCTGCGCTCCGCAAACTGTTCGACCCCAAACTCTTCAACAAAAAAATCCTCGCCTGCGCCGCCTCTTCCAAGCACTGTTATTACTCGACAGACGCCTCGGAATTCGTCCTGCATTCCGATCTCGCAGACGTGGAAATTCCAAAGCTCTCCATTGACGAATACGTGTTCCAGAAAGTCGACAAGTGGCCCCGGAGAATTGCCGCAGTGAGTTTGTTTTGCGATAATTAGTGTGGCAGTCTTGGTTTATGGTGTGTGGGTAGATGAGTGTTTATTGAATATCTGTGGCCGTGAACCTGCCGAGTGTGTTGTCGTTGTTGATGTTGTGTGTTCTGAAATAGATACTTTGGGTTGTTATAGGAATGTGGTACCACCGGCCGGAACTACACGTACGAAGACATTCTGAAGAAAGTCACCAATTTGAGTAAGAATTTTCGGAAGAAGTTGAAGCTACAAAAAGGGGACGTTGTTGCTGTTTTGTTGCCCAATTCGCCCGAGTTTGTGGTTGTGGCACTGGGGGCCCTCAAAGCCGGACTTATCGTGACCACTTTGAACCCTATTTATACACCAGGTATGCCATCTGGTCAATTATTTTGAGAAAATGACGAATCTCGACGTTTGTTCTATTTTAAACCACTCGTAAAAAATGCCATATTATCGCAATAATGCTTCCTGGGTTTTTAATAAGACATATGTCTTTTATTTATTTTTATATAAAAGGTTTTGTATGCATGTGATAGCTAAGCAAGGTTAAAACAGACAATTGGTTTAAAAAATTCAAAGTATAAAGGTTTCTTTCTATGTTTAATATGTATAAAGTTCAGGTCCTTGGATAAATTAGTTGTTTTGCAAATTTTACTTTTTTAATAGACACATTACTTTAAATAGGGTTTACGAAATGACGTCATCAAACTTGTGGTGGGGATCGAACATTGATAAACCTGCAAATAATGTATATGTTACAGCTAATATCCGAAATCCGTTATTATGCATAATAACTAGACATTTTAGGAATTATGCGTAATAACTAAACTTGTCAGTTATTATGCATAATAACCAGAAACATTAGGAATTATGCGTAATAACTGAAATTTTCAGTTATTATGCATAATAACGGAAACGTTTAGGTAATATTGATAATAACTAACACAGAAACAGGAATTATGCATATTTTCCAAAAAGCTACCCACCCTGCCTCGCTTTCTCCTACATACCACATGTACAGTTGATTTTAAAAAAAAAAGGGACAAATTACAGTTATATAAACGTCATATTCCCATTGCTTTTCATTGATCTATGAGAACCTGAGTTGCTCATCTTGTCTCGTTTTTTTGAAATCAGCTGGACATGTTATAAGCCTTTGAAAATGGTAAAAAGTGAAAAAAAAATAGAACAGGATGATACCACTGGAAAAGGAAGAAAATGTAACAAAAATAAAGGGAAAAATAATTTACGGGCGATCTGAGGTCCGGAAGGGGAAGAGGGTGAGCTTTTAAGGGTAGAAAACGGTTTATCACGATTTCCGGCAAAAAGTTAAATGGCAAAGTTGTAGGTAATAAAAAGATCTACAACTTTTGTATTTACATTTTCTTTCCTCAAAATCTATGCGAAAAATGCAAATAACCGAGTTTTTGGTTTCTTATTTTTATCTCCCACAATTTTTTTTTTTTTTTTTCACAAAATTTGGCGAAAACTTACCTATTTATGTATAACTCACTGTCATTTTTTTGATACAAAATATTTATTTTTTTACCTTATTTTGATTTAATATCGAAAAACCACCCTAATTTTCAATCGAAAATTCCCACGTCAAAATATTTGCTTTTTTAAAAAAGTCGGTGTGCTTTTTGTTCGCTGAAATCTCTACTTTCTGAAGGTGTAAAAAAAATTATACATTACTATGGCAAATTTTCACAGGAAACGCAAAAAAACGAAAAACTCGAATTCAAAAATTTGTTTTTTAATTATTATGTAAAATTTGGAGCTATTTATAAAAGGGTACACGTTAATTACTCGAAAAACGTAATATTTCATGTTACATTGATAAATTAAAAAATTGCAAATCGAAATATACTACTATAATTAACAACCAAATAAGTTAATACACTTAATACTTTATAAGACATCTACAATATTTTGTTAAAGTTGTAGGATAATTTTTAAATTATATGCATAGGTGCCTATTTATTGCTATTTTAAGATAACTTACATACCTGAATGGCCTACGGAAAATTTTAGCCCATCAGAAGAATGAACAACATCGTCTATAAAAATACACGTGCAGCTGAGTTACTTGAAGAGAACCGTGACGAATTGATTTATTTAAAAGAAACTTTTGGAATCTACAGTCACAAGGATTTTCCTGTAAACAAGCAGAAGAAGATTCTGATGCTAACATAATTAAGATCTGGATAGAAACTGCTAGAGATACCAATAAAACTGTCATAGTTGTGGGTTAAGATATTTTGGTCCTTTTGAATCAATTGAATTCAAATAATTATGACATTTATTTTCTCAAACCAGGTTCTAGAAATGTAAAAGATTTATTTTTCAAATATGAATCTTTCAAAAATATCGCTGCATTTCTGTATTGTTTTTCTGGTTGCGATACAACATCTGGGTTTGCCGGAAAAGGAAAGCAAAACATCGTAAATTCATTGTTTTCTAATATATAAAATTCTCGTGTTACAGTGTGGAACCAAACTCTTCCGAAACGGTTTGACTGATTTTTATGAAATTTTCTGTCTATATTCGGTAGGTCTGAGAATAGGTTGTAAACTATTTTTTATACCCCTAGGTGATAAGAGTGGCCCATCCAAAAAAAAAATTTTTTTTCGGACAAAATTTGTTATTTTTATTTTTTTAAGATTTGGCTTCAAAAAATACAATTAACCCTAAATTTTCACCCTTCTACCACCAACCCCCATTTTGTAGTAACGATATTAGTATCTTTACTTTCATCCACAGATACACAAGGCAGGTTTCAAGATGGCTGTTGAATATAATAATCATTGTCGTACGATAAATTTTTATGTATAATTTATAATTTAATTTAATTATAATTTATTTATTTTTATTTTATTTTTTATTTAACTACTAAAATATTCACTGGGTCTGCTAGTCAGATGATAAAAATTTGTCAAATTTGGACAATATTTTTTATAAAAACATGCAAACAAAGAAGATATCGCAAAAAATGGATTACAATTAATCAAATATATTTATAAATGTAAAAATGATAATATAACACTGAATCAATTAAGATTTCGAAAATCAATTAGCAAGAATTAAATCATCTTTCATATTGACAAATCTCCCACCAACAGAAGATTTTAAATTTTTGAGTTTATCAGTGTAACATGGAATCTTATTTTCGATTGAAAATTAGGGTGGTTTTTCGATATTAAATCAAAATAAGGGAGAAAAATAAATATTTTGAATCAAAAAAATTGCAGTGATTTTGAGACATAAATAGGGAAGTTTTCACCAAATTTCGTGAAAAAAAAAATTTTTGTGGGAGATAAAAATAAAAAACCAAAAACTCGGTTATTTGCATTTTTCGCATAAATTTTGAGGTTATTTAAAAAAAGTCTAAATACAAAAGTTGTAGATCCTTTTATTACCTAGAACTTCGCCATTAACTTTTTTCGATAGGACTTGTAGTTTTGCCGGAAATCGTGATAAACCGTTTTCTACCCTTAAAAACTCACCCTCTTCGACTTCCCGACCTCAGATCGCCCGTAAATTATTTTTCCTTTTATTTTTGTTATATTTTCTTTCTTTTCCAATGGGTATAATCCTGTTCTAAATTTTTTTGTTCTCAAAAATTATCGGCCCTGGCCTATTAGACAATATGCTTAATGACTAATGTTTCAGGTATTATCCATAATTCCTTTTCCTCTGCTAGTTGTTACCAATATTACCTAAACGTTTCCGTTATTGTGCATAATAACAGAAAAATTCAGTTATTACGCATAATTCCCAATGTTTCCGGTTATTATGCATAATAACTGACAAGTTTAGTTATTACGCATAATTCCTAAAATATCTAGTTATTATGCATAATAACGTATTTCGGATATTAGCTGTAACATATACATTATTCCTATTCCAACAAACTACATTGTGAATTTTAATTAATCAAGCAATTTTATTTTTTATCTTATCAACCAGTTATAAATGTCAAAGTCACGCCTAACAACTTCCCCCTTTCAGACGAAATTTCCCGTCAACTATCCGACTCCTCCACTAAAGCTATAATCACCTTCTCCGACTTGTTCCAACTCGCGAAGGCCTCAACCAACTTGCTACAAACTGGGACATCTGTCCCCATCTTGACAATAAAAACACAGGTAAGTGGCACCCATCGATCGCCCCATCTAACCCACTTGTAGCCATCCCAGGCCACTCCAGCTGGCGCCCTCAACTTCGACGAGTTCACCGAAAATGTGGACTTCCCGGACGTACCGGCCGCAGACACCAACGACGTGGCCTTCTTACCCTACTCCAGCGGTACCACCGGCCTGCCAAAAGGGGTACAACTCACCCATCGCAACATCATCGCCAATCTGTGCCAGTTCAACTCCAAGGAGCTGTCCGTGATTGAAGAAACCACCAGTGACCACCAGGACGTAATTCCAGCGGTACTGCCGCAGTTCCATATTTACGGACTCACCGCCACGACGCTGCACCTCTTCTCCAAAGGGTGCAAAACCGTCGCCATAGCGAAATTTACACCAGAATTGTATATAGCGACGTTGAGGAAGCATAAACCGGATGTGCTATTCGCGGCACCACCTCTGGGTACGACTACTAACTTTAGTACTTCAATAATTTTGTCTGTAGTTCTTTTCCTGGCAGGGCATCCAGCGGTGACTTCGTCTGATCTCCAGTCCGTGAGGACGTTACTGTCAGGGGCTGCTCCTCTCGGTGCTTTAGACGAAGAGCGCTTTCTAGCTAAAGCACAAAAAGACATCAATATTTTTCAAGGGTACGGGTTAACCGAAACGTCCCCCATGGTCACGATGACGCGCAAAGACTTGCGCCAGTTCGCCAACTCGAGTGGTACCATAGGGAGACCCGTGGCTCAAACGTCTATCAAAATAGTGGACCCTAATGACCCTAATTTCACACCATTGGGGCCTAATCAGAAGGGAGAGCTTCTGGTGAAGGGGCCACAAGTGATGTTGGGTTATCACAAGCGCCCCCAACAAATGAAGGAGACGTTTACGGACGATGGGTGGTTGCGAACGGGAGACTTGATGTTCTATAACGACGACAGGTTGTTGTTTGTCAGTGATAGGTTAAAGGAGTTGATTAAAGTGAAAGGGTTTCAAGTACCCCCAGCCGAGTTGGAAGAGATTATTCGGGACTTCCCGGATGTTGAAGACGCGGCGGTTGTGGGAGTGCCGCACGCGCGAGACGGGGAAGTACCGCGCGCCTTTATAGTACCAAAACAAGGAAAGAAGGTGGATGTTCAGAAGTTACAAGATTTTGTGAATGGAAAGGTGGCGCCGTACAAGAAATTGGCAGGAGGGGTGGAGTTGGTCGAGAGTATTCCCAAAAATAATACTGGCAAGATTTTGCGACGACTATTGAAGGAGAAATACGAACAACGTCAAAGTTAGCCAATTTTTTTATTCTGAGGATTTTAATTTTAAATAAATACGAATCAACAGTAGATCTCTTTATTGGAATCAACAATACATAATTTAAAAAAATCTATAACAATTCGTCATACAGAGTGTAAAAATAAAATAAGTTAAGTACGTTCACGTCTTGTCTACCGGGCCTTGGAACGTCTGGTGCTTGACGAGTTCCTTGAAGGCCCCTTTCTTGATATTCAACAACTCCTGGTACTTCCCCTGTTCCACGATATGTCCATCCTTCAAAACCGCTATAGTATCGGCATTCTGAATCGTCGATAACCTATGCGCGATCGTCAACACAGTCCGCCCTTTCATGATCCTCTCGAGCGCTTCTTGTACCAGACGCTCCGACTGCGCATCCAGAGCGCTCGTGGCTTCATCCAGCAACAAAATCTTCGGATCCTTAATCAAAGCTCTTGCGATCGCGATCCTCTGCTTTTGCCCCCCGCTCAACATCACCCCCCTTTCCCCCACCATCGTGTCAAACCCCTCAGGCAATTGTTGGACGAACTCGTACACGTTGGCTTCTTTGGCCACTTTCATCAAGTCGTCTTCCGTCACTTTAGACGGATCGTCGGCACCGTAGAGGATGTTGTCCCGGATGGAACACGAGAACAAAACGGGTTCCTGGACTAAAGTTATCACAAAAAAACGACTAAATTGGGTACCTACCTGGCTAACAGTCCCGATGTGCCGCCGCAACCAACTCGGATCCAAATCCTTCACGTCCTGTCCATCCAGAAACACTTGGCCTCTGCCTGGGTCGTACAACCGCAGGAGGAGCGCCGCCAGGGTGCTTTTCCCCGACCCGCTCGGTCCCACCACCGCCACCATTTTCCCGGGCTGGATTTCGAGCTGGAAGTTTTCGAAAATCTGGACGTCGTCGCGGGCGGGGTAGCTGAATTGGATGTCCTTGAATTGGATGTGGCCCTCGGGGGTGGCTATGGGTATAGTGCCCCCTGGTTCAAACTGTTACTAGTGTGTATTATGGCGTGGGTGGTGATCGTACCTGCCATGGGTATCACCGGTTCCCGGTCGATTATCTCCCATATTCTGGAAGCAGCCCCTATCGACTTATTCAATTCCGTGTAGAAATTCGAGAAGGTCCCTAAAGATACGCCAATGTAGGCGGCGTACAAAAGAAACGACGACAGATTGCCAACTGTGATCGTGTTAGAGGACACCATTACCCCACCGTAATACAGAACTGAAATTATAATCACGTGACCGCTGAAACCCGTCTGAAATCGAAAGAGTCGTACTAGTTTCTACAAGTTGGCAGCTGTGAAAGACACTAAACACTACAGTGACAAATTTAACCTTGAGCTATTTCCCCTAAACCACAATTACACGATCGCAACGACTCACCAATCCGTAAAAAACGGCCCTAGCTTTGGCTTCGCTGTAGCTCAGGGTTAAAACGTGCTTTATAGAGTTGGCATAACTGTCCATCTCTCTCGGTTCTTGCGAAAACGTTTTCACAGTTCTAATGTTGGCGATTCTTTCCTCTGCCACACTAGTAGCACTGGCTAGGGAGTCCTGCACCCCGCGCGAAATTCCCCTAAGATAGCGGCCAAAAAACACCGCTAGAATGGCGACGGGAGGCACTATTGCCAACCCAACTAGAGCTAGTTCTGCAGACATATAGAACTACGAAACACCGGTTATTTTTAGTGACAAAAAAAATTAAAAAAATACCATCATTCCCGTCCCGGCACATACCATCACAGTCGACCTTAAACCATCCGAAATATTACTAGATAACGCATTTCCAACCAGTTGTGTGTCCGCTGAAAGCCGATTTACCAATTCTCCCGTTGATCTCTTATCAAACCATCCCTGTTCCTGTTTCATTATGGTAGAAAACACCCGGTTTCTCAACGCTTGGGTCATCCTGTAACCTGAACCGATATCACTGAAGTGGCTATGCAAAAACTGACTCACCTGAAACCGACATGAGGTACACCCGTGCGAAATTGCACAGAGCCCCCAGGATAAAAACACACACCAGGATTCCAGTGACTTGGTTAAGTTTAGCTCTAGCTTCATCTTTATTTGTACTACTGTCATAAATAATGTCTAAGACTTTACCTAAACTGAACGGTATGCTCATGGTGACCGTGCTCGACACAAGCAAAAAACAAATAGCCCCTAAAATTCCAAATTAATATTGGTTTAAATAAATCTTCAAATTACCTATCAGCCTCCACTTCTCCGGTTTCGCCAGAGATAACAGCCGCAAGAGATCGTGTTTATTGAGTCGGGGCGCCGCAGGCGCCCCTCCCTTCTTCGTACTATTGTCCCTCTTCAAAAACCCCCAGAATTTTTTTTTCGTCGCATGATTCGCATTTTCCGGGATATTCACAGCGACGTACGTTTTATTCTGGCTGACTTTCTGCGCCATGCTCTTCAGACTCCTAATTATAGACTTGCAAGGAACGATCCCGTTGTTAACGTGTTTGAAACATTTTAGTGAAGTTTTGAGGTTATGTCGGCTCACTAGTAAACAAACGATGTTCATTTTTACAGCTAATTTAACCCAGTTTTGGAAAACAAAAAGAACATAAAGCGTTGTACTGGAATTTAACACATTGTCGAACGAGAAAACTCCGGAGTCATACTCATTTTGAGGTTAGGTTCGACATCGTGACAGAAAGGATGACAGGAGTGACATTTGATAAGAAAGCATGGGCGTAGGGGCGGGGTGGGGTTATCACGACGGGATTTATCTCGCACGCCCACTCGTGATACGTGTGAGGAGAGGGTCGTTCACCTCGCTAAAAATAATACAAAGAGATTTGGGCTGAATTTGCCAAGTAATTAAATGGTCAATAGTCGAAATCAATTAGCAGGTTGTTAAGACCACGAACATTGTAGAATTAAATAGTTTTCTATTGGTGTCAACAGAACAAAACATGTAGTAAGTTTAATTAACAATAAACAAGGATAAGCAAGGACAACAGGAAGGAATTAGCTAATTAGCATTGTATTACCTAGTTACAATCGAATTAATTTTTTCACTGCAGTTAATTACAGGCTGTATTAATGGTATGCCAGTCACTCCACTTCTGGACGTCGGTGTTGAAACACATTTCTATAAATGTTAATTTTGTCTATCATTCTTATCTGGGAACGTGTTTATATACAAGTTTTTTTTTATCGCGGTAAATTGTTCAAATATCTTTTTATTGTATGACTTAAATTTTAATACCTTGTATTTATTTGGAACGATCAAAAGACACATGTTATGGGGGCAAACGAATCGTTATCTTTTGTTTGTAATGTCACGATTTAAAAATAAGTTAAAATGCGACAACACAACTCAAACAGAATGACGAACGCCGCTGACACTTCCCTGTCAGTAAAATGCCAGTGACTTAAATAACTTCTTGAAATTAAAAAAAAAAAGAAGGATTATTTCTAAGATAATAACTACGAAGGCTATGCGAAGAAAAATAATTGGACATGATTATACATCAAAAATAAATGTGCTAATAATGTGACGTGATCAACTTTTTGGGAGGATAATCATTCATTTTATCTTCAATTCTGTAACTTGTAATGAATGTTATTTTTTTGTAAACTTTTGAGAAATTACAAAAATAAAAATCGATTATTTAATTTATGTAATTGCAGTAACTAAAAAAACACCCAATTTCCACTGCTACCAACTAAAGACACAGGAAAAAATGCATTGCGGTGTACTTTGAACTTCATTAACACGCGCAGAAACAAGTCTGAAAATTAATAACAAACACTAAAGGAAACAATCTCAGACACGCTCCGACAACAACAACGTTTCGTGAAATGAAATTTTTACATGTTTTCTTATCTCTGGAATTCGTTCCAATTATACCATCTATAAACGTGGCTTCAGACCTCCAGCATCAGTACCAGCACATACCCACCTTTGTAAACTAGGCCTTATTACAATAAGTGAAAGCTCCATTCCACTATACCGTCGATTTTTCTCAAGCGCTTTGCTCGGAAATCTCCGAATAGAACATTTTAGTGTCAGGTTGGACTTTGTATCATTGGACTCCGTACAGTTATCTAGCCTTACATTTTAATTAAATGTAATCCGCAGATTCATTCAAAACACCCATAGGTGCAACAAAGGCAGCGCATTCAGTCGTGCGATTTTTGAGTGAAGTGTAATCAGTGGAAAAAATTATTTTTTAATTGTTTCCTGTGGCCAAGGTTTTTTCGTGTTAGGTACAAATTTTTTATTAATTGTTGTTTTTTGTGAAGCGACCCTTGGACTTGTGTTGAAAACACTCTTGAATTTGTCCAATTTGGACGACTATAATTAACGTTAGGCGCACTGTTTACTAAAAATATCGTCGCGATCTAATAATAATACAGATTGAGTTGTTTTTTTTTCAGATTTGTTAACATGTCGCGATTAATTCTTAAGGGTGCTCCACTCGTACAAAGCTTCCAAAATTGCGGGTTTTTATCCGTAATTCCGAACAGTTCAAGGTTTAGGAAATGCAATTTTTTGAACCAGAGTAAGAGGTTCAGCAGTGGCGTAGTGCAGTCGCCTCTGGGGCCGGGGAAAAAAATCCCCAGTGTGAATTTAATTGACTATATTTATCAAGACAGCGAAAAATGGGTGAAAGAGCCGGCCACAGTAAGTAATAATTAATTACTAATTAAGTATTAAATTATAAGGTTTCGCGCCAGTTTTAACCTCACAAAAATACATAAACCTGTTTCACACGATGGCACATTTGGCATTTTTCTGATTGGCTTCGCTTGGCATTGGACGTTCGAATTCAAGAATCTAAGGATCTTATCGCACGTGCTGTAAATTCCTTCGTTCACGTAAAGATAATACAATGATGCGTAATCTACTTCTACAAAGCGCACTCACTCGAAATATCCAGCTCAAGAACAAGTACCTTTATCTCTTATCGATGCCACACCGACATTGACGACATTCTTTTTTTAATCACCGAACTTTGAACACTTATTACTTCCTCGTCAAAATATTCTCCAGGATTATTTATGTACGGGTCATTGTAAAACTGACCCATTGTTTAAATTTAAGTACACTTAACCGGCTAAAGTAAGATTTTGGATCCACGACTTGACCTCTCAGTGTTATCAACTCGAGTGCATTTACCTTCACGTCAAACATGTTTTTAAAACTGGTATAGCGGAATCAAGGCCAGGGACTTTTTATTTAATAATTATGATACGTCTAACATTTATAGAAAACTGAGTTCTGATTGGTTTTTTGCAGACTTGTGCCATCTCGGGTCGTTCTTACACCTACGGAATGTTGCGCATGCTCATCAACCGGTGTGCGCAAGCGCTCCTGGGTCACTGTGGTATGAAACCCCGCGAAGTCGTGGGACTACTTTTACCCAACATCCCCGAATTTACCATAATTTGTCATGGTGCCATTGAGGCTGGATTGACGGTGACTTTCGTCAACCCGTTGTACACTCCTGACGAAATTAAACGCCAGTTTGACAACGCCGGGGTTAAAATGATTGTCACAATACCGCTTTTACTGGAAGTCGCGTTGACCATAGCACCCCATTTGGCAAACTATAGAAGTACCGTGTGTATTGGTGGGGAGGACGATCCTTCTAAGAACGTCCACGGGCTTCAGACTTTGCTGATGGCGGAGCACGAGTCGGAGCTCCCTGGATTGAACCCTCAAGAGACTGCGATTTTGCCGTACTCGAGTGGTACCACTGGACTTCCGAAAGGGGTGATGCTGTCGCACTATAATTTAGTGGCGAATTTGGTACAAGGGGATCATCCAGCTTTGGAAGATAAATTCAACAGAGGTTGTTTTATTGTTTGTTTTACTAGAGATGAACGAATTTTGTTTTATAGATGGTAAACCACACACGGTACTGACAGTACTGCCGTTCTTCCACATTTTCGGCTTCAACGGGATTTTGAACCTTAGTCTCAGACATGGGGCTCACGTTGTCAGTATTCCGCGGTTCACTCCAGAGGACTACATTAAGGCGTTAGTCCAATACAAACCCACTTTTGTCCTCGTTGTTCCCTCTCTTCTTCTATTTCTATCAACCCATCCAGCTGTCACTAAAGAGCACCTAAGTTCTCTGGAAGCAGTACAGTCCGGGGCTGCCCCTCTAACCGAAGGTCTTCTCCAAAAGTTCCGCCAGAAGATCGATAGAGACGACGTTTTGATTAGACAAGGTTATGGTATGACTGAAACGTCTCCAGTGACGTTCTGCATGCCCAGATTGACACCTCCGTCCAAGATTGGTACCATCGGGCTACCATATCCCGGGACTGAGGCCAAAGTTATTAGTTTGACGACTGGGGAAACTTTGGGGACCCATAAATCGGGAGAACTCCTGGTTAGAGGGCCACAGGTACCGCGACTTTTGGTTTGTTTGAAATAAAATAGGGTAACACGTGGTTGTAGGTCATGATGGGGTACTTAAACAATGAACAAGCCACTGCAGAAACCCTGGACAAAGATGGGTGGCTGCACACAGGCGACGTGGCGTACTACGACGAAGATAGCTACTTTTATATTGTGGATAGATGCAAGGAGTTGATTAAGGTGAAAGGAAACCAGGTAAGTGCACAAATCGTTTATTCATTGAAGTACAAGTTGAATTTGGCGCGCAAATACTCGTTTCTTATTGGCTATTAAACTGTCATGAACTCTCGTTAATTGCTTTAATTATGAAGCAATTGGTTGGTTTGAATTTCGCGCCTAAACATTTTTGTCTTTGTTAACAAATAACTAGATTGTTAGGTTAGAGCGTATTACTGGTTGCCTATCAATCGGCACCCAGTGACCTCAATATCGATCTACTTTCTCTTGGAATTATAACGGTTTTTTCAAGGTAGTTATCGAGCACAAACAAACCCAGCCAATCTCTCAAGGCACCAAAACAACCTTCTCATCTGTAGATAAAACATTTAATCAGTTCTTCGTTACGTACAAATTTATTTACCTACTCTACATATAAATTTAAAAAAAAATCAGCTGACAAGTCAAACCATCGTTCTTGAACCTCTATCCATAAATTATAAATACTTAACACAATAAGGCGCCTCGTTCAGTTAGCCTCGGTGACCATAAAATAAAGCCTAAATTAGTTATAACGGTGAATCAGAGGTGGCCTCGGCTCTCACAACCTCCTCGACCTTCTCACTACTGCTGTACTCCTCGTCCACCTCCATCGGCGTCGCCGCCTCCTTCTTGTCCGCCTTCTCCGCGTTCTGAGATTCCGCCTCGTCGCTGCTCTGCGTCGCGTTCGCCTCGTTCTGCGTGTCCACCTGCGGCTCCTCCCCCTCCTGCGAGGAGTGCACCTCCTCGTCTTTATCCGATGACGTGATTTCGACGTCTTGTTTAGGTTCCTGCGGTTGTACGGATGAACACTTTGTGGTATCGACAGTTATTTGTTCACTACTCTCGATCTCGTCCTTGGGCTCGTCTTTCTCTTCTTCGTCGTCGGCGTCTTCGGGCGTGCTCTGGGACGTGTCGGCCTCGTCCACCTTCGAGGTGGCTTCGCTTTCGGTGGACGAGAGCTCGCTCTGGGACGACGCCTCGTCGGGGAGGGCCTCCGACGTCTTGTCCTCTTTTATGTCGGTGTTCTCTTTCTCGTCCTCGGTGCTCGACGAGGAGTCGGCATCTTCGATCTGCTGCGACGAAGACGACGACGAGGAGGTCTCTTCCTCGGGTTTCGGCTCGGGGTCTTTGGAAGCTTCGCTGGATTTGTCGGAATTGTTCTAGAGAGAATTGGAAACAACGTTACAAAAGTATCAATTTACTGTGGACATTTAAGTACAGTTCTACGAATTGTGATGAATAGCGCCTGCGAGGTAGACAACCAGTAATTGATATTTCAAAATTGTTTTAAAATTTCAAAAAGCTGTTTTCGAAAATTTTGGGGCTTTTTTTGAGGTTTCAGGACCGGTTTAAACCAACCGGAACTGCGAAGTAGCATCACACAAAAAGTCGATATCCAGTGATAACTACCTAAAAAACGCCTTATCAGCAAGTTTTTGACCATGTAAAAAAAATTGCTCGCTGCGTTCGCGTTAAACTTGCTATCATAGTCCGAGGTCCCTTGTCTTGAATACTCACGCAGGACTCGGTGATCTCCTCGTTTGAGTCGGAGGACACCACCGGCTCCACGCTGCTCCGCCTCTTCTGCACCCCGGCCGGAATGGCAGTGATAGTAACCGAGACGTCGGCCTCGTCGGGATTATCTTGTCGTGCGCACGTGTTCGATGGCACTGGTTCGATGGAGACGTAGGGCTCCTCCGAGCTGCGGCACGTGATGACCGTGTCCTGCGAGGACGTGCAAGCCGCGTCCGGCGGCTTGGACGCCGTCACCACCGTCTCCTGGACCTGGTTCTGCCCCTCGGCGCTGTCGTTCTGGTACGCGGTGTCGTTCTGCAGCAATCTAGGCCACGCCGGGCTGTCGTCCATCTCCTCCACGTTGATGTCGTTGCTGCTGTTGCTCGTCTCCGGCAGGTGCTCCGACTCCAGCCCGTTCATGATCCCCTCGCCGTTCTCGGTGGTGCGCCGCCCCCCGGGCTCCACCGTGCTCACCACCAGGATGTTCTTCTCCAGCGCCCGCATGTACTTGTCTATCCGGTTGTACTCCTTGCGGGGCGTCGTCAGCAGCTCGCAGATGCGCTGCAACGTGAAGGGGGCCGCCGCGAACGTGTCGAGCTTCTCCAGGATGAAGTTCTTCATGTTGTCGTAGTTGAAGATGTCGACGTTGGGGCACGGCGGGATCTCGACGGAGGGGCAGGTCTCGTAGAAGTCGGTGATCACGCTGATCATCTTCTCGCGGAAGAGGCTCTTCACGGCCGACCACTGGTACACGGGGTCCCCCGTTTTCGCCACGAAACAAAGGTACTCCTCGAGCTCGCGGGGGATGTCCTTGGGCCGGCTCTTGCTGAACTCTTCCAAACTGTGGAGAATCTCCTCGGGATTTTCCATTCTTACGGTTTTTTACGACAGGATTTCGCACCGACTGCACCAGCGGGCACCATCTACTTGCGTCAACAAGCGCACCTATGACAATAACGAAGTTAGCTGCGGTTCGATACGGTGACGCTAATGACAGGACGGGATCGCGCACAGCAAAAACACCAGCGCCGCGCGACCAAGGCTTTGGAACGAGTAAAGGTCGGGAGGCGGAATTTTACCTAAAGCGATTTCGTTGATGCCGATATCGTTACATTTAATTAAATGAGGCGATAAACGATTCGAGTGACGTTAGCCCACGTCAGATTTGGTGACATTTGACATTTGGGGAATTTGTGTGGCAACCACTGATTAAGCGAAATTCGCTCGTATTGCGATCAATTAAACACAATTTGCGGACATACAGAGTGTTTAAAAAAAGCGACACAAGTTAATTACAACAAACATAAAAACGATTTGCAGTTTTTGCGATTTTGCTCCACGCGGCAGCCATCTTTTGCGACCTAGTGATTTTCGGGGGGTTGGTATGAAGCTATTTTACGTGTCATTAATGTGTCAAAAATGTTAGAATCATGTTATCTTCTGTATGCGGCACAGCATAACCTACATACGAAATATTTAAAAAATTAATTTCCATCTGTATTCTGTAGTAATGCAGTCAATAAAAATTGAAAACAGATTTGCACATTCTTTAATAATTAATTACAAAAATGCAGTTAGCACTGAATTTGTTTTCTTTGTAATAAAATACGCAAACAAAAACTCGTGTCATAATATATTATTACAACCCAGATTAAACATTAATGTAGTACAAAATATAAATCTAATCCGCTGACCGCAGTAACTTTAATATCGCTTTTCTTACTTATTATAATATAAAACCCCCCAGAGGTCTTATTTTGCCGTAGTAACTTTTTATTCTGCCCAGGTTTCGCCCACCGAGCTCGAGAACCTGCTGCTCGAGATGCCCGGTGTGGCCGACGTGGCCGTGGTGGGAATGCCCGACGCCCTCGCGGGAGAGGTTCCCAGGGCTTTTATCGTGCGCCACCCAGGGAGCAATTTCAGCGAAGACGACGTTTTGCTCTACATTAACCCGAAAGTGGCCCACTATAAAAAAATTGCCGGAGGCGTTAAGTTCGTCGAGACCATCCCCAGGAATCCCAGCGGAAAAATTCTAAGGAACGAGCTCAGAGTGCACGCCTAAATTCTGTTTTGTTTTTGTACATAGGCTAGGCTTAAACTGATATGATTTTATTATACTGTGTTTATGTTTTATAATGAAGTGCTTGTTTGTAAATACACTTTTTTACGTATGTTTTATGGATTTTTAGTCGGGGTTATTACGCGTCGGATGGGGAACACATGCGGATTATTGTTTGTGTTGTAAGGATGCCTTCTTATAATTAGTGCGGCGAAGTGGGTAATCGGTTTAAAAGATTTCGTGATGTAATTGGGTTGGAAGTTTGTTGTGGTGCTGTTTTCATGTAAGTATGCACAAATTAGGGCAGCTAGGAGCGTGTTTTTTGAATATAAATTTCAAAATTTTTTATTTTATAAATTTTGAAGTTGGGTTATGCAACACATAATACACTGACACATTTTTTTTAATACGTTGTAAAATTGTAGACAAAGGTTGTATGCAATAAGATGGTGTTGAATAAGTACCTTAAGTAAGTAATTAGACGACATCGACATATATTGAAACATTATACATTTTTTGTTCAAATCTGTTTGTTTGTTGTATTAGTTTCTTATTTTTTTTGGTGAAAATTAGAATTGGTTATGCAACACACAAAACACGCAGTTCGAAAAAATCAACAGCTAAAAAATTTTAGCACTTGGCCGTGGTGTGAGCACGCGATTCACGCCATAATGAGTATTAAGGCGACATGCGATAATTGATTCCCTCTGGGTGCGTCAGGGCACTCCCTTAAAAGCAAGGCTATTTTTTCGGGCAATGTGAAAAATCAAACTCTTGCCAAGAACCCAAGCACTTGTGACCTTGTTGTAAAAAATGAACCAATTTCCACGGCCATCCAATTCCATCCAAACACGCACTTACGCACCGCTGAAAAAATATTTGTGTTTTCGTGCGTCCCCCAAAAATATTTTTTATTTTCCCAGTAAAAATTAAACCCGCAGTAATAAAGTTTGTAATCGCCTAATTACCGCGCAACCACAATAAAATAATAAAAATCATAAAGCTAAAGCCGCGTCCTCGGTACTCTTCCAGCCTCACTCACCAGTGACGTCACAGTGGACATTCTTCCGTCCCCCACTTGGCAACGCCGCCTGCGGAGGAAAACCACCTGCGCCGGAGCAGGAGCCTCGCTCGGCGTTCAGTCGCATTCGAAGCCTCTTGGAGTTCGGTTGTACGAAGGCAACCCGCGAACGATCGTGAGTCACAGGAAAAGTGCAGTTTGGACAAAGAACGTCGCTTTTCAGTGTGACAGTGCCCCTCCAGACCATGCCCCAGGTTGCGTAACGGCCGACAGAATGTGCGCTTCGCTTCTCATCGCCCTCGGGCACGTGCTGCTGGTGTCGGCCTCCGCGGTGCCGGAGGACTGGGTCTCGGGCTCGCCCTTTTCCCATTTTACCAACGACGACAGCAGGGCCGACACCTTCACCTCGGCCTACCTGAACGTGTCGCGGATGACGGACGAGGGCTGGGTGTGGGACAAGACGGAGGTGGGTCGCTACGGGGGCGGCTACGTGGGGCCGGCGTACGGGCTTTTGGTGCACGTCAGCGCCAAGGGCCATCCCGACGACCACACGGGCTGCACGTTGCCGCTGCAAAGTAGTCGCGCCGACCGCCGCCTGCCGCCCCCGGGGGAGCCGTGGATCGCGTTGGTCAAGCGGGGACGGTGCAACTTCGAGGTGAAGGTGGAGAATGCGTTCAGGAGCAACGCCGCCGGCGTGCTGGTCTACAACGACAGGGATTCTTCGACTCTGGACAAGATGAAGCTGTCCAGCGATTCCGGACGTAAGTAAACAAGTTAAGTGGCGCTTACACAGGCGCGGACGTGCACGTGGCGCACCTGTGTAAGCGTACCTTTAAATTTTTTTTTATGTAGACGGTTTTATTAAGCGACGATGTCAACCAACTTACTATCGATTGCAAACATCCATTAAGTGCTTTACGTCTCTGTGAGAGCAGAACAACGTGTAAAAACGACTATTAAGATCTTTTTATGATGTTTTCGCTGTTTCTTTATCTTGGGTGATTATAAGGTAGTTCGTGACCCATGAAACGTGCGCGTCTTTGTTTGACGTTTTGTCAATTATGTGCACAAAACAGTTATTTATACAATGAGCGGTCTGAATTAAACTTGCAAAAACGAGTTACGCTCTCACGTTAAAAATGCGATAATTACTACTTCCTGTATGTGAAAATCTAGTGGAGATTAATCTATTAAAAAAATATAAGTGCGATGGCACCATTGGTTGTCTATTGCTTACACAAAATCTCCATTGATAACTTTGTGCCAGATTTCGTAACTAGACAAATTAAATTGGAAATATAAGTAAAGATAGTTATTAATACATAGATCGTATTATAGTAAGATAATAGATCGATTGTTTTTAATAAGCCAATTATACCTCACTTACTTCATATATACATTGACAATTGTAGTTTTATATTCGCATTGTGAAGTGTTTTTCACTTTTCATAAAGCTAACATTATACCACGATTAAGGATGTCGAAGGCTTAATTTAAGCTTGTGGATCAGAATTGAAACGTTTGCTTATAGTTGTTATTGTTCATATCAATAAAACGGCAGATTGTGAAAATAATACAATTCCAAGGGTCATTGCGTTTCATAACATACAGGGTGTTTTATGGTTATACCGGGTGTCTGGAAAATGGTGGATTAACTCTCCACTAAGCTCTTAACAGTCAACTGGTGAGTCTGGGAAAAGTCGTAAAATAAGATTGGGTTGTTTTCGTAATAATTTTATAAATGACGGTACAAATCAGCAAAATTCGAGTAATCTTTGACGTATTAAAAATTGTCAAAGTTTTCAAAACCCTACGTTTAAAATGTTCGCATGGAATTTTTTTTTTTTAAATTATTTAAAACAATTTTGGAGGATTTTGGTCTTCTGTTCTTGTAAAATTGTGACCTGACCTGTTTTCGAGTTAATTTTGAGACCCCGTTTTTTTTTTCGAAAATTTAAAACTATCTTGAGGTTCTAGGTATTCCTGTTTGGAAATAATTTGAAAGAGCTTTGGAGCCTCTAGTGCCTTTTCTTATAGTAAATTTAATTCCATTTTTTAGAGGATACGTCATTTGCCAAAATCAGTCTTATCCTAACAGTACTAGCCCCGCCCACCCACCCTCTCTTTTCTTAGAGTGTATCTCATTGACAAAATCAGTCTTATCTTTACAACGTCAAAAAAGTGACCGCTTCTTGAATGGTCCTCCTATTCATATTCGAAAAAAATGTAGAAATCTAGGATAAAAAGGCAAGACTGATTCATAAACCACAAATATTGCAGAATGTAATTATCTAAAATTTAAATAGTATTTACCAGGCAAAATTTTTAAGGTGACATCATCAAATTGCTGGTGGGAATGATTGATAAATTTTGGTTGGCGTTTGACGATATTTCTAACATACATTTAAAATTTGACGACACGTAGTTTTGCAATAATCTCTCGAATAAAAAGCGACACAGACGACAGTCAGATAAACAGGTAGACGGAAACCGGAAATCTAGTTTATCCCGCTCTTGGGGCCTGAAACGTCCAGAAAACCCCATTATACAAATATTATTTCATAGTTTACCTTCGTAACGTAAAAATAAAATCTGTTGAAGCAAATTTTACAGTTTGTGTTCGAGTCAACGAAACCAAAGTCGTTTTTATTTCCCGAACTCGTCAAACAGCTAATTTAAATATTCTGCATATATTAATCTCCGAAACTACTGGACTGATGAGGGTGAAATTTTAGCTAGATATATTTTTAGAATGCCGCAGATGGAAGCGAAATTTGGGTGATCATCCCCACTCAAAATTTCTTAAAGGGTATATCATTTGCCAAAATCAGTCTTATCCTATGTAGTAGTTGCTAAGATAAAACTGATTTTGGCAGATGACATACGTTCCAAGAAAAGAGAGGGTGGGTGGGCGGGGCTAATACCTGTTACGATAAGACGGATTTTGGCAAATGAGATACCTTGTAAGAAAAGAGAGGATGGGTGGGCGGGGCTAGTAGCTGCTAAGATAAAACTGATTTTAGCAGGTACTAGCCCCGCCCATCCGCCCTCTATTTACTTAGAGACATCTCATTTGCCAAAATCAGTCTTATCCTAGCAGCTACGAGCCACGTCCACCCACCCTCTCTTTTCTTACAAGGTACCTCATTTGCCAAAATTACTCTTTAACTTAGCAAGTATTAGCCCCACCCACCCACCCTCTCTTTTCTTAGAAGGTATGTGATTTGCCAAAATCAGTGTTATCCTATGTAGTAACTGCTAAGATAAAACTGATTTTGGCAGATGACATACCCTCTAAGAACACAGAGGGTGGGTGGGCGGGGCTAACACCTGCTAAGGTAAGACTGATTTTGGTAAATGAGACACCTTGTAAGAAAAGAGAGGGTGGGTGGGCGGGGCTAGGAGTTGATAAGATAAAACTAATTTTAGCAGGTACTAGCCCCGCCCATCCACCCTCTATTTACTTAGAGACATCTCATTTGCCAAAATCAGTCTTATCCTAGCAGGTACGAGTCACGTCCACCCACCCTCTCTTTTCTTACAAGGTACCTCATTTGCCAAAATTACTCTTTAACTTAGCAGGTATTAGCCCCACCCACCCACCCTCTCTTTTCTTAGAAGGTATGTGATTTGCCAAAATCAGTCTTATCCTATGTAGTAACTGCTAAGATAAAACTGATTTTGGCAGATGACATACCCTCTAAGAACACAGAGGGTGGGTGGGCGGGGCTAACACCTGCTAAGGTAAGACTGATTTTGGTAAATGAGATACCTTGTAAGGAAAGAGAGGGTGGATGGGCGGGGCTAGGAGTTGATAAGATAAAACTGATTTTAGCAGATACTAGCCCCGCCCATCCGCCCTCTCTTTTCGTAGAGAATATCTCATTTGCCAAAATTACTCTTTAACTTAGCAGGGATTAGCCCCACCCACCCACCCTCTCTTTTCTTAGAAGGTATGTGATTTGCCAAAATCAGTTTTATCTTATGTAGTAACTGCTAAGATAAAACTGATTTTGGCAGATGACATACCCTCTAAGAACACAGAGGGTGGGTGGGCGGGGGTAACACCTGCTAAGGTAAGACTGATTTTGGTAAATGAGATACCTTGTAAGGAAAGAGAGGGTGGATGGGCGGGGCTAGGAGTTGATAAGATAAAACTGATTTTAGCAGATACTAGCCCCGCCCATCCGCCCTCTCTTTTCGTAGAGAATATCTCATTTGCCAAAATTACTCTTTAACTTAGCAGGGATTAGCCCCACCCACCCACCCTCTCTTTTCTTAGAAGGTATGTGATTTGCCAAAATCAGTTTTATCTTATGTAGTAACTGCTAAGATAAAACTGATTTTGGCAGATGACATACCCTCTAAGAACACAGAGGGTGGGTGGGCGGGGGTAACACCTGCTAAGGTAAGACTGATTTTGGTAAATGAGATACCTTGTAAGGAAAGAGAGGGTGGATGGGCGGGGCTAGGAGTTGATAAGATAAAACTGATTTTAGCAGGTACTAGCCCCGCCCATCCGCCCTCTCTTTTCGTAGAGAATATCTCATTTGCCAAAATTACTCTTATCTTAGCAGGTATTAGCCCCACCCATCCACCCTCTCTTTTCTTGGAAGGTATGTTATTTGCCAAAATCAGTCTTATCATATCTAATAATTACTAAGATAAAACTGATTTTGGCAGATGACATACCTTCTAAGAAAACAGATGGTGGGTGGGCGGGGCTAGCACCTGATAAGGTTAGAATGATTTTGGCAAATGAGATACCTTGTAAGAAAAGAAAGGGTGGGTGGGGCTGGTAGCTGTTAAGGTAAAACTGATTTTAGCAGGTATTAGCCCCGCCCATCCGCCCTCTATTTTCTTTGGGAGCTCTCATTTGTCAAAATCAGTTTTATCCTAACAGGTACGAGACCTGTCCACCCACCTTTTCTTTTCTTAGAGAGAATTTCATTTGCCAAAATCAGTCTTATCATAACAGGTACTAGCCCCGCCCACCCACCCACTCTTTTCTTGGAAGGTATGTTATTTGCCAAAATCAGTCTTATCCTATCTAATAGCTGCTAAGATAAAACTGATTTGGCAAATCACATATCCTCTAAGAAAAAAGAGAGGGTGGGTGGGCGGGGCTTGTAGTTGCTAAGATAAAACTGATTATTCCTAAAAAAGAAAAAAATAAAAGGAGGATTTTAGTCATCATCGGTACTAAGAAATCAAAAAGTATGCCGGAAGAATTTTTTTATTATTTTTTGGAGCTCCCAAAACCCCTATACATAACATACTGAAGAGTTAATGTGGCATTTTCCAGACACCCGGTATATGAATTAATTGTATGACAGCAAATCGCCAGAAAAATCTGTTTGGAAATTTTATGATTCGTAGCAACAATTACTCTGTTTCCGGTTTCGCAAAATGAACACAAATTGGGTTTTTTAAGTGAAATTACACCTTTTTCAACTTTTGTATAGAACTGTGGTTTCCAGAACGAACACGAGATTGTGGTTATATAACTCAATTTTCGAGCAAATATTACAGGAAAATTTCGGTTTATTAACCTCGGTCGCAACTATGTTGCCATGTAAAATGACCCGTGAATATATTTTCTACAAAATTTCCAGTTTCGTTTTCGTGGAGTAAACTCAGTTATTAATTGCTTCCTAATGTATGCTGTACCTGCGGCTCCCCTCTTCTCACCCTTTTCTAAACCCAAACACGATTTTTTTATTTAGAATATAACTCCACAATCTTAAAAGTCAAGGTGGAT